CCCCTTCTATCAGATTATAATTACGTTTAACAATTCCAAAAATCTAGCAACTTATTACAAACGATAGTGGAAAACAATTCTTAGGAGAGCAAATGTTGTTGGGGAGCAAGTGTCATTGGGGAGCAAGTGTCGCGGGAGCAAATATCTGGGGAGCAAATGTCGTGGGAGCAACTGACTGGGGAGCATCATGCGTGTTACCATGGGTTCGATTCCCATGAAGACCATCTTTTTCATCGTTCTGTCACATAACATTAGTGACAGTGCTTGTCTCTTTCGTTCTATACATATTAGAGCCTAACAAATATCACACTGATTTACAATGATATGTTATAATAATTCTGTTAATGATCAAGCATTAACTGTATCTGTTATTTTGGAAGGTACACGATGTGTTATCGAACAATATGACGAATATTATCGAGTTATAATAAAGTAAATTTAAAAGAAAATTTTCTAAGACATTTCTTTCTTTGTTATTTTCTTTTTAATTAGACATTGTGAAAATGGATCAAAAGTATTAGTTAAATTAATTGATTATGGCAATGAAATTGTTGTTGATACCATCATAATTATTAGAAATTGATAAAAAATTCTGTACAATACCAGCATTTGTTCATACATTTTATTTGCATGGTTATAATGAATCGATCCCCAGAAGAGTCATTCCGAGACTAGGATCCTATCGGATTCCGACAAGGATCAGACCGTGAATATGCCAAATATCCATGGATTCCAATAAAACCAACGAAATCCTATAGGATTCCGGGATCAGGACCTACAGTCGGATCCTTGGTGTAGGAATTCCATAGGATCCAGTGTTGGAAATTAACGAAATCCGACATGAACGTATGACCCTAGTGTTCTTATGAGAAAATATGCATATTCATCCCTAATTAAGAAAATGTTTTTTTCCGTCGGAACCGACAGTCAATCCGTAACCCGGAATCCCATCGGATTCTGTTGGGTGATAGGATCCGTCATAGGATTCATTCACCTGGGGATAAGTAAAAATAAGAATATGAATTAATTTCTTAAATAAAATTATTTTCCTTTTTTTTAAAGCAAAATTCGGTAAATACAACACGTAATTTGAAAAAATGATTACTTAATCAGTGGGTTTATATTACACAGCAAGGATTAATATTGAATTGATGTTATGGTGTTCATGTTACATTATGTGATAGTCGATCAGTCAACCAAATGCTTTTATCGAATTAGTAGCTTTAACTACGAACGTTTATTATTTATTTTATAAGAAAAATAAAACACACACGCTTTTATTATACAAAAAGAAAGATAATAACAACAACTTTCTTTTGTGCGCCTTTTCAAGCACTCTTCCATTCTTTAAATAAGACCTCGAATATTTTGTAAAAGCGATAATTGAGAAAGTCAAATGAATAAAAATAACATCTGTTGCATTGATACATTCGGAATATTTAATGAGTATTTCATTTTAAAAAAATTCAAATTTCATAATGGGTTGCATATTACTCATAATAAATGTATCTACTTGCAAACAAGTCCTTTTACCTTTTCGATATTATGGAAAAAACCTTATATCTCGTTCGTGACATATGTTGTGAGTCATATTTGGAGAGGGGTGTCCAAGGACTCAGGATTAGGAATTCCTCATCAGTTCCCCTATAGTTCTGTGCATACTGAAGGTAAAAATATGGAATATTCACGATAATTTTTGTTCTTACACTCATTTTCACTTGAAAAATTGTGAAAATCAATGATTTCATACAAAAATTATTTTTAAAACAGCAATATCGCAACTTTCGTGAATGGTAGAACTGTGAGGGAACCTATAGTTGATTCCCACTTCCTCTAGAAATTATCACAGCGGCAATAACAATTCCTCGACGCATTAGAAATTCCTATTTCTCAGTCCTTGGACACTGCTGACGTTTGCACACCTCTACTCATGAATCGATCATGTTTCACATTTTAATATAAGAGGAGTTAAGCTGAGAGTCTTTCTTAATCGACTAAACCTTATTCGTCCATTATTGTCGATCAAACACTTTTAATTGATTAGAAATCATTTTCACGAAAATATCTAAAAATGGGATAGATTCGTCTTTGTCATTGTCATTGTCATCGGAGATTAATTTTATAATGATTTCTTGTTAACTTTCTTATATGAATGAGGTTTTCTATGATAGAACGTCGTTGAAAATATTAGCTACGGCAAGAGTTCTTATCAACAAAAAAGTTATTGTTAGCACAATCTTTACAGCATCGAGTCGAGCGAACATGGGCGTCGAAATTCTTGACCACGCTCATGAATCCACTTAGTTGCTATCCATTTATTACCGATTAGTACTGGACAAGCTGAAAGTTTAGAAAAATAACTGAACTATTCTGAAGGATAAACGAAATATGACTGACCTGCATGCGCAGTTCTGTAATCGACTAGAAAAGGAATATAAGTCAATTAATGCTATGGGATAAAACCAGTCAATATGATACCTTCTCCAGATGCAAACATATTGTACCAGAATACTGCGCTTCGTTTCTTCGGCACGATATGACCGTCGACAGCGAGAAAGACTGTAGCACCGCCAAATTCTACATCACTCATCTAAGGAAAAATATCTTATGACAAATGAATCATGTTCTCAAATCACATATGAAACTCACGTAAGTCAACCATGTAGCTATCCGATTACCTTGACAACAGCTGAAGAGTAAAAAATTATATCAGTGAGTTTTACACTTACCATTCTTAAACGTGAAACCACCGTTTTCCAACACCTAAAAGCGACAATTATTGACGGGAAAATGCTGAATAACATGAGCTTACTTGAAAAAAATCGGCATGAGGTTGATAGTAACCACCGACGCCATAGTTTAAAACCTAATATTCAGTTCCTACAGTCAAGATAGGAGAGAAAATAATTACCTGGAGATCTTCAGCAGTTTCCATCGTCAAATTCGTAACAGCACCAATCAAACGAGAGAGTCGAGCTACGGCTGGTGAAACTCTATCGCTTAGCCAAGTACTGAAATAAAAATAATAGGTGTAAACAAAATTGAGTCAGCTATATCACATCTATAAGTTCAGAGGCAAATCAGAAGACTTGTTGCTATTTTTTTGTGAAATATGATTAATAATGAGTATTTGGATCTTAAATAAAAACATGAGTTTCATGTCCTGTGAATCTTGGGCACTCATAGCAGACATGTAAGCATGTTACATTGATGATTTTACATGATAAACCGACTTCGAAATCATGACATTAACAGAATCAATTTTCTCGTTGAAGTACACTTATTTCGCATCTATCACCAGTCTTGACGAACATTATGATCCGCATCTCAGTTAAACTTGTCACGAATCGCTGTCTATAAACAATTGGCCCAAAGTATCTCAGTCATTCCTAGGGCGACACATTTGAAACTTTTCACATGTATATCATGTTAGAAATGTAGAACAATGAGATAAGTTTGATCTTGGTATCTTGAGTTGAAGAGGAGTTATATTTTAGGACAGCAATTAAATATTTAAATGAAATTTAAAGTGTAAATACGTACTACCATAATAGTACTACATTTTGATAAGTTGACTAAATTATATACTTCGTGCCTTCTTGATTTCTAAGAGTTACAGGGAGAATAGTTGTCATAGATCATAGATTCTCTTCAACTCAAGTGATTGAGATTGAATTTATCTCATTGTTCTACATTTCTAACATAGTATATATGCGAAAATTTTCACATGTGTTGCCTTACAAATGACTGAGATACTTTGGATCAATAGTACTAGTTTAGAAAGAGTTACCTTTGTGAATAAAATCTTTGAAGAATCCTCTATCCCCCGAGAAAAAATCGGTCCAATTGATTAAAGTAGAGTAGGGATGTTGAAATTTTTTTATCATAAAGATACTTGCGGTCTACGCTGTACTGGTGGCAAGATCAACCATCAATTAAAATAAAATTGAATCAAGAGAACAAGCAAGAGAATTCAGAATCATAAAGTTTTAAATAGAATCTATGACGGTAGACAATACAATTTTCATTCTGAATGATTACTTGCTCGTAGCCAGGCATAGTTTTTCGAGAGGCTCGAATAATCAGATGGATAATGTTTCATACCTCTTACTGACTCTGTAGTCGACCGGCGTCCCAGTATTGGTGGTGGCATTGGCTATCAAAGAACGCCGCAACTATAACATATAAATTCATTTTAACTATTGTTGATTTCTAGTAATTTAATTTCGAAGGTTCAGTATCGGTTGACATATTACTTTCTTCATTATTTACCTGAGGTGTGGCCAATACTTTGATTTTTTCAATATCGGTATCGCTCACAACATCATGGAATAGAAGGATAGTTGGCTCATCGAATAATTGTTCTTCTTTGACTGGCCTTAAGATTAAATATGGATGGTTGTTATGACGGTACCGACAAAATAATTTTGCTTGATGTTTATGACTGAGCTGAGCAAAACAGAACAATACCACGCTGCATCAGTAAATTTCTTATATTACCTTAGCACGATTTTGTCGGCAGAGTGCTTTGCAGATCTCATTGAGCTCTAAGTAATTCTTTTGTCGTTGCTTTCTTACTCAAAAATTCTTCTTACCATTTGAACCGACTTTCTCCGATGAAGCTAAATAATCTTCTCTCTGATCTTTGCTCAAAGTTTGACTTTTTATGAGAGATGCATAGTAAACTTTATTTGCTTTTGCTTGAACATGATTCGGATCTAACAAAACAATAAGTAATAATGTTTTTATCAGTGTCAATCATGTTGTTTACCAATAGCAAGCATTTCTTCAGTTAGTGCAAGTGCGTTTTCAATGTTGCCTTCCTAAAAAAAGACAGATTATCGTCTCAAAATTAGCAGTGTTTATTATTCGATTATATCTGCCTGAAATGTTGCATTGCTAAGATGATCCAAAATATCGATTCGCCTTATCAATGCTCTTTTATTTTTTTCATCAAAACGGTCAAGTGCTTCTTGCATCCACATTAGTGCATAATGGAAGTCATTATTTGTATAGGCCAGATGGCCAATGTGATAGCACTCATCACCTAAAGAACAAACAATATAGGAAACATCGAAGTTGCTCGAATCACGTACTAGTCAATTTTTGGGATCTGAACTTCAAATCAATTTCCCCATTGGCCATTTGACTTGTTGTAAATTGATAGGTATCTTGTAAGCGTAACAGAGAGGTGCCGGTTCCTAGTTTTTAAAGAGAAACGAACTAAATATAGCTAAATTTTAATATTCCATCCACCTGTTAAATCTTCCAGTGATGGAAATAACCAATTTCTATGAATGATTGTTCTTATATCTAAATAATAATAAGAATCTTATTAGATCAACCGAGAAATAAATATTGGCTGAATAAATGTGCCTGGAGACGTCATTTCTTTGATATGATACCATTCAGTAGTGAGGTGTTTGAAGAAAAGGTAGACATTGATCGGATTGCTGAAGTATTGTTCTTCCTTGCCTCGAGCTTGAGAAAGTTCATTGTTGATAACGCTGAGAAATCTTCAATACAAATAGCGATTTATCAACTGCCCAAAGAACAGAATACCATTATTTACTTTTCTATATGAACCAATCGTGCATGTTCGTTTTTCAAATAGATTTTCAGTTGTTTTGCCAATTCGCTTTCAGTATCAAGTAATTGGATGACATGAGCAATGGATGTAAACACTTCACTCCGAACACACATGTTTCGCTCGACAGTAACAAGAAAAATGTATAACCAGATGCGATGCATGTTTCCTATACGCTGTTGACAAAAACAGAAACAATACGAATCATTAGATGGCATTTACCGATCATTTGTACTGATCTTCTGTACTGATGAGCTAGAGAAAACCACAATACATTTATGCCGTCTTCATACTATTGTCTTCTTATAAGCTAGAAAAGTCTTTGTACTCCATCTATAAATGCCAAAGAATACTAAAAAACTAAGCCACTCTAATGTTTCACTTATTCAATTGAAGATAGTAAAAAATTGGATCTTGAAGTTTTAAGATAGTGTAAACTCAGATACATGCGTCAAATCAGAAAGCTAAAAGATCACCTCGGGCTCAGGTCATCGGTTGATGCATAAAATTTATGTTTAGAAAAATTTATGTTGACAGGTATATCGTGAAGGTGTGAACTTCAAGAAGACCGAAAACAAAACTCACCCCAGAGATTCATTTTGATCGCACATTCTGAAATGGGCGATGGATAAATTTTGTGAATAAGCAAAAGGCTGTAGGAAGACTGAAGATAGGTGCGTCTAGGGCGGTGATAACGCTAATGTGGACGAAGTCTACACTCAGACACTCTAAGATCCCGTGTTCATTACAAGACAATAATTCATACGTCACACAAATCAAATAATGCAGGTAGAATTATAAATGTAGAACACTGGAGTTTGGTTTCGTTTCATTTTGAGTGCATCATATATGACCCTGATGATTTCCAAGTTTTGGGTCAATTTACCTAGACTACAAGTGTTCCATGCAACTTCAACCAGCCTTTTGCATTTTCGAAAAGTTTACCGATTTTTCTTAAACCTTCTCCTTAAATTTCAACTTCAAGGGTTTTTATATTGTTCACAAATGTTATCGCATTTTGTTAGACTTTGCCAGGCTCCCATTGGATTTCCTTGCACTTCGTAAAGAGGTTCGCCTTTCACCCATTGACAACTACCATTTTTTATGTCACAAGAAATATAGACTGTAAATATACGTGCATCATTATGAATTACTACGTTCTCTGTAATTAGGGAATTTGAACACATCTCTTCTCGAAAATAAGATCATGAGAAAGAGTTAACTGTACCGGTATATCGTTTCAGACCAGACTGAAGAAATAGTTCAGTCCTGTTACAGTACATTCTTACAGCATATACCTCGATCCTCTCTATTTTCTTTTCTTTGATGATTTCTTTGTTCATCTGATATCTTCAATATCATGCTGTCGTTTCTGTTACTTCTTTTCTTTAGCTTTGATTAATCTTTGTATTCTTTCCAATTTTCTTCGTGCTTCATGTTTGTATATAAAAGCTTGTTTTTCGAAAAATAGATAGAAAAATAATAAAACCTTTACGTCTCTAACTGTATACGCTACTCTCCGTGAACGTGAATCCTAATAGATCCTTTATTCAATATTCACTTCTCAATTTTATCAATATAAACTGATGTTAATGCTAGATCTATGGTTACGGAGAAATGCGTGACATCGCGACTTACCTGAGAATAATTATTGCGAAAAATGCTCGTTTCTGTATTGCTGTTTTGTGTCGCTTTCTCAACTGTATTATGGCAAATGTTGACGAATTTAAGCGGTTTTTTTCGTTTTCTCTCTCGTCCATACTAATTCTTTTAAAAGCTACGACGAGACTTCACCTTCTATTATTACAGTCATTTCATTCTGTAGCTGATGCCATCAGATGTTTCTCTTAAAGAAGGGTGTTGGTACGTGTGTGTGTATGTGTGAGTGAAAATGCAGACGGCGAATGTGCTGCATTAATACTCATACCATTACCCTTTAAGTTTTACGAATGTAAAAGAAAAGTAAACAGTTTGTCAAAAATTTACATTTTGACTTGAAAGGGCTTTCATGTAAACGTGACTCGTTCTGATTCATAAAATGACATCGAGCAAAAACTTTTCTTCTTTTCTGCATTCTTCTGTTGACTTTTCGTTATATGTAACGGTACAAGTTTCAATTATACAAGGATGAGCCACTTTTCGGATTACTATGAAATAAAAACTAAAGGAAATAAAATAAAAGCATAAATATGTTTCTTATGTTCCTCAAAATATATACGTATAACAGTATCCCTCTAATTGGAAGAGGTGTAGCTTTTCGATATTTTTATGTCACGAAATATTACATTCATACAATTTGAATCAACAGAAAATCACAGTTACAGAAGTTGGAAGTCAACGTGGCCAGAAGTGAAAACGTTGAGAAAAATATTAAAATCGATTTTACTGGGATATTTTCAATAAAACATCTTGTTATATTGTTATTTCTAAGTGAGATCCGTTTGAACATCTATTTACACCTTTTTGCGTATGAATTTACTTCATCACCTTGAAATGTTTAATGACAATTACACATCATTGATCAAATATTCCCTTCGAGCTTTGAAAATAGTTGCCTGACGAATGATCATATTGGTGAGTCATCTATAGCAACTAAAATATTTTGCTTTAGTTCTGATCAACTTTTAATATTGAATGAATATCAAATAAGAAAACTTTCTTATTTATAACTGCATTTATCTCTGCTCAATATAGCCTTGATTCAATTGGAATCGATCAGGGATACTAGTTACTCGCTTCTCAACTCGTCTATCGAGATTTTCTGTTTGCTCTTGATTAAATTTCATTTCATTTCATTTGGTACGATAAATATTTATTAATGATTTGATGTCTCCGAAGGATTTCTTGAGAAACTGAATTAACCACTAGGGTACATACAGCAGATATAGAGATACAGGAAGCATAGGAGCTATAGGAGCTATAGGATTTCGGATTTTAACAGAAATCAAAATGAATTATGAAGGCTAGTGGAGCCAACTCCCTATCGCATACCCACATGTAGCCATGTGGCGCATGTCCCTTCCCCTTCTCCGCACCCACACCCACACCCTCTAATATCTTCTATTTTTTACCGTAACGCTTAATTGAATTTCTGATGAAATCCTCAGAAGACATCATATGAGTCCTTTTCATTTAGTTTGTTAGTTTCTATGATCTTGAGAACAGTCATGCATTAGATACTCATTACGTTTCTAAACAATCAAAAGTTAAGAAGAAAATCAATAACGCTTATCGTTATAAAAAAAAGAAAGGAACAAAAATACTATTAAAATTTCAACCGATTCGTATGTAGGGCTGGAATCAGATTGAAACGCATTAAGCAATCGTTTATAATCATGAGGTCTCGATCCATTTTCAAACAGCTTCAATAAACAATCTACGTAAAAACGTCGACATTACATTGATTAAAACTTTCTAAAAACTAGAGTTAAATTGATGCAAACCAGATGGAAATGTTTCATGCGTCACAGAGAAAATAAATTGAAATCTGACAATCATAATTGATTTTGATGGATTTGAATTGTATATTTTTACATGGGTATAGACTTCATTTTGCCAAAAATATTTAGCCTACCCTAGACTGGACTCGTTTATATAATCAATTGTTTCTATTGAAATATGATCAATTGATGAATATTTTTCTCTGCGTAGCCACTCGTAGCTAGATATTTATTTGGCACTTTAACGTCACAAAAAAAAACAATAAAAGTTCTTGATTCGAAGTGCAGCAAATGCTTTTTTTAAACGAAAATCATGATAATGATCCACAAATTGACAAAAAAAAACTAAGTTCAAATCAGGTTTGTTGTTTACAGTCATTATATTTACACAGCATGAGTATGCATTGATGTTGGTGGAACAATGATATGATAAATATTATTATTTTCTTTATCTAAATCAAATGATTGATTTTGATTATTCATGGATGGTGTCATAAATTCCAATGCGCTAAATGTCGGTGATGACCAGCCACCTTTTTGATGAGTAAAACTATCTCGTTTTGTTGATACACGTTCAGTTATTTGCTTTTGTCGATTACCGGATAAAACTGCTTGTCGGAAGGAATCAGTTCGATGAATTGTTTTATTTTTATTTTCTTCATTAAGTGGCAACTGATAGAGCATTGACATCGACGATGGAAATGTATCATGCCGTTGATTTGGTGAAATATAAAGTGATGATGTTGATGAAGCATATGACGGTGAATGGGATTTTTCAGCTCTTTGTTGACGTCGCTTTTGTTTGTTATTTAACCATAAAAATGCACCCAAAAGAACAACTACTGATGTACCAAGTAGACCAACTACAATACCAAATATTATTCGATTACGATCATCAACAGAACTACTGAAGAAAAAAGGAATAATTTATAGAAAAAATGAATATTTTTCCTAGCTGCAATTTTTACTCGTTCATATTTAGTGTCTTTGATGTTGTTGACGTCATCGAACAATCGATACATTGTCCATTTATACAACATTGCTCAGATGGACAACGCTGTACATCATTATCACTAATCGAACAATTATTTGAATTAATTGGTAATTGGCAAATGAAGACATTATTTCGTTGAAATTTAAATGAACCTGATGGACAAATACATAGATAGTTGCTTGTTCCATTGCACCATGTCACACAGCGTGATGGAAACGTTTTACAATTCGAAATACTCAACATATCAGCACAATATAATGAATCGGAGTAAGATACAAGAGCACTTGATAACGAATGGCAAGTGCATGTTGATGACGAGCAATTTGTTAAAGAAGGTGAACCACATATATCATTCGTTGGATTACATGAACTTCCTAAACAATCCAAATAGATCAGTTTTAGGAAGAACAAAAGTTAGCTCCGAGTTTTAAATTTCATTTCATTTTATCAGAAATTTTTAAAAGAATTACAATTAAATCGTCATTTGTCGCTGGCATATTTGAATCTATTGAACAAGTAAAATCTGATTCTTTTATTCTCTAATTTGAGTCGTATCTTTTACATTAAAATCACGCAATCTACTTTATTATCGTAGAAAAAATTACGTTCTGTATTCTGTTACATATGAAAACAATAGACGAAATGTAAACCCATGGATATTTAATCAGTCCTTTGCAAAATGTTGTCTTATTGTTGTTTAGTTGCAACAAGTTAGTCAGATTGAAACTGATCAGAAAATAGAGTACATTGAAATACTTCGCATATTGTAGCAAAAAAATGGTAAACATCTACAGTGTTACTTGTAAATGTCTAAAGAAAAATTCAAAGATCTCATATTTACATTTCACTTATCAGAAGGGGATTACTAAGCTACAACGGCTTATAATGTCTTCGTTTTTTTTTCTTCTTCATATTGACATTTTGATCAACACAACAGTATAATTCAAAACACAAGAATTGTCGATGTTTCCTTCTGTTATTTGCTACAAGTAAAATTTAAACTTAAAATTCTTTCTTTAGAGGAAACGTTCTGAATACTGACGATAACAAGTTAAAGTTAGCAAAGTGTTCTGACTCAATCTATTCCCCGATCACTTTTCTATTAATGATCATGGTAAAAATCTATAAAGACATGATCGAATTTATCCTAAGTAATTTAGAACATAGTGAAAAAAAGTTTACCCGCCATCAACAGGGACATACTAGCATCTCATTAATACAAATGAGATCCATACTAATCTACATATAGAATAAGAAAATCGGCATGTACGTTTTATATCTTAGAATAAAAAGAAGAATGATTAATTCAATCAAGGGATCAAATGAAGTTGTTTTTTTTCTGTTCTTTAATATTCATTAAAAAGAATAGGAAAACATATAATATGTGCTATTTCTAATATGCAAACATGTCTACATGCTTTTAACATATATATATATATATATGCCAGTCTACTTAGAAAAGATTTGAATATATTTCTACAGCTATCATAATAATAATAAGAAGAAGAAGAATTCTTCGTAAACTTACCAACAGGTTTTTCATATTGTATTTGAATATTGAAAATCGTTTTTGGATCCGTCGTTTGTTGTCCATTATTCAATGAGCAATTACTTATCTCATATCGTCCTTGTTTTAAATATAAACCCATTTGATTAAATGGAGTTCTTGTAATTGTTGACATATAATTAAATGGTGTTAATTGTACACGTATGGGTTCAGAATCTCGTAATGCCGTTGTTGTACCTGTAATGGTTTTCAATTGGCAAGAGTGAACAATAGATGCACAATCAAAGATAACAGGAAAGGGCACAAGATAATTCGATGTAGGAAATCGATATATAAGGCCAAATTCAAACGATGACAATGAAAATGATGAGGGTGTAAAAGCGAAATTCGCTGTAAGACTAATTGATGTATAATTATTAAATTGAAACTGATCGGAAACTGCAGCGTTTGAGAGGTATATATCATTTAAAAATGAACAATTGTGAAGCCAATTCGGTGTTTTCGCTGTTGTTATTTGGCAATTTCCCACATGAATGTAAAGAAAAAGAAGAAACACAATAACCATCGCACAGACAATACACCATTGCAGCGTGTCGTAGAGCAAGAACAATGGAATCAAATGTCTGAAAGTGATGTAGTTTAGTTACAGAAAGAGAGAGAGGTTGAGGGAGAGAAAGAGAGAGAGGTTGAGGGAGAGAAAGAGAGAGAGGTTGAGGGAGAGAAAGAGAGAGAGGTTGAGGGAGAAACAATATACAAAATTATGTTCAAAGATGAAAGTTTGTCACTTGGTGTGCATTATCGAGAAAGAACGAGCGAGCATTAATGTGAGACACTTGAACCAAGCAAAGAACTGAAGAGAACGCCATTTTTTCTCTTTCTCTCTCTCTCTCTCTCTCTCTCTCTGTTTGTACTCTTTTTCTTCAAAATGTTAAACAAGACAAAAAAAATAATTATTTAATAATATTAACTATTTTAAACTATGTAATAATAAAAATCATTGAACATTAAAAAATAACCTGATCGTATGTCACTACTATGTCAGCTTATCGTAATGCTGCATTAAACGACTTTAAAATATTCTTTAGAAAAATAATTGTATAATAATATGTTCTCATTGTGTTTTCGACTAGTGTTAAAAAACACTTGTCTTAGAAAAATACTTCTCTCATTTAAACACTTGAATGACAAGTTTAGCACTATTAACAATAGACAAAATAATAAACTTGCTTACTCTCGATGTACTCTAGTTCAAGAAGATCAAAGAAAAACATTCAAGACCTGTGCGTATCGAAAACTGTTTTTTTCTTTCTTTTCGTAATCGATCAATAGATGGAGAAAACACAGGAAGAGATTACTCGATTTAATTATGCGAAAGCAAAATTTTTCTTTCTTTGTCTATGCGACTTTTATTCGATGAACAAAACTCACTCATCATAGTGAATTAGTGAAATCGAATTTACTTTTTAACATGTATATGATAATAGACGCTAGTGTTATCGATTTACTACGTATAAGACCGATTATAATGATTGCGAAAAAAAAGTGTGATCACCTCTCTAATCTTTACGAGATTATTTGAGCACTGCTCTTTATCCATTAGGGCATACTTTTCTCTTACGAGCTATCGCTCGATCAGTCGGTGCGTTCACTTTTCTTTGCATACCTGACTGAACTTAAATTGTCGGTAGATTAGTATCATTTAAAAAAAGAACCGCTACTGTCGTCGTTGGTGCGAATAATTTCGTGTGTCAATATTTTCTAGTGAATATTTAATTCGAATCCAATGCTACAAAAATGAGCAATACAACAGCATTTAAGACACTGCCCTATGAAAAGAGGTATGCATGATTATTCTTTCTTATGCTTCTATTCCTTTTGTTACACAGCACGCGATGATTGATGTTACACTTACATATGTACATATACCATGTAATTATTCATTAATGACTTTTAAAATGTGTGTATTTACAATATGATTACATATTACCTTGGTACCAAACGTCTAAATCTAGAGAAGATGGAATTCTGTGCCTTAAGCTTTTTTAATGAATATTTAACTCATGTTCATGTTCATATAAACGATGGGGACAGAATAAATCTTTGCCTTCGCACGTCAATATGTATATAAAAACAAAAGAAATGAGAAAACTAACCATTACAAACTGAGATGCATATGATTCAATCTTTCATTCAGTATCTGTGATTTTCTTTTCTTCTTCTTCGCGATTCTTTTTCATAAAGAATATACATCATGTGTATATATTTCTAACATATTGATGGAACAAGATGAACAATTCATCATGCTCGAGAGGTGAATTTAAAATGTGTAGGTGTTGTTTGATGTTGAAATATTTATACTTATAGTGGCAGGGCGACAAAAGTGGACACTTGTCGTTCTGTTATACATACAAACATGAGTAAAAGAACTAATGAAATTAACGAACATAGACATGTATACGCATGAATATTTTATGTCTGTCTAACCGACAGTCAATGTTCAACTTCAACGCACAATTTTAATAATAAATGTTTCAGCTTAAACCGCAAGAGAAAAAAAAAGAAAGGATTTGTTTAGTTATAATCACGTTAAATAATATTGATAAAAGTCAAGCAATTAAAAAAAACAAAAATTTTTGAAATACGATAAAATATTAATATTTATTTAAGCTATATTAACTTATTTATTTCTAAATAGATTTAGTCTATTATTAAAATAGAATAATTCTCTTTTATTCTCATTATAAAACGTATCATACATGTCTCATTCTCATTTTCATCAGAAGAGTAACACTTTACCTTGAAAACGGATAATAGCAACATGTCTAGGATAATCAATAGTTTAAAGCTAAATTCTATTATGACGCGTTATTTATAGCATTTTGATTACTCTGAGCAAAGCTTTCGGATAAAATCTAAAATAAAACTGAAAATCTTTTTGTCTCATTTAATTTTTTCCAACAGCACAAAGGGATTTCTATTAATAGAAAAAACATCTTTTTTAAGAAAAGAGAAATCTCATTCTCATCGAAACATGGCTCTACAGCTATGAAGCATGTACCTTCTGAAAAGCAAATACTCTATAATAATTGTCGATAATCATAACTATGATATCCTATTACAAAAGCAGATATTAAGATAATAGATCAATTCTACTTATTTTTACTATTCATGTTTATTCTATAATGACAATGGTCGGTGTTAACTATGGAACTTAACCGAGTGTCGCGTCTGTTCCAATCATTTAAATTCTATATGTTCTTCGATCTCATTTTCGCATTATCATTATTATCAGCATTCGTTTGGTTTCTGTTACATAGAATGATGTTGGGAGACAACCTTCATTGACATACTAATATCTATTTACATTGATATTCAATCTGTCGTTTTTATTCTTCTCTTTTTACCATCATGAGAAGCGAGATGAACATAACTACATGGTTGTGTCGCTTTTTTTTAATATTCCTATTTCATCTAATGTGCATTTTCACACGTAAAATTGAAAAATAACCTCTGAACTATAAAGATTTTCAAGATTGCTCTAACACAAGCACACAGAGACAATTTACATGTATTCGTACAAGTAGATTATTGATAGTTGAACTAATCGACAACAAAAATTATCATGGACACAAGAGATAATTGATATACAAGATATCGATAAGTTGCGCAATTGACTTAGATTGAATCTTATGTATACCAAAGTTATTATAAAGATAGAGAAACGAACAAGTGAGTAGTATTTAAGTAGATTCAATCATACAAATAATCTATTTGCGCGCTATCACGCTCCATTAGTCCAATAATGATTATGCGAGGTTGAAATTGATTAGTAGAATTCAATTAAAGAAGACGAGAAAATAATCAATCTGATATAATAGTCTGTCGCTGCAAGTAATGAAGATTTATTGATTTTGCAATATTCAGATATTGAATTTCTATTGTGTATCAACTTAAAAGCAATGTAAACATATATCCAGTTCTTTATAAATGAGCTTTCTCCTTTTAATCATTCTGCAATCTTCTTTAGTTGTCATTATTCTTAATAAGTTTTTATTGTTGTCTCTAGTCGTTTGTAAAATACTCTCGTTTCGTTATGACTAAATGAATGGAATATATGACTGATCTGTTTTTTCTTTAATATGAGTTTAAACGATTTACCTTGTCTATGAATAAATGTGAAAAATGTTCATTTGAACAAATGTATAAGATTGAAAAATCAATCAATCAATCAAATTATCAAGTGTTACCTTGGCCAATACTTTTCTTTTTTGAAGTATCATCATTGACTTCAATTAAAGAAAAAAAAAACGCTACTTTCAAAATGAAAGGAAACAGTGCTGAACGAGGAAAAAGTCATTTTGCCAAGTAACCATACTTCATATTCACTTATATATTTTTCCTTGAACAAAAACTCCATGCTTTTATTATTACTTAACTTTCATATAAAAAACGATAATTTATGAAAGTAAAAATTTAAATCTATTTATTATCACTTTATCTCGAGTCTTGAACTTTTTTGTTGGTTCGTAGAATGGAACAGTTGACAACTTTTTTTCCATCAGAAAGTTACAAAATATAATCTACTGTCGCTTTTTTTTGTTTAATTAAAACTAAAGCTTCATAGCAATACAAAATTTTTAAAAAGTTATTTTTTTATACAAGTTAAATTCTGTTCAAATTACATTTATCACGTTCCCATCCATTGATCACGTTTCAATTAATAAATAACAAATAATGTTATTTTGAATGACAACCAGTTTTTAACTATTGCTCTATTAACTTATCTAAAAGGCTCAATGTCTTCATTGGCTTCAAGTACTTGAAATTGTAAGAAGCAGGTCAAAGTCGGAGTTATCATCTTTAACTTGTTTTGAGGCCCAATACAATTATTGTCTTTATAATTACTACACAAGTGTCTTTTATAAAACCATAGAAACATACTGGGTAGTTTATCGTGATCAATACCCTTTATGATTGTATGTGCGCATTGTATGAAATCCAAGATGAAATAAGGCTTAGTATTCCAATGCTTAAATCAGTAGTAAGCCGGAAGTTATAAACAAATTACAGAGCGATTTAAGCATAAAAATAATAACATATATTTTAAGACTGCACTCTAAATGAGATGATGTTATTTCACTTTTTTTTAAAATTGACTCAATTGCTCGACTATAGTTAAAAATCTGTAGTATTACTCAACGTTTGCCAACATGTATTCATTGATGACTGAAAAATAGCTCAATTTATTTAGTCAAATGATTATGAAATAATTTCATCAGCGTTTTGTGACAATAGTAATTTGAGATTAGTAAAGTTATAGAAGGAATTATAGTCAGATATATGAAGAGACAAATAATCTAAACAAATTTTGATATTTACTGTGTAACTGTAATAATAAACTTCAGTGAACTACTTTAACTCAACAGTATAGAAAATAGTTTTTTTTTCATATGCAAATTCCATGACAAGAAATTTTTCTAAAAACTCACTACTTACTGGAAAATTCTCATTGATTCGATGAAGAAAAATCTTGGCATCCGTTGAGCAGCTGCTCCACTGTGTAAGCATGACACATTCAAGCAGATGCTTCTTTTTATGTAAAAAACCGTTCGCTGATTAATTAGAAAATGTGGAATCATCATAGATGATGTTTCTCGAATAAAAAAAATACTAATGGGAAAGAAGATAGCAGAATATTCAATTAATCTGATAGATATCAGTGTGATGCGGCACTACATGTAAAAAATGAAAATTTCTACGAATCAGACTTAAGGTGATATATCTTTTTAATCGCATTTATCAGATCTGAACTGTCATGGTATATTTATTTAGGGTATCGAAAGATACGTCGCTTCTGGCTCGATTTTGTAGATTATATTATGCGAGCAACTTTTTGTTTTTATCTACCTGAGTCTTACTGTACTCTGCAGTGTCACGATCGAATTTATAGATAAGCAACATATTTTACAATAATTTTATTGTCGGCCTGAAGAAAATTCCTATTGTAATTTTTAAGCTATTAGAGTAGTAAAAGACATCTAAATCAAGCGTGCATTGAGGCAACATCCTGATCTTCCAATGTGTTGTGGAGAATAATTTTCTCTTTTATTCACGAATGATTTCATAGTAATATTTGAAACATGAAGTTCATTTCAGTAGTTCTATAAAAACATCATGAAAAAAAAAGAAAGCTCTGAGCGATTTAGACATTCCCTAGATAGGGCATTTGTCAAACTTGTCAGCTTTATCATTTAAAGCCTTTAACTTGATAAGAGAGAGAGAGAGAGAGAGAGTCTAATGTTTTCAAGGGACGTCACGCAGCCTTGAGTCGCGCAAACAGAAAGAATCAATGTTCTTTCTACATTTGATCAATAGAGTGTCATATGCGTCATTGTTTGAATAGCGTCCATTTTGAATCGAAATAGGTTTATTTATGAATAAAAAAACCGAAACACAACAGAATAAGTCTAAGATTAGATGTATACAATATTTTGCTGTTCTTTTTTTTTCTATTTTCTGGCATTGATTCAATTTCTGTTTCTACATTTGTAGAATTATCTATTGTTGTTATAACCTCAGATGCTCTAAAAGAGAATTGATCAATGCGATAAATATTCTTTAAGCGTAATATTTACTCAGCTGTCATGTCCAAAACAGTTGTATCTACTGCATTTCTGATCGGAAACATCGAAGACAATACTAATTCTGTAGGACTATAATATAAAACTATGTTCGTATGTGATGAAAAAATCTAAAATTTACCTTCTTATAGTTATTTGCATTTCGTTATTGGCAATATCTGTAACGCTTTCATCAGCTCTTGACGTAATCGCTGTTTCTGTAATAGGTACAGTTGCCATAACTACTGGATTTTCTGCAGTTAATGATTGGCAAGTTATTATAGTAGTTGCAGTTGATTCTAATAATTGTTTTAATTCTTGTGAGTTCAATACTACGGATTGTTCTGTAAGCTTCACAATATCTTGTTCAGCTTGGTTTCGTATTTCGACTAAAGCACGTAAAGTGTCAGTATTTGCTTTAGCAATCAAAGTGTCAAGTAGTTGCTTAGCTTCGGACATGATTATTTGTTGTTTAGATTGTAAATCATGTTCTAAATCAGATAAATTGTGGACTTTAACACTGTCCAATACTTCAGCAGCGCTTTGCAATTGTAGTTTATATTCACTTTCAATGATTGAATGACGACAAGTAATAATTGTTCTTGTTGATGTTGAATGTTGGTCAGAACATCAGTGATAGACATTTCAATCTTTTTAATAGCAAAAAAATGGATTTCGCTGAAGCTCTGAAAAAAGAACAACAATAAAAGGACTTTTTGATTTAATTCATTTGTAAGTGCTCGACAATATTGATCAACTTGTGCATGTGTTGTACTTAATTGTGATAGTAAATAATGAATATCAAGTTTCTTATTGACTATAACTTGTGTTTGAGCTTCAGATGATATAAAAGAATTAACACCGACATCTTCAGCAATAGCCAATATGTGAAGATGTTCAGTAGGAATATCAGTGGCTTGTGTTTGATTCGTTGCAGTTGTCTCTGGTTCTGGATCAGGATGCGTATCATCTAAAGTGTTACTTATAGTCGCCATGTTGATATCTTATAGAACAGATTGTTTAGTCGATTTACTGTAGAATTTCTCGTATGCGTAAATGAAATGACGAAGGCGTATGCGACTAAATAGTTATTTTATTTTCCTTCTGTTGTATATTTCCTTCAGATAAATTTTCTCCGGGTCTAGAATTTGTTGCTATTGCATTAGTAATAGAAAAGTTTCTTGTTTGTATTCCTGTTCCATGACTAATCAGGATCAAACGCAATTGAGAAGCGCGGAGAAAACTACGTTTATTGCCATTACTGTTCATGCTCAAATAAAGTAAGGAATTCGATCTATACACACTAGTTGTTAATAAAATTTTACCATACAAATAACAAAATTATAAAGATAATAATCGCATAAAATATCAACTGAAAATAAATATTTTTGTTTTTGTTCAACCACGATGAATTCAATCAAGTTTATTGATTGAAAAAATTATTTCGTATTTCACATCACCTTTCTATCATCAATGAGTATATCAAGAGTAAACAGTACATTATTCTACGACTGTAGAGTAATAGGATCTGCGGAATTCAACAAATGAGTGCATGTAATCATAAAATTATGAAAAGAATCCTTCCATAGGTTGCCGATGGAAACCATTAGATTTTTTCTAAAAATAGAAATTCAATTTGTGTATTTCGTTATTTAAATAAAAATCATGCATAAGAAGCATTTTTTTCCCTGACTGACGCAATTAAATATACTGGGGAAATGTTGACAAGGTTACTAACGAAAAGGTTTTTAATAACAAAATTTTCTTGCAGCAAAACGAAAGTTAAAGAAGCTTTTCTTTTTATTTCTAATGTTTTTTACTAATTCCTAAAAGAAATTCATAATAAATATAGACAAGTAAATAGTGAAGCATGCAAGTTAGCATCTTTGTTAACTTGTGGTGATTGATTCAGTTACGTTTTTTAATCAAAAATAAGATTTGTTTCTATTTCTGTAAAGAATATAAAACTAAAATTACACGGCAATTAGAGTTCTGGTTGGTTAGGATGCAAAAGCTAGATTTCCTGTTGTTTATCTTATACGATCTGGATGTAAATCGACAGAAGAACAATATCGACACACTTGCATCTTACATAAAATCTAGACGTGTAGTGAAAACATTAGAAGGTATACATTATTTTATATTTTTATTGTCAGAATTCATACATAAAAGCTCGATAGGACAAGCCACGAATGCTATTATTTGTTAACTATATATTTGTACGTTTGATTGTATTTATATGAATGAAAAACATATAGAAGTATAATATGGTCATGACTAGTAGTGTAGGTTGTAGAAAATTTTGAGTTGCCGGATGTGGGTGTGGCACTTTTTTAATATAACTAATTATACAGATATTCCTGGCACATGCGCTCTTCCGACAGTTGGCCCTGAGGTATTTCATTTTCCATTATTTTTAGTTAAACCAATGACATTAAACGTATATTCTTGTTGATCTTTATCTCTATCAGCATTTCTCCATTACCACAAGAATATATGATCTTAGGATTTCGTTCATATGTTATCCTTTACTATCAAGTCCTTGATAGTATCGGAACGCTGTCTACTAAACTAATAAACATAGAAGAAAAATCATGATTATCAAAGAAGAAAACAAATCTGATCGATTGCTTTTTGTCCATTAGAATATAATTTATATCTAGAAATTAGGTCATTAGCGAGCATGTTTGAGACATAGGTATCTATCCTTTTAAATTTAAAAAAATAATTTTTCTTTTTATTCAATCATTAGCAATTCGATTTGAACGTTAAACTGACTTCATTCTATAAGCACAATATGTGTCACAATGATGGTATCAATTGTCCAATAGCTGTACATGTACTACCTAAATTTGATCCTTGATCATATTTCCACCAAAAGCCTATTTCAATATATTCATTTTGAACAACATTAAATATCTGCTGTACATAAGTCGGGTAATATTTTGAAGCTCCGTACAAATAACCATCACCCGTGTGAGCTAAACCTGTTGTTGTATCAACATAAGTATTTGGCGTCGAATTTAATGAAATATTGAGTATCCATTCAGTTAAATTCGCTTCGAATCCACCATTTGTTATAAGTTGAACACTATTATTTTGTATTGCGCTAATATCATCAAAATACCAATGGCCAGATTCTGTATCATGTTGAAAAGTAAATCGAATGGTATATGAGGTTGATGTTGCCATTTGATAACATGAAAAAAAATTATAAGAAGCTTGTCCGGTGCATAGAGGGTCAGTTATATTGAACATTTCCATAGAGCATAGCGTGCGATTTTCTGAAGATAATGGAATTGATATTAGTTTGAGCTCTAAACCTGAAAAGAAATAATCAATGTAAACTGACACTTAGCAATCTGTAGAAGTGACTTTAAAACTTGTAATCACAATTTTTACTAACAAAAAACTTACTCTTTCCACTTGAATTAGTAGAGTCAGTAGAACCGCCTAAAAAACGGAAAAAATATTTCTCTTAAAGAAATCAAAGTTTCTTCACTTACTGTGAACAACGAAAATCGTAACAAAAAGTGCAACAAAAATACCAATAACGAGAAGTATTGATATTATCGTAATTATAATCAAGATACGTTTCGACATCCATGTATTCTTATCACTATTTTGATAATACAATGAATTATTCTTGCATGTTCATAAAATACTTACCTGTCCCTAAATTCTTCCGTTGAACAATCTCCTGATCCACTGATTGATTTTGCTCTTGGTGATGCCACCGATGTTTCTAATGATTCAATATCATGAATCTGTGTTGCACTAGAGAAACGCGATAGAGGAGTAGGTCGACCATTGTGAATTGATGCTGGATTTATTATGGTTTCATTAGGCAATCGATTTACATTCTATATGAATTTTTATAAAATAGAAACTTTTTTTTTCTAAAACAAAAACGAATAAAACTAACTTGATTTTTACTGTATTTCTTTCGCGTTTTATGTAGTTTGGTATGAACAAATTGAGATGATGATTGCTGAAAGAATTCAATGGTATTTCAATAGAAGTCTATTTAAAAGAAAAACAAACTTCTATTGGTTCTACTCTGCTGAATTTTCTCGATTGGAAACGGTGTTTTTTCTTGAAATGATAAAATAACGAAAGATTAATTAATTAACTTTGTTGATAGATTTCATCTTACATTTGATTCTTGTTTTGTATCTGCATACCAAAAATTATTATGAGCTACACTCGGCTTTCGATTCACTTCTCTTCCTTCTATAACTTGTAAAACCCATCTACCTGTTTGTGTTTCTTTTACTTTATCAACAACAGTATATTCATCATGATGTTTTGGTGGCGCTTGTGAACTTAGCTTTATAGGTTGAACAGATACGTGACCGAAATGATCAACAGTTTTGGTTAGACGAGTTTGGAATTCAATAGATGGCATTGTTGGGTTACGTAGTGCTTGTTGCGATCGATTAGCCCATGCTTTACCGTTCAGGAGATTCTTCATTATTTTCGAAATATGATTATTTTCAATGATACATTCAATTCAAATGAAGTATTTTATAACGTGTGTGTCTGTGTGTGTGTGTGTAAAGAAAATAATCAACTAGAGGTTTCTTTTCTATTTTTCTATGTGATTCAAAAAAGAGACTTGATTATTAATCATGAAAAAAAAATCACCAATAATAATAAAATGTAGTTTTTTTTTTATCAGAATGAAATAGAAGCACTACGAAATTTTTCTTTCATAGGCGTAAAGGGCTATGTAGAAAATAATAGAGTACATATTTCTGTTAAATTCGCTGTCCAATAGGTCAGTACTATTAGAAATAATAGAATTAACAAAAAAAGCTTTTTAGTTTTTATCGCAAATGAAACTTGAAGGATTTTACTTCATCTCCGAATTGATATGGCTCAACTCCGTGCTGTTCTCGTTAAAAGTAAACAATAGAATATGTTAATATTCGAACACTCCAAACCAATGAGAAAATGAAATTGCAGAAAAAAGAATTTCAAAATAAAATCATGATTATAATTCATATATTATTTCGAATAAATTTTGTTTGCTTCATGTTTGGTGGATTCAATAAATGGGACATTGTTTGTGCGTACAGAGAATAAGAAGAAAAGGATAGTGGGACAAGGCTTTATTTTTCAAACTCATCGAACTACAATAAATATTGAACCTAAAGTAGTATTGCTTGTGGCATGGTAATTCTTTATAGAAAGCATCAACAATATTTCTTTTTATATTATCTGATCGAAAAAATTTACTCTGTTTAATTATTCTTCGATTAAATTCTATGTGCTTCTTGTGTTCTGAGTTATTCATCCGTCTAAATATGTATTATAGTCAGATATCTTTCGTACAATAAGTACTACTGGTAGCAATGAATAGAAAGTCGATCCGATGTAGAATTCTAACACTGAATAACCTGAACGTCCCATACGAATTGGCTAACCACATAGAAATAGACGTTCTATAAAACAATAATGAGTCACCCGATACGAACAGTAAGAGGTCAGTGACGTAGTTCGAATATTTTTCTAGTTGGTTCTAGCAAGTTCTGAACATTGTACAAAATTAAAAATAATACTCTCTAGAATAGATAGTTACAGAGAAAATTTCCTCACAATGAAGGTGTTTCAGGTGATAAGCAAAAACGTTGAAGTTTTTTTATGTCAAATGAAAGCTCTCATCATGAAACTAACATGGTTAAAATATTAGCGGCTGTTGGCGTACCCTTATGGAGATATTCGATTTTTCAGTGAATTTTCTCTACAGGACCGGCTTTCCCAGCAATATCATATTTTCGAATTTGAACCTGAAACTTTGTATGCATGAAGGTTTCAATGAGACTAGCTTACAGAAAAAAACATCAGAAGGTTTGGACAAACCCTCTTCGAAATATGAATCTCTCAAAGTATATACAATTTTCTATAGAAGCTGTATACTTGAGGCATCTATATTTCGAAGAGGGTTTGTCCAAACCTTCTGATGTTTTTTTCTGTAAGCTAGTCTCATTGAAACCTTCATGCATACAAAGTTTCAGGTTCAAATTCGAAAATATGATACTACTGGGAAAGCCGGTCATGTAGAGAAAATTCACTGAAAAATCGAGTATCTCCATAAGGGTACGCCAACAGCCGCTAATATTTTAACCATGTTAGTTTCATGATGAGAGCTTTCATTTGACATAAAAAAACTTCAACGTTTTTGCTTATCACCTGAAACACATCCATTGTCAGTAAATTCGATATGTTTTTTGAACAGATTCAAAACAAGATGCAATATCTGAAGATAAAGTCAATTTATTCAAAATAAATTGCAAATCAAATGATGATTGAATGCAAGGAATCAGTGTATTAGTTTTGAGTGCAAATATTATTTATCATTGAATATTTGACGAAATAATTTCCACCTATTTCAACCGAATATTGCATAAATCGAATCAAATTCTAATTAAAAAACCCTCGCCCTGCTTATTATGCCTTTTTCTTCATACAATTTAGGTTCATTAGTGTCGAGATCAAGAATTGGTACCGATGTGTAATATGTTTGATTTGTGCCAAACCCAGGTCGATGGTAGAATGGATCTATTTGCAAGCGATAAAGTAATATTGAATTAGAAAACAAAATATATTGCATTGAACTGGAAATTAGACCTAAAACAGAAAGGATAGGTGATCTAAGCTGTAAAGTTTAAAGATTACTGTTGAAAACAGTCATCTTAAATTGAAATAGATAGACATTTGAGTTGTATTTACATCAATAGACCATATCAATCTCAATATTTCATCAGTAGTAAACAATCTATTCGTCCATCTTGCTAAACTATAGAAATGAGTAAAACCAGAAGTTATTGATCTTCGTATAGATTGAATAAATTGAATATTCAAATCGTACTTATTGACGCTCATATTTCGAGCAAAAAGAACTGTAGACGTTCATTGTATCGATACAGGTAGCTAAGGAAACATCAGTCACGAAAAAACCTCTGAATCGAGTTAAGTTTGCTACAAAGTATTGGTCAATAAGGCTATCTCCAAGTACAATAAGTGTATTGTCATTTTTATTATATGTTACATAACGAGCGAGTGGATGCGAGATGTTAATCGGAGTTGAATTTGCATATTGATCAAGTGTATTTTGACTAGAATAACAGGAACAGAAATTGAGATCTGATGTAGAATCGAATGAAATTTCCATTTCTTGAATCCATGGCTGTTCGATAGATTGACATGAATTATTCGACGGAAAACAATTAATACCATAACATTTTGGTCTTGCTATATTCATTTGTTTTTGATTCATTAAACAATCGCAAAGGCAATCGGAACATGTTGAACTAGGTGATGAAGAGTTAAACTATTATTTGTTATTACAGAGACACGTCTGATATTATCAATTTGAACTGAATCAATGAATTTTAATATGCATGTTAGCAGAAGTATTGTAATAGACATGGTTGTCTTGGTAAGATTGAAAATTGAATTTCATAAGAAAAATTGACCTTTTTTATTGTTTTCATGAGAAAAATATCTCCGAGTAACGTGTCTCTTTTAACAGTTGGAAAAAATAAACATGCAATGCTAATTTTTATTTTTCGAATCGAACTTTTCTAGAATTTCATTAGTGAGAAAAAACTCTTAATGTAATTGAAACAACCATTCTGTCTTTACAAGAAGTCAAATATAATTACCTGTTTGAGAGCAGCTGCTCTCAGGAAAACTTTTCCTAGGCAAAGAATTTTTGATTCTTACATTGAAGGTATTTTTCTGGTTTTAACTTTATTGGATGGTCTGATCCATTTATGGCGTCGTGCAAGTGATTACCACAAATAGGAGTAAGTTCTACGATTAAATTCAACTGAAATTGAAAGAAAGAAAAAGGTTAAACAAGCAAATTTAATTGTTTTCTGAGTGTTGCGACAAGTCGAAATAACGTATATTGAAGGAAAAGAATGATGTTGATGAAAACATACGGCAAATAATAATGTTTGTCATAAGTGAAAAGTAAAATTTTAAGTCTCAAAGATGATTTGACTTTCATATAATTGAACAAAAACTACTAACTATCTACAGCTATGTTTTCAATCGAAAACAATAAGTTGACGTGAAAACACGTCACCCGTATTCGTTCATTTTTTAAGTACCGAGTTGCATTCATTCACCCCAGAATTACCAAATGTCTATCGGTGCTCATAGGTTCCCACATATCGATCGATGTATGACTCTCTTGATTTGGCAGATGTAAATTGATTTTAACAAATATTAAAAACTTCATACATACGTGCTTAATCGGAATGAGGTCGAAGATAAAAGGAAAGTCTATTTTACTTTACTGTTTCTTTTTTTTTGCTATAAATTCTGTACAATAAGCATATCGACAGATGAGGTGTTGAACTTTGAGCTCAATAGGAAGAAAATTGCTTTATTCTAATAAGTGTACAGGAAGCGATGAAGCAGATCTCTGATTCGTATAAAACATGAGTCTTTTGTTATCAATAGAATAGTCAATATAACAGTGTGAACTTTAGGATTCTACACATCCACGCACATTTATCGATTATGCGGAATGAATTTTGTTGGTTGAACGGATTTCACAGAACTGAAGTTGTATTGTTGTACACCCACACTCTCCAATTACGTATTTGATATGCTAATATATCAGAGCGTGTCAAACGAAGATATATAAAAGCAAGCAGAGGGTGGGTGAAAAATAATGCATGAACACAAAGGAAAGAATTAAAACCGCAACAGTTCCTATAAAAAATTTCAACTGGAAATAAGCACAGCAAAAATCCACCGAAGATATGAGTTACTTAGTAGTATAATGCTTCGATTAATCAATCATCATCGTTCATTATTCAATAAAAACTCTGCTGCTACAGTTTCAATCAGAGCTATTTTCATAAACATATAGTTTTCCTGATCTATACACTGAACGAATCAATGAGTACCTTATTTCAGTAAGTCTCTCGATCCATTTTAACATAGAGTTAACTAATCAGATGTATTCACAAGACTTTTACAAATTCATTCAAAAATTGAACATAAATGAAATAAACAATAGCTACAACAGTGTTGCTTATGAAAATAAAAATTAATTTTTTTCCTTGATATTGTAAGGTGCACCAAGATCAAAAATTGAGCAGGAGAAAAGTTCCTTTTATTATTATACGGTTTGATAGAGCTTGATGAGTAGATCATGAGTATCATCTTTAACATATATCTAGGCTTCCGTTTTGGTTGAGAAGTTTTCAAAATACAAACTGCACTTGAAAAGTGAATATTTCACTTTCTTAGAGAAAACTCGAAATTTGCCTAGTTTAACAATGCTCTACGTTTAGAAAACTATCATCATCGAATTCAGCATGAAAATCTGAATCTATTAATGCAACTTGGACCAGTAAAAAACATAAGTTTCATGTTTGAGGACCTTAACTAAATCTCCATGTAAACACGTTGAAATTGATGTCTCGCAAAATCATCAACTATTGTTTTCAAAGCGATTCTCGGACTTTCTTACGTCATTCGAACGACCAAGTGATTGCGAACAAAAGCATATATTCAGTTTGAAAAATATTGTTCCCTCTCTGGGAAAATCGGTTTTCACTAGATCGGTGACTAGAGGTTAAATAATTGCCCTCTTATTTCGAGGTTTTGGCTATCACAACTCAACTTCCATGCAAAATAAACACCAAATTCAGAATCAGCACAAAAAGCAACATTGACTATCATAAATTTTATCAAAAAATAATTTTCATCAAAATTTTACCAGTAGGCGACTACAGGGTAAAATCAAGAAAAAAATGACTGAGAGGTAGTAGGCTGGAATTTCGATGAAAATTATTTTTTCATAAAATTTGTGATAGTCAATGCAGTTTTTCCTTATGATTCTGAATCTGATGTTTATTTTGCATGAAAATTGAGTTTTGATAGTTGAAATCCGGAAGTAAGAGTACAATTGTTTAAGGTATAGCCATCGATCTAGTAAAAATCGATTTTCTCAAAGATGGAACAATATTTTTCAAACTGAATATATTCTTTTGTTCGCTATCGCTTGACGATTCGAATCATATAAGAAAGTCCGAGAATTGCTTTCAACAAAAAAAATTTGATGATTTTGCGAGATATCCATTTCAAAGTGTCTATATGGGAACCTAGTTGAGGTCCTCAAACATGAAACTTATGTTTTTTACTGGTCAACGTTGCATCAGTAGATTCAGATTTTCATGTTGAATTCGATGATGATAGTTTTCTTAACATAGAACATCGTTAAACTAGGCAAATTTCGAGTTTTCTCTAAGAAAGTGAAATATTCACTTTTCAAGTGCAGTTTGCATTTTGAAAATTTCTCAACCAAAACGGAAGCCTATAAATATTTTAAAGATGATATTCATGATCTACTCATCCAGCTCTATCCAACCATGTAATAACAAAAGGAAATTTTCTCCTGCTCGATTTTTGATCTCGGTGCACCTTATGTTTAAATTGAATTCAAATTGAGGTTTAGATGGTCGATTCAGCATAGTTGAAATATAAAATAATGATATGTGTAACGTGTGATTAAGAACTATAACTAACGAATGATGCGACAGGCTTCCGAGCAAAAAGTGATATTTATTTTTCAACAATAAAATTAGGCTTATATTGAATTTTTTGCGAACGTATAAAGTCTGGAAAGTATTGGAGTAAAATAAAAATTTAAGCAGTTCATACCATACGAAAACATTCTTTAGACGGATGTTGAATAAACTCAACAACTCCAGAAAAAAACATATTGTATCATTCAAAATTATCGAATACATAGAAGTTGTAAAATAAATATATTGTTCGATAGGATAGAGGAAAGAAATTCTGAAAATATTATTATTGACTTTGGACGGTCTTCCTTGAGTCGATCATATTTATTGTTTTAGCAGAAGGGAATATAACAAGAAAAATATGTACTGATCAATAATATAATTTAAATTCATCGACAAAGATTCTTGGACAATATTTTCATTTGCAAATGTTTTCTATAATAAGTTGTTTTTTAATTGACCAACTTTACCGTTTCATGAAAAAAACATTTTCTTTTATGAGCTCTACTCTGAGAAAATGTTGACACAAATGTATAGAGCATCATGCTTAATTATTTTGTAGAATCGAACGACTATTTCTAAATATAAAACGTTAAACTTGTCGTTACTCTATGAGTTCGTTTCTTGATAGGATCTTTCGATATTTATTTTACAGGCTTTATAATCAATAGTGAAATTCTTTTTTCTTTTTGATATTAAGGTAATTTGTATGCTCTCTCTCTCTCTCTCTTCTTTCTCTACGATATCGTATCTAGTGCATTACTATAATTAAAATTATTTTGCTGAGACAATTTTTATTTTCTTAAAAAAATTTACTTGCAATCAACGGTATCTAGATGATTTTCAAAAAAAAGCTTACTTCTCAAAATCAACATTTCATTATGAATTCCGATGTGATTTTTGAGAGCACATTCACTTATTTACAGATTGCGATATTGGTAATTTTGCGTTCGTAATTGTCGATCATTTTCGTCAAGTTTAACGATCGGTACTTGTGTTCTCAACTGATAATCTGTACGTCTTGGTTCATGTCTAGTTTTACAAATAATTTCTTTCATTATTTTGCATAGTTCTTGACGAAATACTTTCCCACTAAGTGTTAATATGTAAAATGCACACGAATGATTAACAAATGATATTGTTCGAACAACTATGACAAAAATATTTTCAACTGTTTTCGCATACTCATCTTTCCGATCATAAAGTGTGAGCGTTGAGTATAACTTCTGTACAGCGTGTGGTACAGCTGTGATTGATATGAGGCCAACTTGCACAAGAAGCATTAACATCAATGCATTATCATGATTATTTAAAGATGTAATACGTCGGCCAACTCGTGGAACAATGCGACGAAGTCGTCTTGTACTAACTATTGTCCATATACCAAAAATTAGCATTAATAACGGCGGTAGAAGACTATAGCCAATCAAATAAAAACTATCGTTAAATAAACGATAAAAGCCTAAACGACCATTACATTCTTCTGTGTCATCGATTTCATAGAACATAAGAACATGACAGTAAAAAATCAGTACTATGCATGTGGTGATGAATATCATCCAACGTGATATATACGGACGTGCAAATGCTCGTCGATGAACATTAAGTGAACTTGACATTTTTCGATCAAAACAAGCAAGTACAATAAACCATGATGAAAGAGATTTAGCAGTAAAATATGTATAGAAACGTATTTTACAATAAAATAAATTATATTGACCTGGATCAAGATCATAACCATCGGAAAATATGCGTGATGGTAGAATAAAGAAGACAACAAAATAATTAGCTATTGTTGATGCTAAAAAATAATGCACACATGAATTCTGACGGAAAGTCTTACGTGTAAATATTAATGTATTTAATATTAGTCCAACGATTCCCAAAATAAATAAGCCAATAAGACAATAGCGAGAGAAAATATTTTTAATGAGACCATCCATGTTCATTCGTTGAATATGGAATCGAAAAAAAAAACAGAATCAATGGAATTATATTCCGTAGTGTATTATCTATATATAACATTAAAGAAAAATGTATATTTAAAATAATTAACTCAGTCGGATAGATGTGACCATATTGAAATAAAATTAAAAAAGCATTATGTCAGTTGTATTCGAATAGGGAACAAAAAGATAGATTAGCTCAAGCTGTTACAAAGTTATATTCATTCAATAGACAAAACTACTGAGAATCACACCAGAATATATTTTTTTCAACGATGAACATAAACTGCCATTCGAAAATTTCATTAATAATATTATTATTAATGTGTGTAAATTTAAATTTATTTTGATGTAACTTAGCGTTGTTTTTTTTTCCATCGTACTAAATCTAACACAGATAGTGACATATTCTATGTTTATTTAGAGAAAAATTAGACATAATCTTAATATTGTAACTTGCTTTGAACAGCGTAAACCGGAATTTCGACACCTGATTGCTAACAGTCTTTTTTTCTAATTTCGACAAAACTCTACGCAACACAAAGACCGAACAACATCCGGTGGGGAATGAAAGAAACTTTTGAAAGAGTAAAGTTCTACTTACATTTCCAATTCATTTCACTATGCTTCATCAAGATACTTGAACTTTGACGTTCTTTTTATTTTTGAAGTTCTAATGAATTGTGAAGAAAATGCAACACACTATGCGTTATACTAGGAAATGTCGAAATAATAACTCAATTAAATCGTGTTTATACTATCGATACATCGTTTCCATTGGCATCTACAAGTTGCTATCTAAAAGTATTTCATTCTTATACTATCAGTAGATAGATATAGAAGATTTCTTATGAATGTATATTATTGAAAAATCGTTCAGTGGGCGCATGACTAAAAGATTTGATTATTATTCTAGCCATAGATGCATTGTTATTAGTACTATTGTTCTATAAATCATATGTAAAATCATCATTTGCATAGATATTTGATTCCATAAGTATTTTTTCGGTCTTAAGACTTTCTAATTATTTATAGTATCTACGCATTTAAAGAAAAATTATTCATACACCAGCACAAAAATGGATGATTATAAACTGAGGTCAATAAATATTCAATGAGAAAATATATGTTTTTTCAAAGAATCCTCGAATAGCGAATTTAGTTTTAATGATTTCTTCTTCAGTTATATTTCGTGATCATAAATCTATCATTAGGAAGAGAAAGTTTGATTTATGTCTTACGACAGGAAACATTTGTTTGATTATACTTAATTCATGTAGATAAGAAACAAAATTTTATGTGTGTAATTAAAAATAGTAAGAATTGTCTTTATTGAATATAGAGGTATACAGCAGATTTTTTTCCGATAGAAAAATCCGGTTCATATATAGAAGAATAAAAAGAAATGAGATCTAAGAAATTTTTCGGTTTAATTTAAGCTAATTTGCAGAATATCCTATTTTTTAAATATTTTTAATAAGTAGATATTCATCCTAATTCAGTACACTGAACTTTGTTGCCATTCAGACCGGATGCTTAACTTGCAATATAGAATAACAGTGATTCTTGAATAGACCTCTTAAAAGTAACTTCAAACATAATTATCATTTTTCAGTACGGACTCGTTGGAATTATTGATAGTTTAAAGGTCTAAGAGTTGCAAAAAGAAAAGATTTATTAAAAAAGATTCGCAAGTATCCTACTGGCCTAATCAATGCCTTACTGTATTCTTTTTATCGGAGCATGCAACTGATTTTGAATTGATTTTTTTGCCTCGTTTAAATTACTATGGCGTACTTCCTGTTACCGGTTAAAAGTTATCATTCTGGATCTGAAAATGATTCTCATTTGATGATAAACTGAAATAGTAACCAAAAGGTTAATGCTGCTAATTAGAGTTTATTCTATGTGAATTCAAAGATACAATAGTTCATAAACATTTGTCTTTTCCTCCTCTAAAACCTACTTGAAATATAAATCCGTCGCTTGTTATTGTTGGTTTCATGTATAAAAAACGCCAGGATATGATCTAAGAATAATAAGTATAATACACAAGGAAATAGTAACTCCAATATAACATATTAGAGTTCTATTAACATCTTCTTCCTTTATCTCAAATTTGCGTGACATAAATATTTAATCAGAGTATTTTTCTTCTCGTATACAACTATTGCAATCGTAGTTAATTAAAAAAATCAAGGCTTGTACTATTAATAGATTAAATGTGACCGTAAAAAAGAGTGGAAAATCTAGACAAGATAAACAAGTTTATCAAACGTCTTATATTTTACAACACACTTTTTCGACGTCGTTAGAGTCGATTCTCGGTGCAGACATCATTTTTCTTGCGGGAGCGAATAAATAGTCGTATGCTTCATTTATGCTACATCAGGGATATCTCTTGTTGAATCTATGACGTCAAAGACCTCGCTAACTATAGTCAAATGACTCTCAAACAGATGATTTCAACGGCAGTTTATTCTCTATCATTTTGAAATGTTCTCGAGCCGTAAGTAATCAGACAAGGATGAGAAATAATATTCTAAACAATTCATTTTCGTTCGATATGCTTGACTGAGTTCGCGTTATATGCCATTGTTAAAGCATAACAAAACTTGAACATCAATGATGATCAAGTAGAATAATAAAGCAATTGTTATATGGAACAAATTATTGTAGTCTATAAATATCCTATTCAGTAATCAAATATTTTCTTCCCACGTCGACAAATCCGACGACGAATTCTATCGGATCCTATAACATCCTACTAACCGAGGAAATTCAATTTCCAGGCCCATCATTCAGACCATCTGATAGATGGCATTGAACTGCCTGAAACGGTCAAACAACGGCGCAAATAATGCCCTAAATGATGACAAACGACCGCCGCTTTTAGCAGTTTTCCGTCAGCTCGGATTACGGGCCGCTTTTCCCCGGAACGTTAACGGTGTCGTTCAAGGCCGTTTCCGACGAAAAAGGGCAAGTAACAAAAGCACCCATTTTCGTCCTTTCTGACGTGATCACGCCGTTTTTCACCATTTTACATGAGAGTTATTCTGGCCATTTATACTTTTTAAACATTTTAATTTAATAATATCATTATATATTTATTTTCAAAAGAAAAGTCTACACAAAATAACACGAAATAAAACAAAGAGTCATCCGAAAAAAATTAAAAACACTAATATAATCTAAAAATTAAAGAAAAAATAAAAACAGTGAAACAATCTAGAAATTAAAATTAAAAAAATTCGATAAGAATACAGTAAATGAAATATAAAATAAAATAAAATAAGTTGAACGAGTGCCTAAATAGGTATCTATTTTACCCATATTTATATCTCCAAATAAAACCGATGCAAAACGGTAAAAAACGTTCGCCTGAGAAGAAAGTCGTATCCGACAACACAGAAACCATCACTTAAAAAGCCATCGTTTTTCGCCGTATCACATCGTTTTCCGGTACTTCATCTCTGACCATCGTAACGGTTGCCGGTTTTCGTCGTTTAGGGTTGTTTATGGACCGTTCTATTCGGCATGGGCTGGATTCTGGGTTTCAAAATTATTGACGGATCCAATGGGAGAAATTTAAAAAATTCTGTTTAGTGCAAAAACGGTTTTTAGAGGCTGACTATAGCAGAATTTTTTGGCGTATCGGATCCCAGAGTAGGATACAATTGGATATGTGTCGGATTCCGATTCTATGGATCCGGATCTCGGTCCGGAATCCGTTGACTCTGGTGAATTTTCATATAAGGTTCGAGGTAACCCATTTTCAGATCCGATTGGATCCAGCTGTAGGAATGAACGATCTGGGTTGTTGAATAATTCACATGACAACCATTTTGATAACATTGTTTTTGTTAAATATCAGTAAACAAGAATCCAGGACAAAAATATTTCAAGCAAATCTAAACAATAGATCAATATATGTATCACAGAACTTTGCATTTGGCTCTCTACTAGTGGTGATTATTGTTAAATTTTCGGTATGATGAAAATATTTCAAGCAGACAGCTGTGTTGCTCGCCAGTGATGTAGCCTACTAAAGAATGGGGTCAAAAATTGAATATTTTCTTCGTTGATCGAGATCCTTACGCTAAATATTTATTAGCAATTTGTTTGATGAAATTTTCTCGCATAGGTTTATAAAAAGATTGATAAACAAATCCAATTTTAAGAGGATTTTCAATTAAGAAGAGTCGATTTATAAAAATTATAATTGACTTTAAATTTAAAACAAGCGTTAACAAAATCCTTATTCAATTTTTTTTCTTAGATGAGAGTAACCTATCCTGATCCTATTCTACTCGTTAATTTATTTCTAATTGAATAACTTATAAGTGGATTGTAATCAGTGTAAATCGAAGCTATTAACTTCTCGCGTAGTCCGCCAATATTCTTGTTTAGAAATCATCAAGAAAAAAATCTGTGAATTTAGAATTACCAGAATTCGATTAGTCGTGGGAAAATGTTTCCTATTTATGTAATATACATAATGAAAATAAGTAAGAACATGATTAGTTGCCTAGAATTTCTACTCAATTTTAATGGATTTGAAAATGTGCTCTCTATAATTGTTTGTCTCGGATAAGTAGTAGACAGAGAATCATCAGTTTTGTGTTTGTCTGTACTACATGTTATTTCAAAGAAACCCATAAACCACGTGACTTTTCGTTTAAATTCGAACTAGGTATCCTCCCACTGGTTAATGCATCGTCATTCGAGTCTTAAATGATTTTAATGCATGTATCGATCTTCCCTATTTCCCTCATATGCATTTGACAGTAATGTCTAGTTTCTTAATTAGATTGATGCAAGTCTTTTTTTTGTGTATTAAATCAAATTGAAATTCATTCAAATGACAAAATCTAGGCTTAATCCAATCAGAATCACTTATTCAACGTGAACTTGAAACTGACATATTACTGTTTAGCTATGACAGAAGTTTTTTTCTTTCTTCTAAAGTCAGTCGTGATCATTATTGTTAAGTTCAGAGACGAAAAAAACTATGTTGGCTAATACAGTACGTCTTCATCACTTGAGTGAATAATTTTAGCTGATGGGTTAAATTGGTTTACAAGCGATGCTGATAAATTCTTTACGTTTCAATATTTTATTCAATTATAAATGATCTTTCAGTTTCAGTCTTCTGAGCTTTAGAAAGTTTTTGTCCTCTCGGCCAAGATAAAGAAATTTCACATGTTTTATTATCATCGCAATTGAAGAAAAAATCTCTGGTGTTTATTTATTTTTCGATGAAACTACGATGGGCACACAAAGACAAGAATGCACATCTATTCAAGTCAAGAGAAAAGAAAACGAACAAAATGAAGTTAATAGAATAACAAAGATTATGAGAATTATCTATTTTCCACCAGCTGCTTGTTTGCGTAATAATTGAAAAATCTGTTGTTTAATCCATTCTTTATTATGTGGTTCATATTGACCTGTTTGTTTTTGAAAAACTAAGCAACTTAAATCAGATATTTGATCAACAAATTCAAATAATTCCGATATATCATAGGTTATTGATGGTGATGTTGGATTCCGTTTTTTTAAATGTTCTTCAAATACTTTACAAACACCTATAAAAAAATATTTTCTACTATTTTCTCAATTAATTTCTATTCAATTTTTACCATCAAGGCATTCATCAACTGATTCATAATCAGAATAAGTACGCGAATCAAGTTTACTTGTTGATTGAAGAAGAAGAATTGTATGTGACATATCTAAAACCTATTTAATAAAATTATATTTCATCAGAGAAATAAATTTGTGCTAAGACAGGCCTAAATCGATATGATTATTACTCAGAGATACAGAACTTAGTGGTACACGCCTACGCGTGCTAGGGGAAATTTTCGCAAACTAGTGGCTATAAGAATATATCATTGGAGAATTCAAGAAAAGAAATATTTTCTTTTTGACTCTAACGTATTCAGCATAAACTACCTATTGAACTTCTGTTTATTGCTGATTAATAAAGATGAATTCTTTTTCTTAGTCGTCGATTCTATCCATTTGGTATAATCTCCTAAAAACGGAAGCTTACTAACTATAAGCGCTAGAACTCTGCCAAATGTGAATCATGGACACTATTTCCATCTCGCTTACTTCGGTAGAATCAGATCTATGGTAGATGATAGCAGTATTTATAACTAGAGGATTGAAGAGAATTAAAGTACAGCAGACATTGAATATATATACCATCGTCTTAAAACTATATGTTATACAAATTTTATTGAAAGTTTCGCAAACCATTCAAGAAATATAATCATTTAATCTTGATTGAAGACGCATTGCTCAATGGTCAAGAGAAAATTATAGTCGAGAGCGTATTTTCAAGTAACAAAATGCCGAGTCTAAACTACACAACATTCACCATAAATTAGTTTCCAGTGAAAGAATCCAACGATGAGCAATTTTACTGGTCTAAAGTATGCGATAAAATACATACGCAAGAACTTATAGAGCTCTACTATATATTATATCTATCGACTAAATGAACCGTCGATTTAAAACAAAATCTTCAATAAAGAACTCTGAATATTAATCATTCATATCGAAATACGTCTTCCTATTGACTTGTTCTACTGGCTAAAAATATAAGTTACTAAGTCGACAAGTTTAACCTCTACCAATAGCTATGATATACAATGAAAATGTACTGGATAACATGGAACAATGCGATATTAATATCAATACTATTCGAGAATTTCAAATCAAAGGAAACCAACATTTTTTCAAGGCTTACAATTTGACGATGAAATTTTTTCAGCTTACACAAAATACTGCAGCAAATTATATTCTAAAAAAACTAACATGTGTCGCAGCTTCTCAAGGCGATTTTTCTAGAGCTGCATTACATTTATTTTCAAGTAGCTCTATCTTTTACATCCACTTATGGATCAACGTAGATACGCTTCACTGATTCATTTTATGAGTAAGTTTTCTAGAATCGATCGCGACACTTTTTATTACAAATAATCCTACTCAGACTATAATGTATTGCTAAAGTACAAATTTTGCAATGAAAAAAGGATCTGAATAAGAGAGCACAAGAAAATCGTATTGTCTTCGCTTTACCATCTGTTACTACGAAATTAACGAACCCCGGGTATGATTACAAATACTTTTTCGAATGATCTATCACACCCACACCCACATATAGTGCTTTGCTTAACTAGGCGGGCTTGGACTTTTTTAGAAAATCTGATTATAACACTAGGCTGCATAAATGATGTTCGTTACGTTGAGCAAACTTTTTTGAAATAATTTCATATTTATTTGATTAATTATTGTCGTTTTTCCTAAATAATAATGAAGAAAAGTCGACGAAAAAGAATATATCCACTGAGAAAACTAGTCTAAGAAAAATATTATAATTTACCCGACAGACAGTTAATTTGATTAAAGAAAAATATTTCTTCCCAATCGTCAGATGAATAGGCGAACAATAATTTTTTATTTGGAAAGAAGAACGACTCTCGATTGGTCTATTTAACAGTATTCTAATGCATTAATGCATTGACATTTTTTTCAAATTATTTATCATAAAAAATAAAAACTACTTAAATTGATTTCATATAATAAATATACTATTCGATATATGTCGAATAAAATAAAAGAATGCATAGACGAAGGACAACACGATCTTAGCATGAATGTTAACTGTCAAAATTCGACTATGTCACCGGAAAAGAAATGAAAGAAAGCATTCGCTTTTCCAGACAAACTACTCTAGCTTTAGTTTCAAGTGGTTGCGCTCTTTTCTTTTTATTTGTATTGATTATCTTTTGTATCAATAATGCTACATATTGATCAGTAGAAATTTGAGTTTCTTTTAAAATATGATAACTATAAAATAATCTTCTTCTAGGTTAACATTACTTCATCATCAATGGAACGATTTCACTCATCGTTTAAAACAATTAATTCATTCATTATCGCAATACGAAAGAGTTCATTTCGATTACGTTCATTCTTCACTATCTGATACGAAACAAAATCTTGATGAAAGTCAAGAGCAATTTACTCGAAAAGAAACTTTTCCATTTGAGTTATTAACAATTGAAAAAATAAAATATGTACAAATACATAAATCTATTGAAGATATTCAATTGAACGTTAAAACCAATGAGAATATTATTGAAAAAGCGAATAAACGACTTGATGGTACACGAAATATTTTACAGTTTTATTTTTTATTTTTTTAAATATCTTCTACAGCTGTTCGTCAGGATACGAATGATGTGCGATCGTTTTTAAAATCTATAAATGAGTGGAAGAAACTAACAATACAAAATATATAAATAAGTAAGTTGACTGAAATCGAACAAAGAATCGACGTTCTCTCTCGTATAATTAAAAGAAAGAAGTAGGATATCTAAGTTCTTGTCGTAAGAAGAAGAAAAATTATAACATTCAATTTGATATCAGGCAAAAGAGATGATAAGAATCTAACATAATATTCCCATCAATAAAATCTAATAGATTATCTTGTTTGATGAACTAAAATATACAAATCTTTTTCAATAGTAATTCCTTATAATCGTGATTTCACCAATAAATACGTAGGAGGTATCTAATGAGCACGTATGATTCATACATTGAACTGATATTTTACATATAAGTAAGCCGTTATGAGACTTCTGAAAACCTATAAAAGTCTGGTGTCTCGAGTTGTCACTTGAGTTGCTTCAATTTTACTGAGTATTTTTATCCATATCAAAATAGTTGTGCAACAATAATTACCACACAGACAGATCTAGCAGATATCTAATTAATCTGAACGTTTTAGTCCATAGAGATGTTTGCTTCGTGAGGTTTTGAATATTAAAAACATGCAACTTTCAGGCGATAGATGATTCTTTGTGGATATCTAAAGAAGAACATATTGCTTCAGTTTGAAATATTTCATAAAATAGTCATAACTTGAATAAAACAGCAAAAATGACTAACTCATATAGGCTTTTTAAGGTCTCATTGGAGTGTAATTAATCAGAAAATATCGACTAACTTGACATTTGGCTACATTTCTTAGGGAGTTGACGTGCCTAATAAACAAACTTACCTTCTCTTTATTCAGATTAACAATAGAATATATGAATTAAGACCGATCGAATTTTATCTGTATATTTTTATGGAACACGTCTCTCGCATAAACGATAGCAAATGAGTGCTCGAATTTAAATTTGCTTAAACAATATCATCGTTAGTGTCTCCGGTAAGATTATTATCACGCAGTCAGAAACGTTATGTTGAAATGTAAGGTATTTCATTTTGTAGAGCATAGCATGTTCTATCATTTCAAAGAATTCTAACAGTTAAAATGCTAGACTTTTTACAGGCTCTATTCTCCATTACTTACCAATCATTTTTATGCGAAAAAGTTCTGTATTTAAATTACTATGTGAACTGTAGTAAGTATTCATGATATTAGAAAAATGACTTCTGGCCGACTAATTTTTCTAGGAACTCTATCTAGATCTAGTTATTTCATGTATCATGAATTATATTGGAATAATAAAATATCCCAGTCACGCGACTTTCATAATAATAATATAAGTTATTCATTATTATTCGATCATCTTCTCCTGATACGATTTTGTCGTGAGCAGTGATTATTTCATCTAGTTTTATCTTAATAATAGGTAAGTAATAGTGTGAAAAGATTCAAAATAAATAAGAAACAATAGAATACCACTCAATTAAAAACAAACCAGGCAAATAATGTAATCAGCGGTTGAAAAAAACATATTTTCCCTTTGTGTGCTGTTTCTTATTATTGATTCAAGATATCATAACAAAGATTCATTTCACCCGTCTATTATTTTTTCCGAAAAAAAACTATCCCTCGCATCGTGAAATAGTAATTTTTTAATATCATCTGTTAGATTTTCAAAACAATAACATTCACATCCGAGTGTTATTCAGTAAATGTTTTGTTTATATCTGTAAACATAAAGTTTGTCATCATTAAAGTACATCGGAATATCGTCTAAGATAGCCGATGCGTAATTTAGTGTAAATATGGCTTTCCGACCACGCAAACAATTAGGGGACTGTCAAGGCTAGATGAAAAAGAAGAGATAATCCATTATGCTTCATTAAATAGAAATTATTAACCAAAAGGTTAATGTTTTTATTTCTGTTTTAGTGTATGTATCAAATGGAGAATATTAACCAAGTTCTATCACGTGCATTGTTCTCCATAATGATTAAAACTCATTTATTAATTGATTTGGAAAAATGAAAATACTGCATTCATTTCTTTTTGGTTCAGCGATTGAAAATAATTTGTTCTCAGATATACAAAAATATATATAATCAATACAGGGTTTTTCTTCTAGCTTATTTTTTTCGATTCTGTTGTGGGTCAACAAAATTGATAAATATTTGTCAACAAAGAATGAACGAGCATACTCATGATTTGTTTCTTCCTACTCTTCTATCTTTTTTTTATTCTCTTTTTTTCTCAGCTACATCACCATGCATGTTCGCTTACATTGTCAAGAAATGCAATAGCGCTCAATCACATTCTTGTTTTCCTCTTATATAGTTTTTGTTTCTATTGCAACTTCATGTTTTATTTCCTAGTTTCTTTCAGATCGTTCGCCATCAATTGAAGATGACGTCGGTCAAAGTAGCCGTTCGTGTTCGACCGTTTAATGCACGTGAACGAGCACGTCAAGCCAAATGCATAATTAGCATGGACCAACATGAACAAACAACATTTGTAAGAAATCCAATTGATGATACAATGAAACATTATAAATATGATTATTCATATTGGTCATGTGATGAAAATGTTAATAATCAAAAATTTGCAATACAAAAACAAGTTTATCAAGACTTAGGCATTGAGATGTTAGAGCATGCATTCGAAGGATACAATGTTTGTATATTTGCCTATGGACAAACAGGCGCTGGAAAATCGTATACTATGATGGGAAAAAATGAATCTGATCAACAAGGTATTATTCCACGTCTATGTGGAGAATTATTCGAACGCATAACATCATCATCATCATCTCCGTCAACACTATCATCATCTCAAAGAAAACCACGTTATACAGTTGAAGTATCCTACATGGAAATCTATTGTGAACGTGTACGAGATTTACTTTCACCGAAAAAAAGTCAATCAACTAATGTTGGAAGTTCTCATAACTTACGTGTACGAGAACATCCTATCATGGGACCGTATGTCGAAGATTTATCTCGTTTACTTGTTACATCCTATGATGATATCTCACGATTAATTGACGAAGGTAATAAAGCTCGAACAGTAGCTGCTACAAATATGAATGAAACATCGAGTCGATCCCACGCTGTTTTTACAGTCTTATTTTCTCAATCAACATACGATGCAATGACAGACTTAACAGCTGAAAAACAATCGAAAATTTCCTTAGTAGATTTAGCTGGGAGTGAACGTGCTGATGCAACTGGTGCAACTGGTGATCGATTAAAAGAAGGGGCAAATATTAATAAATCATTAACAACACTTGGAAAAGTTATCGCAGCACTTGCTGAAATGGTTTGTTATTGATCAAACAAAAAAAAACAGGGATGAACTAATCAAATGAATTTTGTATATTTTAGAGTTCAAAACATCGTAAACCACGTTCAGAGAAAAAAACCGATTTTATTCCATATCGAGATTCAGTATTAACTTGGTTATTAAAAGAAAATCTTGGTAAGTTTATTAAATGGAATTAGTTTCTAAAAGAAAATGTCCGTGATGAAAAGTACGAATATACATTTTTGAGTTATAATCTTCATGTAAAGTCAAATCAATTTTTTAAAATACGTATGTAATAGCTTGAAAATAGCATTTCTCTGATTTAAATATAAACCCCTACACAGAATAGAAGCCCACCCTCTGAGTTAGATTTCTTCGTTGAAAATCGAGGTTTACTTCATGAAAAATGAACTAAAATCGATGAACAATGAAAGGATGAACATTTCTCTATCAAATAGCGCAAAAACTGGCACCAGGACATGCTCTGTTACAAAATTATAGCTTGCGGAACAAAGACACCATCCCTGGGCTTCTATTCTGTAGGGGGTTTAAGCTAAACTAAAAAAAATAATGCTTTTAAAATTGCAGGCTTTGATATCTAAAAATATCCTTTTTGCTTGATTAAGGTGGCAATTCCAAAACAGCAATGATAGCAGCAATCTCTCCAGCTGATATTAACTATGAAGAAACTTTATCGACACTTCGATATGCTGATCGTGCAAAAGCAATTGTTTGTAAAGCTATTATTAATGAAGATGCTAATGCTAAACTTATACGTGATTTAAAAGAAGAAATAATTAAACTACGAGAATTATTAAAAAATGAAGCTGGTATTGATATATCACCTGATGGTATACCCGCGTCAGTTATATCTACAACAACGACGGCGGCGACAGTAACTGGTGGTAAACATCCACGAATAAAATCTTCTTCGTCTCAAAGTAGTGAAGATGCGTTAGAACGTTTAAAAGAAAATCAAAAACTAATGGATTCATTATGTATGTCATATGAAGAAAAACTAAAGAAAACCGAGAAAATTATGGCAGAACGGTAAGAATGAAAAGTTTGAATTAATTGACATAATAGAATTGTATTTATTTCTAGAGAAGCAGCTTTTCATGAGTTAGGTGTTTATTCCAAAAATGATGGCAATGCTGTTGGCATTTTTTCACCAAAAAATGTAAGAATTTATTTAAAATAAATCACGGGAAAATATTTTTATTCTTGTAGTCTCCACATTTGGTCAATCTCAATGAAGATCCATTAATGTCTGAATGTTTAATGTATTTTATTAAAGACGGTATCACTCGGTAAGATTTCTGTAAAAACTATTTCGCCAAGCATAGAATGTATAGAATTCTTTCAAAGAAGAAACTAATATTTACTGCACATATTTCATAAGTAGTTTTACGAAAATTGTTTAAAGTCATAGAAAATTAGCTATATATTAATCAATTGGCTAAGATAAAATTGCTAATCAATTTTTCTTTGCCTATACTATTCCTTTTGGTGTGAGTCAACTCAAGCGTTATGATACTTCTATAATATTAGGAAGTACTCGGATTTTTTTAAATTTAAACTCAAAGTGTGCATATCTTAAAGTAGACTTCTATCAAGACTATTATTCTATTGAATGTTTCCGGTGCCGGCTTCCTCTTGGTTTCCGCCGGTGACTTGTTCAAAAGATGGTGAAATGTCAGACCGGAAAGCTATAAAATATTTCCAAACAAGAACCAATTAACTATATACGATAGTGGATTTCTTGTCAAGCATAAAAATTCCAAATATGGAGTTTTTTTTCAATGTTTCTACTATTATCCGGAGTTTTCTAATCTGAATTCATATCTCTCTATCATATCATGTCATGTGAAAAAAACGCATCAGTTCCATTATAATATCTAATACGTCTTACTTTTATTATCGATTGTTTAGCGTTGGCCGTCCTGATGCGCCAATGCATCAAGACATTGTTTTGTCAAGCTCCCATATTGAACCTGAGCATTGTATAGTTACGAATTCTCAAAATATCGTTCATTTAAAACCATGCAGTGAAACAGCAATGTGCTATGTCAATGGAAAAAAGGTTGAGTTCGGTACAACAGTTGATTTAACATCTGGATCTCGTGTTATATTCGGTAAATCACATGTTTTCCGTTTTCTTAATCCTGAACAAGCACGAAAAAAGAATACTAAAGCTGAATCATCTGGAGGTATGCTTTCTTGACAATGAAAACAAAAAAAAAAGAAGAAGAATTTAATATAAACTTCTGTTTTCTATTATAAAGAACCCACTGATTGGAATAGTGCAATACAAGAATTATTAGAAAAGCAAGGTGTTGATATCAAACATGAAATGGAGAAAAAGTAAATTATTTTATGAATAATTTTTATTGGAAAGACAAAATTATTTTTTTCGTTTTCTAAAGACTTTTAACAATGGAAGAAGCATTTCGACGAGAAAAAGAAGAAGCTGATCGACTTTTACGTGAACAAAAACTTGAATATGAATCTAAAATAGTTGAATTACAAAAACAAGTTATGGAAACATCAATGAGTCAATCGATGCTCTCATCGATTTTAACATCATCAGGCTTTGTTGATACGTCATCATTTAAACAAAATCCATTTCAACCAGATTATTATGAAAATGATACCGATACCCTAAATGGTATGAAATAAATATTTTATTTTTTACATAAAAAAGATCAGAAAGCTATTCTGTTTTTGCTTCACTTAGACTGTTCATGGTCCGAACACGACTATCAATTAGCTTGGTGGGCATGGAAAAAATGGCGTTATCATCAGATGACATCATTACGAGTAAGTTTTTAGTTTTCAATCGAATAGATGTCTGAGATAATAGTTCTACTCAATTAATTTCAATAGGATTATTCAAATCGTATTCAACCTATTTGGTTGATCAAGGTATTTTGTTTTGTTTGTTCGTCTATGGATGTTGTTTTGAAATTTATATCGCATTATAGGAATCATAGCTGTTGTTTGTCAAAGAAAAACAAAACAGTGATCTTACAGGCAATTCAATAGATAGTTTAGAACTGCGAAGGCTTAAGATTATTTGCTTAGCTTTCTAATAATTAAAATTATTTAACACCAATAAACATATTTTGATAGCAACATTCTACTTAACGACCATAAAATAACTTTCATCGAAATAGAGAGATTTATATTTACTGCAGAATGCTTATGCAATTGATTTTTTCTACACTGCATTTTTCAGTACCAAGAAACAGTAATTAGTAGCTTTAACTCGATTGAATGATTTGAAAGACTTGAAAAATGATGAAATTTCAGATCTTGAAGAAAATTTATTAACTATTGTTTCTATCCAATATTCAATGAAGCACAAAATTTAATTTTGATGACTTTATTTATTAGATGACTGAAACATTGTTTATAGCGAGTTGATATTTGTAGCCTCTACGAATAAAATCTTTTCAATGAGACTTTAGTTTTTAGTGTGTACTAAAGATATTGCTCGCTAAACACGAATGTTTTACAAATAAATTTAATACTATTCTTAAACTTTGCTTCTGGCTCTGGGTTATCTCTATATAACTATTCGAATAATGGAGTTTTGCTTTTTTGGTTGTGGTTTTGTTTTCTTTTTTTTTTTATCGAAGTTTCATTCGTTTCAGAACATTGCTTTCCTTTGTCTCTCATAGGATCTTCTATGGGCTAATAGTGTTTATTTAAAAGAAGCAAACGCAATAAGTGTTGAATTACATAAACGTGTTCAATTTCAATTTGTTCTTTTAACCGATACACTCTATTCGCCCTTGCCTACTGATTTATGTTTATCGCCTTCATCGTCACAGGGTACAATTGTTGCTGTTGAAGTTCAAGATTTAAAAAATGGCGCACGACATTATTGGACATTAGAAAAATTTCGGTAAGGAAAAACATTAATATATATATACTATTTCGAAAAATGTCTCTCTTCGACTATAAATTTGAATATCCTCTCGACTTCACATACGCATATTTATATAGATCACGCCTGGAAATCATGCGTCATGTATACAATTGCGAACAAACACCAATACCACATACATTAAGTTATAATGATATGAACGAATCATCATCACAACGTGTTGCTTTGACATCTGATACTCAACATTCAAGTTTCGATGATTCGATTCCAACTCCAACTGTTAAGGGACAATTTGATTTTACCTCCAAAGCCAGGTCCTTGTCCTTTCGTTGCGCACCTTATATATTACTTTTTTTTCTATTGTTTATTTTCAATAGACAACGATTAGAATTAATGCGTGAAATGTACACAAATGCCGCTGATACTTCACCAACTTCACCTGATCAAAATCATGAATCGATCTGTCAAGGTGATGCAGCATCAACTTCAATGCCTAATGATCCCTTTTATGATCGATTTCCTTGGTTTCGACCCATTGGAAGGTAATATCGAATTATTTTCTTGAACTACTTGTTTTGATATTTCATTTGAATTTTTCTAGAGCATTTGTTTATTTAACAAATCTATTGTACGGTATACCATTAGTACAAAATATTGCTATTGTATCCGAGCATGGTGAAATAAAAGGTTATTTAAAAATAGCTCTACAGCAATTACAAACAAGAGATACAGCTGATGAGCAAATCAAATTAATGAGAACATATAGAAATGCGAGTGGAACGACGAAGCTTGCTTTTGACGATGAAATTTATTTTCAAGTATGTAGGAGCTCCGAGTTTATTCGTTTTTTCATTTACAACAGACTTATGCTGCCTGAAATGATGGCAAAAACACTGCAGGGGATTCCATAGAGATATCGAGGAATGTTCTACTTCAGTACAAATTATCATGATTCGCGACGGTTTGTGATTAACACTTCTCGAAATGTTCGAGATTAATTTAGTCATGTTTTTGGAATCATAGAAGGAATTTCTTCACTAAGAATGATGTTTTTCTTAAGAGTATGAAAGGATCATCAACTGCTGAATTCATCAATTCAAGTGATTCTTTGGATCGATACTCGCGTCATGCTCAAAAACAATTTCATTATGGTCAAAATGACATTTCACAAAAACAAAATATTTCTGATTCTCCATCATCATTTAATCTTCCTGGTGAGTAAATATTGAATCATTAAGTATTGAATACTATTTTTCTTTGTTGGACTTATAGAAGAATCTCAAATGATGATTAAACATGACGTATCATCAAGAGATTTACTACCACAACTTGGCACTGAATATCAATTTCGTGTAACAGTTTTAGAAGCATCACAAATATCATCGGACTATGCTGACATATTTTGTCAATTTAATTTCTTACATCAAGATCATGAAGTTTACTCAACAGAACCACTTAAAAATCAAGGCAAACCTGGACCACCATTAGGCTTTTTTCATGTACAAAATGTAAGATAACAAACAGCTTTCGTTTGTTCTTAAGGAAAAGTCGTTCACGATTTATTTTTAATTTTTTTATAGTTCAATGTTGTTGTGACCAATGCTTTTATTGATTATCTTCAAACCAAACCGATTGTATTCGAAGTAATGGGTCATTATCAAGAATATTCAGGATCAGCAAAAAATAAGTAATTCAATTCATTCCATAAACCTATTATGTTCATAGAAAATTAAATTCTATTTAGTTCAACCACAACACATCGTTTACCACCAACAACTGTAGGTTCAGTGACCTTTTCAAAACCAGTTCCTGCTCAAACACTTAATCCAACGACAGCTCTTAGGTTCGTTCAAAGTAGAAGATCGTTAAAAAATCCACTGATAGCATATTTACATCAAACATCCAAAAACGAATCTCGTGTCGTGCGGGAAAAAAGTTCTGAATTTTTTAGAGTACCTTAGGGGTTAATAAATTTCAACAGAAAAAAAACTACATAGAGAATAGTTCATTGGAGAGTTGACTGTGACTTTATTTTTATTATTATCAGTGCAACAAATCAAGTTCATGCTACACATGATCTTCTTGTTTGGTATGAAATCTTTGAATTATCACCGACTGGCGAGTAAGTATCTTATGTGAATAGAAGGGAAAAGACAAGCCATTTTTATTAATCATCATGAAATAGATATACTGCTGCAACCGTTGATCATTCGGATGATGTTCCATGTTCAGGTCGCTTTATTCTTCATCAAGGTATTCAACGTCGTATTGGAATCACTCTTTGCCATGAATCAGGTTCTGATTTGATTTGGAAAGATGTTCACGAAGTTGTTGTTGGTAAGAAAAACATTTCAAGAAGAATAAAATCAAAATCAATAATTATATTTTTCTACGCAGGTCGTATTCGCGGTCAGCGTGATTCTGTTTTTGATGAATCCGATGGTCAAGTATTATCATTAAATATCATTTCGGCTCATTATATTCAAAAACAACATGACGAACGAACATTTTATCATTTTGAAGTTGCATGGGATTCATCTTTACACAATTCTTTATTACTTAATCGTTGTACATCAAGCGGAAATTCAGTTTATCTAACAATATCATCGTATCTTGAAATGGAAAATTCCTTTCAACCAGCTATAATAACAAAAGATCTGTGCCTTGTTTTATATCCACGCGGTGGAGATTCAACGTCACGCATACGTTCATCCTTAAAGAATTTCTTTGCATCAACCAATGCCATAATATCATCGATTAGTGACTCAGTAAATGAACACTCAAATCGTGTATCAGCTGTTTACGAATTAAAATTACGTCGTGCAACACCAATGAATATAATAGCATCAGATCCATCAGCTATGAATCCTGATATACAAGGGCGACAACGAAAAGTTGTGGATACATCAAAAATTTATGTACGCGGCGAAGAAATGTTAGAAGGTTGGAGACCAAGAAGTGACTCATTAATTTTTGAACATCAACACGATTTAGAAAAATTATATAAAATCGAATGTGTACGTTCTATTTTTTTTATATGCATGTAAAATCTCTTTAACATATATGATTTTCTATTTTCAATTAGGTTGAACATACAAAACATTTTCTACAAGTAAAAGATCGTTTAGATAATCCGTTATCATCACCCAATGATAATTCACCAGAGAAAATTAAATATTCATTAATTTCTATTGACCCAGCAAAACCAATTGATAATCGTCAACAAGATTTACTTCGACGTTGTGCATCATTGATGTTACCGCCGCCTGCAATTGTACGAAAAATAACTATACCAGAAATTGAAGTAAATTAGCCATTCTTATTTATAAATTTGAAATGTTGTCTTCTTGTTCTTTTAATATGAATAGGTCACTACAGATCGCTTCTTATCGGATGATTATGGAACAGTTCATTCATTGCTTAAATCAACATCGACATACTCATTCAACACTCAACCATTACATATGAACACAGCAAATATGATCAATTCGTTTATTAAAGCATCTTCTAGTAGTTCTGATCTTTCGAAGTAATTTTTTAAAAGATTTGAAGATAGCTCAAGAGTTTTATTTTCTATAATACGATCTTTGGAAAAAAATGTACACATAGTGAATCTATTATTTTCTAACAAAAAAGAAGCCTCTCTAAATCTTACAGAAACCTAATATTAGATACTCATCAGTGATAAAATATCATATTGCCATCAGTAGACGATATCAAAAGGAGATTGCCTCTAATCTAACTCAAGTTTTTATTAGATACTTCTGTTTAGTTGTATATTCGGAAGAATCATTCTATGAGTTTCTAGTTGAAGAATATTAAATCTTCGCATTAACATCGATTCTATCTATTCCTAAAATCACTTGACTATTAAAATACATAAATTTAGATTCGCACATTTGGATCCATCTTATTCAATTTCATCGTTCAGCCAAGCTCGTGGTTTAGCTGGTTCGATATCTCCGAGTATGCCGAAATCTCGTTCAATGGAAAGCTTAATGAATACATCCGGTATGGCATTGAAATACATTTCATCAATTGAAGAAGTTCGAATATCACCTGTTGTATCACGACGTGGCTATTTAAATTTCTTGGAAGAAAAAGGAACTGGTTGGATAAAAAGATTCGTCGTATGCATTATAAATGTCTATTTCTTGACAAGTTAAATAGAATTATTCTATATTTTATTAGGTTGTACGACGTCCGTTTGCATTTATATATGATCACGAAAAAGATCCCGTTGAACGGGCACTAATTAATTTAGCTATTGCTCGCATCGAATATAATGATGAAGATATAGCCAGTGGAACACGAGTATGAAATGAATAATATTATTTAATTTATTGTTAAAAGACCTTTTCGTTTTTCTTTAGAGTGCACGTAACACATTTTCAGTTGTATCAAAATATCGCGGTTTTCTTATTCAACCGTTAGCTGAAAAAGATGTTCACGATTGGCTCTATGCATTTAACCCGTTACTTGCCGGGCAAATAAAGTAAAAAAGATGTTTGTCTTTGTTAGGGTTTTTTCTTAAATTTATATTATTCTTAGGTCACGTTTATCCGGTCGATCAAAAGTAATGAATGAATAAAATTTGAGAATAATCGACGCTCAAATGGTCAGATTATATGACGATTTCTTCACACGACACGATTTTTCTCTTTTTTGTTCTGGACAATAGATTCACTCAAAAACAAAAACAATTTTCCTTTTTCTTTCCCCGTCTATACATACATGCTTATGAATTAAAATCAAGTATAATCTAGTCGCTCTTTTTTCTTTTCTAGTTAATCAAGTATATTTGTTCCTTTTCTGTTGCTGACAATATATTGTTGCATAAATACTTTTTCCATGGAGTTTTATTGGTGTCTTTCAGTGTTCCTTTTTCTCGTAATATTATTTTTGTGTATCTTTATGTTTAAAGATAAGTCACTATATACATGTTTATATTATACATATATGTGTGCTACATAAATCGTAACACATTTGTATGTTTTCTGTAGTCTGTTTTATTTATAAAAATAATAAAATAAACTGTCTCCTCAATTGCACGAATTTTAAAAGAAGGTTTGCATGTGTGTGTTTTCATCACAAGAAAAAAATCCTCCCACACTCCTGATAAGTTCAAGTATGATTGATTCCCTCATGAGGGTGTTGATTATTGTGTGTAAGAAAAACTTGACTGAATATTTCATTATGCATTCGATGAATTCTATTGTCTTAATCAAACCCCGATCATTTTTATAAATTGAACCTTTGAGAACAAAGCTAAAATTTCAAAAAATGAAAATTTATATAAATTGTAAAGTTCCGTACAATTCCACGTTTTTAATTGATTCAAGTAAACACGAATCAAATCTTTTCATTCATTTTTCTTTATCAAATTTTGCAAGTTTTTTCCAAACATCTGTTTGTCGAAAATAAATTCCGCGTAGATGTCTTGGCCCAGTAAATGAATCTCTGGCATGTAACATTTTAAAATTATCATACATAACGAAATCTCCACTGTTCAAAGTAACTCTATACTGACATTGAGGATCGTATAGAATTGATGCATATTTACGATAAGCATCATAATAAGCTGTTGTTAACCAAAATGGAAAATTAAATGGTGCTAGAGTAAAATAGCTATGGCGAATTTGTTTTATTTCATCGCCCTCCGTTTGAATTATTGGGCCAACATGAAGACTAGTGAATTGTTTTTGTTTTCGATGAAAATGAATCGGTACTGTAGTTAATAAATAATATGCGTTTGGATCGATTTCACGAAGATAAACTGCAGCATGAGCAGCATTTACTAACGTATTCGCTCCGCCCGTGTCTGCTCGACGAATACATTGTAGTAATTGCATACCTATAGAGAACATGAAAACACCTAAAACGAACATTGCAAATCAATATACCTGGCGGATCAGCAATAAATGGCTGATCTGTATGTAGATTAATAGCTGCATCTGTATAACCTAATTGATCTGTATGTTCATTTGTTATATTATCTGTACGTAAATCTTCAATACGACCAAAATGTGTTTCGACAACAGATGCGCCACATGGTAAAAAGTCTTTGCTAGACTCATAAAAGATTATAAATTTGAATTCAATGATGTGTTATACTTGACTTACATGATTTCCTCTGTATCTAAACTACGTTTTCTAACAATCACTAACCCAAATTTTTTTAATCTTTCAGAACAACTTCTAATATAAGCGTCGTATTGATCTTTATTATAAACGATTTCAATGTCGTCAACTTTGCCTTGTGGTTTCTTAGCTTCGATTCGATTTTTTCCATATGCATTTGCCAATAAATATGACAAATCAAATGAACTTGTGTGATCTTTTGACCAAGTAATTTTCAATTTATTTTCACTATCAACAAATTCAACTTGTTCAGGTTCAATGTTCGATGGAATTTCAGCGCAATCCACAACTCTTTCGCCAGTTTTCGGATGAATAGATTTACCTATGGCTGGACAATTGTGTCGTAACCAAATATAATGAAAATCCATGGTATCATGTTTATCAATCAAACGCACATGATCTTTACGTCTTTCAATATGAATGAAGCGTTGGCTTGTCAATGTTGAGGAACAATTGAGAAAACGAAAAAGCGGACGAATATATTTCAATGTTGTCATTGTGTTTTATGTATGAATGTAGTTGTTTGTGTACGTTTCTTTTTTATATGTCGTTGATAATATCGAATGCAGGACCGAAATATTCATCAAACATGGCCATTTTTCTTTTCTACCGACATCATTTATATATTTTTGTTTTTGTATTCAAACATACAAAACCAATAACAAAATAATCGCAAAGTGCATATGATTCAATGGCCTTTTCAATTATGTTGATGTTATCCAATAAAAAATATCATCTGTCTTTGCCGTACTTTTGAAATCTTTGTATGCATATTGTTCTCGGTATTAGAGGACGACTTCTTGTGTAAAGGGTATGTCTGAATATGTTTTTGATGAAACTGTCCGAGTTTTGATTTTAACCTCTATAAGAATAAATCTACGAATACTTTTCTTTATCTAAATATCGAAAGCCTTCATACGTTTTTTCGCTTCACCGAGGTGTGTGTACACGCATCAAAGATGACAATAGCTAAAATCATTGAAGCTACTATTAGATATGAAAAAATATCGGCGTTGTCTTATGATAATAGCCGACATATTCATTTTTCGCTATAGAGCATCAATTGCGAACTGAGTGAATGTGATGTGTAATTTGAGCGCAAACGGTAGACAACTCAAAATAAAGTATCTGCATGCGTTATACTTAATCGGTAACAGTAACCTCTTCGTCTGAGTGTTTGAGGAATCATTTCAATGAGTGAAAAACATAGATTTATATAAGAATAACTTCTGTTTATTAGTAAAATACGAGTAGAATAATAGACATTTTGTTTTTAAGTCACACATTGCCTTAATGGCTTGTAATATGAAAAGCTACTGTCATTATTTGAAACTAGTCTATTTGGAGAGAAGTAACATTGTTTCTTCAAGATTCATTGGATGTAAAAATCAATCCATATAATTATGCTGTGCTAGAAAATAAATTTTGCTTTAAACAGATGAAGGACAATTTAAACACTGCAAAGCTATTTTACTATGAAAGAAAGCGAAAGTGTCGTATTGACTTTTTGAAGCAGAAAATGGATTATAATATTGATTGAATTCATTTTAATATTTCATTCAATAACGAAGCAGCCGTCGAATTCAATATACTACAATTGACAAAATGCATTCAAAATTTTATAATGACCTATTCATATAAAACTATGATTTTATGTTGATTAATCAATCGAACAACGTGAAGAATCTCGTTCAACACTAATGAATAGATATGTTCACTATTCGTTTTCAGAAAAATATAGTTTTTCTTTCGAGCAAAGTCTTTTGTAATGTGGTTTTGTTGTTGTACGTGTTATGTGGCAAAATATTTTCATTTAAATATAGAACAATTCATAAATATCTCTCGTTTGATGATAACCGCAAGATACGCGTTGGTGGTCTCAAATGAAAACATCATACTTGAAGCAATCCATGGATAGTTTTTCAGTCTATAAAACGCAGCAGCGCAAATTTATTCAGAGCTAACTAATTTAGTAATTGGCGATAATAGTTTTTCAAGTATTGAACGAGGATTGTGGCTTGCAATGTACTAAACCAATCGATTGTCTCAAATAGTTTCGTTCAAGTGCTGAATGATTCGATGGCAGATTCAAGTTTAAGCCGGACTCGAACTGTACGATTTAAGAGTTGAATATTCTTTCGGAAGTAACTCACATATAATCATTTTACTTGATAATAGAATTAGTCATACTATGTGTAATGACTTTTATCTGTATACTATTTGGTGGACGTTATAATGGAAGAATCTGTTTCTATCCTACGATCAAGTAATCCTGAAAACTTTCTGGTGTCGATGTATTTCTTGAGTCTTTGAATAAACAGTTCAGTTTGTTTTCTATAACACATTTATCACATACTGCGTCAAATAGCTTCTACAACTATGCAACAGATACAGAAATAGACATGAAACTATAATAAATGAAATCTCTTCTATTAAATTTCGATAGTAAAATTTAATATTAGTACAGATATAATTTATTTGAATCGATAATAATTTACATTGCATTTAAAAACTATTACGAAAGTTTTCTTTTAGCTATATAATATTAAACGAATGTCATTCGCTTGAATATTTATTTACAATACTAGTTTTTATGTAGTTCTTGCATTATTGCTATTGTTATCTTATCAGTATTCATACACCACATATCCATGTAACTCATGATGTTTTGAGATGACTAACAAGATAAGAATTAATATATTTTGTTGACATATTTCTGTTTTTGGAGTTGAGATTTTATGTATTTGAAAAATTTTCTTACTTCAGACCATCGGCTTTGGAATATATAGAAATATGAAGGCTCAATTCAGTCAGGGAACATTGAAACGACTAAGGTATGAACGAATCATAAGAAGTGATTCCTAATTGTATTTATTTTTATAGCACGATGAGAGAATCAGAAGGTTCACAATCTCGTTCGAAACGACCTTTTATAGTGCTCGGTACACTTGTCGGAATTTTGTTTGCCTCTACAGCTGTATTAGCTGTTATATTGGGTTTGAAAAGTAAAGCTGCGCAAAAAAACGGTATTGCATGCTAATAACTATCTTGCAAGAACACTATTCTCGATATTTTAGTGGACAATGAATTGTGTGTAACGCCTTATTGTGTTAAAGCAGGTAAATTTCATTCGGAAAAGAAACTGATATCGTCGTTAGGTTGACATTTTAGCTAACTATTTGATTGAAAGTCTTGATGAAACAGTTGAACCCTGCGAAGATTTTTATCATTTTGTTTGTGGAACTTGGATTAAAAACTCTCGAATACCCGACGACGGTAAGAAGAAAATAATGAAAATAGATCAGTGATTTCAAAAGCAAAAATACGTTTCTAGCGGATTCAATAAATACGTTCTCTACATTACGAACTCAATTAGATTACAATGTTGTCGGTAGGATTCAATCTATAGAAATGTTCGATATCTGTATCTTATTAATGTATAGATATATTGACTCCACCACCTAGCAATGATACAGCTGAGCCAACAGCTCTTGATAATGCTCGCATACTATATAATTCGTGTGTCAACGAACAAAATATTGAAGACGAGGGCACTGACACAATTCTCTCAATAGTAAATAATGAATTGGGTGGTTGGCCTATACTAGAAGGCTCATCATGGGATAATTCAACGTTCAATCTATTCGATCTTCTACTTAAATTACGCAAATACAACAATGATATCATATTCGGTATAGGCACATCAGTAGATGAAAAAAACTCGCAACAATATGATCTTGTAGTAAGTAAAGAAGATTTCGATGGTTTAATTTTCTACTTCTAATAATAATTAGATTGGGCAAAGCGATATTGGCTTAGGTCAACGCCAATATTATTCCAATGAATCAAAAATTACTGTTGCCTATCGAGAATTTATCCGCGACTTGGCGAAAGAATTATCCGATAATACATCGATGGTGGACACCGATGTGAATGATATATTTGCATTTGAAAAAGAAATCGCCAAAGTAAGTTACTTGTTTTTATTTTTTTGGAGATACACATAAGAATTTATTCGATTTTACACAGCACTATTGGACAACTGAAGAACGACGAGGTCGACCAAATGCAACAATTCGTACCACTGTTGGCAGCCTTACAGATCTATTAAAAACTAGTGTTAGCCCAGTTATTATACATACATGATTTATTCTACTCTGTTTTCATTTTAATAGTTTGATTTTTCTACGTATTTACGTTCAGCATATGCATGGAGCGGTGTCACTCTAGACGATAGTGATGTTGTAACAGTACATGAACTCGAATATTTGAATAATGTTTCATCAATTATTGATCAAACTTCAGCACGTTTACTTCAAAATTATATCGTATGGCGTTTTATGATGCATCGTGTTGATAATATGCCGAAACGATTTCGTAGTATAAAAGAAAATTTTCAACATATATTTCGAGGAACAACATCTGATGTATCACGTAAAATAATATGTGGTAATTTTGTTAATGGTAATATGGGTTTTGCTGTTTCGGCTCTGTATATTAAAAAATATTTTGATGATAATGCTCGAATTCAAGTAATGTTAAAAAACATGTCTCTTTTTTATGTCCAATAAATGTTATTATTTAAAGTCATCGGAAATGATTGGCAATATTCGAAAATCATTTAGTGATATGATTGAAAAATCTTCTTGGATGGATGAAGCGTCACGAAAAAAAGCAATAGAAAAAGTAAGATCAATTAGAAAAGAAATTCAATGCCAACACTTTATTTGTAGGCTGAAGCTATCGATGAAAAAATTGGATATCCTGATTATTTAGCTGGTGATAATATGACACAATTGGAAACACAATATGCCGACGTGAGATACATGCCTCGAAAGTTAATAGATAGATCTTAGTTTAGTCGTTTCACTAGGATTCGAACTCAATAGAAAAAATTTGCTTCGCCTTATAGAAATTCTTGCGATCAAAGAATTGTTTCGTGCTTATTGCAGTTATTTTTCTTTGAATTCTTTAGTACAAATTCACTTCCTCGTACATAAATAATGTTTTAAAATTGATTCAAATAAAAGCAAAAGAAGAATTTCAAATTCTACGAAAAACTGTTGATCGTAAAGCATGGGGTTTTACGGCACCTACTGTTGTCAATGCTTTTTATGCACCGTCGAAAAATCAAATTAGTATATTTTGGTTTTCCTATCTATCGTCTTCTATTTTTCTATTTATAGCTTTTCCTGCTGGTATTCTTCAAATGCCATTTTTTGATAGAGATGCACCAAAGTAAGATCCTTCCTGCTTATACATTTCAATCATTCTTAATTCTGCTTTTTTTAGATATTTAAATTATGGCGGTAAGTATTTACTTGAATAAATAACTTTGATAATTAAGTGTTTTTTGTTTTCGTCTCAAGGTATTGGAGTAGTTGTAGGACATGAGATTACTCATGGTTTTGATAATAGTGGTCGTCAATTTGATAAAGATGGAAATCGAATTCCATGGTGGACTAAAGAAACCGTCCAAGAATTTAATGAACGTAAAACTTGTATTGTCGATCAATATAGTAATTTTACTGTACCCAATATTAATATGAAGGTTATATTTTAAGCTTTCGTGCCATTGTCAAGCTTTGGTTTTTGATGCAATATTTTATTTTTTAAGGCAAATGGAAATCAAACACAAGGTGAAGATATTGCTGATAATGGAGGATTACGAGAATCATTTTTTGTTAGTAAATTTTATTTTATAATTAAGCGAAATAGATAACGACGTATATGTTATAGGCTTATCAAAAATGGGCACAAGCTAATCCAAATGCCGATAAAAAGCTTCCTGGCCTGTCAAAATATACACCTGAACAAATGTTTTTTATTAATTATGCTCATACATGGTGTTCAAAAATGACTGATTCGTATGCAATGAATCGTGTTTTATCTGATGTACATTCGTTAGGACAATTTAGGTAAATAGCGAGACTTAAAATATTGATTCTATTGAATTTATCTATTGTTCTAGAGTCATTGGTCCTACATCGAATTTTGTTGAATTCGATCGAGTATTCAAATGTCAACCTGGTCAAGGAAATAGTCGAGTAAAAAAATGTATTGTCTGGTAGTAATATATCTATTTTTTTCAATTAATAAAAATAACGAAAAATTTTGCAATCTTTTATCAAAATGTTTATTTCTCATAGTAAACGAGATCGCTTATTTTTTTTATCAATATTGGATGTATAATCTGTTGATAATAGGACAGCGTGCTTCAAAACAATATACCAGATCAAATCCAAAACTTTTCAGCAGTACCCAAAGGCTGAGAAATAGGAATTCCTAATGTGTCGAGGAATTGTCAGTGCCGCTGTGATCATTCCTAGAGGAAATGGGAATAAACTATAGGCTCCCTCACACTTCCACCATTCACGAAAGTTGCGATATTGCTGTTTTAAAAATAATTTTTGCATGAAACCATTGATTCTCACAATTTTTCAAGTGAAAATGAGTGTAAAAACAAAAATTATCGTGAATATTCCATATTTTTACCTTTAGTATGCACGGAACAGTAGGGGAACTGATGAGGAATTCCTAATCCTCAGTCTTTGAACACCCCTCATTTTTCTTGAGTGTCAATGTTCTGCATCGAGTAAAGATTCTCTCCACAAAAGATTAAAATAAATGAAAAGATACTTTTTTAAATTTCTTATTCTTCACCTATAGTTTGATTTCCAGCAAATTAAACTGTCTTAATAGCATGGCATCTGTAAGTGTTGCACACTAGAGAAAAATTCTTCTTTAATCCGTATCCTTGGAGATATTTTTTCGTTTAACTTACATTTGTTCGAGCTTCTCACTACCAAGAAATAACCAATTAAAAAATATGTCAATATCATATTTCAGTAGAGTTTTCACTCTCATAAACTTTACGAGAAACACACCTATCTCCCTTGTAACATGCGCATCACCAAGAACATGATAAAACGTACACTTTTCTTGTTGCTTACTTGAATGCAATTTTCATATAAATAGTATTGTTTTACCTAGCCATGTGGCTTGTTGACGTTGTAAGATAGCGATAACCGATCTCATGGCGAATTTCTTTCATTGATACTTGTTTCAAACAAAATGTCAGCCGTCAAACAAGAAGAGCTACGCAGTGAATTTCCTTTTTTTCGTGAACATCCTAATTGGATTTTTTTGGAAAATGCAGGCGGCAGCCAGGTGCCTGTATCAGTGATTACTTCTATTTCAACATATTATTCAAGATCATATGTTCAAATTGCTGCTCAATATGAGCAATCAAAGGAAGCAACACAAATAGTGAAAGAAGCGCATGATTTTTGTCGCGAAATCATGAATGGTAGTGGCATTGGTGAAGTTGTTTTTGGTTCGAGTACTACTCAGTTAGTTCATACGTTAGCTCACGCTTTCGATAAACTGATCACAAATGTAGATGATGAAATAGTTTTGACCAATATTGCACATGAAGCTAATTATGGTGCTTGGACTAAATTGCAAGGAAAAGTTATCGAATGGAAAGCACACGATCGAATAAATATTGATGATCTATCAGCTTTATTATCAGAACGTACACGAATTGTGGCTATACCACATGCGAGTAATCTTATTGGTGAAGTTTTAGACGTTGAAGCTATTGTGAAACTTGTCCGACAAAAATGTCCCCGTGCTCGTGTTATTGTTGATGGTGTAGCATATGCTCCACATCGAGCTATAGATGTTCGCCAGTGGGATGTTGATTTTTATGTATTCAGTCTTTATAAAGTGAGCTTTACAGTATAGCTTTAATTGTTATTGTCTATTTATGAGAGAATCATAGGAGAGACTTCATTGGTAATATTCTACATTTAGGTCTATGGTCCTCATTTGGCTGTTTTATATGGCTCAAATGCTGCTTGGAAAGAACTTATTGATATATCAGCTGGACCCAATCACTTTTTTATTCCACAAACAGATGTTTCATATCAATACGAACTCGGATGTATTAGTCATGAAGCATGTGCAGGTGTTTTAGGCATCAAATCCTATTTTGAGCAAGTCGCTAATGCTCCTAAGGATCAACCAACAAGAAAAACAATTGAACAAGCATACAATATATTTGCTGATTTTGAACGTCCACTTGTTGAACGGCTTGTTCAATATCTTTTTACAAAACCTGACGTAATTGTTCTTGGCCAACGGTCGACCAAAAATCGATTACCGACTATTAGCTTTAGTTCAACGCGTTTATCGTCAACCGATATTGTCAAACATCTCCATGAACATAAAATAGCTTGTCGTAATGGTCATATGTATGGTTACCGATTAGTGACAGCTAGAGGATTAGATATTATTGATGGTGTAGTTCGCCTTTCTGCGCTACACTACAATACCATAGCTGAAATAGACAAATGTATTGAAATACTTGATCTAATTTTATCGAATACCGATCATACGCCTGAGACAAGTGGGCCCATACAAGATTAAATCGACTCATCCATCTCCTATGGTTGATAGTACCTTCATAATAGACCATATCATATATTAAATTATTTTTACTATCTTTATTAATTTGATCTCTTAGATAAGTGTATTTGATTTTGATCTAATGAATGATTTAGAATTTTTTCTAGAATCGAAGTAAAAAAATCCCATGCATGAATCTCAAGCTCTTCTGTAGAGCATCAAATTAAAATTGAATATACAAGAAAAACATGATCCAGTTAATCTTGTAATATTATACCTAACTTAGATTGTGTCATGGAGATTTGTGAACGATCATATTTTCAATAACAGCATAATTACTGAAATAGAAAGATCTGTTATTTTCCTACTAGAGAGAATTCCAAAGTTTCTTATGCATAGTTTTTAGGCAGATAAATTTTCAGATTTAACAAAGATAAATTTTCAGATTTAACAAAGATAAATTTTCAGATTTGTTTTTAGTTACTGCCTGTGATAAACTATTAGCGTTCATATGGCACCAGGGTGGCCAGTTCTTCTGGAAAATAGGGGAAATTTCTGAATTCTGAACATGTTTCTGATTTTTTTCTGAATTCGGAACATATTCAGATCGCTGCTTTGTCACTGAAATTAGGTACGATTATAACCCATCACTATAATAAATCAATAGTGTTTCATCAAGTTTCTCTATTAATCATCTTCTATATTCCTCGGCCGAATTGATTTTCGGTCATGTAAAGCATTTATAGTCCGATTGTTGTAATCCAATAATATAAAACCAGATAATGCTTAACTTAAAATAAAAATGAACGGTAATTATTCTTGAGAAGGTTTTTATTAGCACATGATATCTTAAACAGACTTCCTACAGCAAATTCCAAAAGATACGAAATATGAATAGCAATACCGAGATAATGGAATTTAACGTTTTTTTTCTCGTTGGACTTCTTAATCTACGCAGAATGTATTCGATTTAGTTTTGCACGTTTTTGTGCACGAGTTTTAAATTTAAAAAGAAGCTCAACATTAAGTATCTTTTATTGATGCCTTCGTATTAGCTAAATGATATGATCACTATATTGTCGTTCGTTTTATTGAAATATCTTTAAAAATGTAGTTTCAGTCAATGAATAGACACGCGGCAGAATTTTGGATGTCAGTATTTTAGCGGACGATATACTAATTCGCCAAAAACTGCAATTTTCTGATTTTTGATCTGACCGCCCTGTATGGCACTAATTATGAAGAAAAGCTACAATAGGTTGTATCGAAATTCGAAATAATCTATAAAATTTTGGTATTCATAGGATTATTTTTCAAAATTATCATTCATAATTAGTTAACCAATATATACTTGAGTGAAATATGTGATAGCACATATTATATGACTTCATTAGCGCGCCAAAAATATGCTAAGCTAAATTGAGAATATTTAATCAAACTCAGGATCAGATTGCGGGAAAAAATAAAAGACATTGATATTTGATTCTTATCTTAAAAAAGCTTATATTATTCTGAATAAACATTTTAGACTTATCGAATTTACCTGGATTAGCAGGACTACTTATGATCACCCTTGCAACTAGATATATCATAGAAATCGAATTGTAAAAAAAAGCAAAGCCTACTCTATGTCAACAGGTTTAATAGTTCATTTCATTCCGAAAAAAATTATCGCATACAAATACTAGTAACGATTTTTCTACCTAACAAGGGAAGGTCCCTGAGTGTGTCTCTGTGATTTTAACCAAACGTAAATGGATGTGTCAGGCCAAGTATTAGTATCTCAAATATATACAAATTAGCTGTCCAGAGCAAACGAGTCAGAAAATTTAAGTGAAGAAATGTTTGTATACCTTGAGGGGTACCACGGACGAATGTTTTTCATCACAAAATATTGGTGGTACTCCTCAGGGTATAAGAAAATTTCTTCACTTATATTTTTTGATTCGTTTGCTCTGGGCAGCCAATTTGTATATATTTGAGATACCCATACTTGGCCTGACGCATCCATTTACTTTTGGTTAAAATCCCAGAGACATACTCAGGGATCTACCCTCGTATGACAAATATGAAATTCTTACCGGATGATCATATGACAACTAAAATAATAATAAAACATTTTGCACTTGACTTCAGTGCAATCTTTTAACGTTGAGTTCACAATAGGGATTTCTATTTTAAAAATCAAAAAAAAATTGATTTCATCTGGAAAAGGAATACTTCTAAAATTTCTAGATTTTTGCTGTAGGAAAGTAACTTCACCTGAGAAAAACACTATTTTTATCTGCGAGTAAATAAACAATGAATATTTAAAATAGTTAACACTACAATAGACTCTGTATCCGTAAAATAGTAAAACATTTCAGTAAGAACATATTTAATAAAGTCACGATTTTCAATTTAACAAAATAAAAAATGTTATGATGAATCTTTACTTTCGAGCAAAACTAATTCTCTATATTAAGTTTTAATCAAAGCGAAAACATCAGTTATGTTATCACTGGCTTGATTATAGGAGATAGCATTTTGTTTCTTTGGAAGTCAACTCATTCCAATCTTACACTGTTTACTAAATATTCCATTGAAAACGTGATCAGTCTGATCTGATTCTAGAATATAACGGCTATTGAATTTAGATTTGTTTTGATTTTATTTAATGCGTAATTTATATTGATAATAATAAGCAAATAAATTCTGCAAATGACAGTTTTGAAAAACTGGAATGTTACGTAACGGCTGATGTGAACAAACGATCTTGTAAGATAAATTATTTGCCATAATAAACAATTTGGTCTCGTTTCCAAAAGAATGCTAAATAAACAACAAGAGCAATTGATGCAGCTAAAGCCAATACTGTAACTATGACGTTGAACACTAATGCCAACTTGCTCATTGTTCGCGCGCCTTTAACATCATTTTTTCCTTTTTTACTTCGGCAAACAAGAGAAAATATCAACGGGATAACACCAATTAGTAACCCTCCAACGCATAGACTAATAATAGACCATGGCAACCAGTCATTGATTTTGCGTATGTCCTCTTGTTGCGCGCTTGCTACCGGCAAAATTCGATTTGGCTGGTTTTGATAAGGGCGGTTTACATCTGTGTAGCTTTGATTAGGATAGTTTATAGTTGGATACATTTGATTTGGATAATATTGATAAGGATTATATTGATTAGGATAATACTGGTAAGCAGGAGGCATGTAATTAGATACAGCTACCGGGGTAGGTACTGGCGCTGCTTGTGATATAGGTTCCATGGGAGGGGGTGGCGCAGTTGCCTTTTTAGATTCTTCATCAGATGGATTGATAGTATAAGCATTCATAGCAGCCGAATTTTCCATGCAATAATAAGATCGAAAAACAAAAATGATTCTCTTGACAAAATTTCAAGCTGCAGCTATATATATATATATATCAGATTCAAGCGTCTACCAGTATTATATTGCTTTCATATTCGAACATGAATCATATATTTGATTAATAAATATTCAGATTTTGTGATGGTTCTCTATTTTTCATGTCGTTGATCTTATTACAACAAAATTCTGATAATGCATTAAAAGCGATGTTTTTGACATATTTGTTGTTGGATTCAGTTTTTTTTTCTTTTCTTCATATCAAAGCAAATAAAGATATGACTCAAACGATGAAATTCTAGCGAATTACAGTGAAGCAAATTCCAGCAACAAATAATAGAAACAGAAAATCAACCATTTTTTATTTTTAAATAGTATTTTTAACAGCGCCCGGTTGTTCTTATATTCAGACTAGTTTGTACAAGGTTTCATTACTATTGACTTTCTGATTTTGTTTTAGGATTTAGTAACTTAAAACATTATAAGCTATGCAAAACATTGGAACAATTAACCTGACGGCTCGAAATACAGAGAAAAAAGTAATATTAGTTAAGTATGAAAGGAAAGTAGCTTGGTCTTTTTATTTATGTGAAAGAAACCTATGAAGAATAATAAATCGTTCTGATAATTATGATAGTTCCTTTTAAGATGTACGTTATTGACTCAGATTTATCGGTTTAATAGACTTTGCACCTAAGTCACAACAATATTTGCATAAACTTGCACAACCAATCTTCATAATTTCGCTGCTTTTTCTACAGTAGATATTCGCATTTAAGTTAAGAATAAACTGAAATTTTTAACTCGAACGGATAGATAGTTTGGAAAATAAAAATCGCCCGACTAGGGCTACTATGCGTACTTTGAAGCATTTTTAATGCAAAATTTTTCAATAAAATTTTATTTTCTTTAAGAACAATCAAAGTTGTAAAGAAGATTTTTTCAACACACATACTATTCATAGTAAAATATCTTTTCAAACTAATCAAAATGCATTATCTTGTAATATCGTTGGCTTGATTCTGTATGCTATGCTTACAAAATGTAATCGAACGTATACCGGAAGTTGGTCGAATCAGTATGCTTGACTAGCATGAAAGTGAATATCAGATCCTGCTGATTGCTGTTTTCAAAAATTCGACATATTGAAGTTCTGTAGGAGAAAACTGCTTATCAAAATCAACGATTCCTAAAATCCATAATATTTCAACGGAAAAAATATTCAATTCATTGTCAGAGAGTAAATTATTGTAATTCAAATGGAAGCTCAAGATGAAAAACCAGTTTATCTAAAATTTTAACTCATTCGGATGGTACAGATATAGAACGTTTCAAATTAAAATTCGTAGAAAATGGCTGCTCCACAATTTTTTACCTGTAATGGCTAAGGTATAGGAATTGTTTCGATTCCTGAAAACACCAGGAAAAAGTACAATTTTTCTCGAGAAAATTAAAACTGAAACTAAAACATCGAATTTTTTTTTGCTTAGTTCCCTCTTACATTCCTTGAACGGATCTGAACTGTCAATAATCTCTAGAATAGAAAAACAAGAAATAGGTGCTAATAATCTTCATTTGGTTGAATATTACGGTAAGTGTCATACGTTCTCAAAGCAATCCAAAAACTGAGGAATCGTGTTCGCTAACTACGGAAAAATTAACTTCAGTTCTAGAAGAACTGAGAACATAATGGGAAGTGAATGAAGTATTATTACAATTATCCCACGATCAATATTGACTTTCCGTATTGGTTATTAATGTCATCTCTCGCTTATGGAATTATTGACAACCAATTTTCGTGTAAGAATTTAGATCTGCTCAATAAATGAATGAGGGTAACTAGTGGGATAGACGTATTATGTATTCTAGGTTCATCTCTAAGTTTCTCGAGAAAACTAGTGATTTTAGACATGGGAAGATTTATCAAATCTTAGTCATTGAAAATCTCTCTTTGAGCTCGGCAATCATCAAAGAAAAAGCTCTGTGAACTAAATAACGTGTTCTGTTAGAAAAGTATCTACAGAGGTGAATCATCTCTTCTGTAAACGCTTAATAAGCAGCAAGGTTTGAGAAGCTCGTCTCTACATTATACCCATCTATCATCGCTATTTATCTATTTGTTTAATAAGTCTATATATTGATAAATAACTTTGTTGAAAGCCTACGTGAAGACTCAATGTCATTCTCTAATTATTATTGTATCATCATTATTGCGTCAGTTTATTATCCAATTCGATGACGTCGATATTTCCCGTCATGCGTCTGCCATAAAAATTCGATTCTGCATACCGTTAAGCAGTTTGTGTGAAAATAAAATGAAACAAAAATTGTAGTAACACTACGCCAACAGAACGCAAAACGATACAACTGTATCATTTGCTATGTAATCACAGTAGATGATTGTAATGGCAAAGATCAGAGTTCGACATATCAAGCCTAATTACAATAAAATAAGAAACAGGTGGACTTCCTCAGGAAATATACAATCAGATTTCATTGTATACGAGACACTAGATAATTTTTTGTGAAGCCAAAGTATTTCACGATCAACTTATTTCGAGTTCAACCGGAAAAAGGCACATCCATCGAAAGATTTTTCATAAGAAAAACGAAATATCGCCTTTGGATTATTAAATAATTTAACATTAATCGAAATATAAGCGTATATATATATATATATATATATATATATATATTTATGTAAAAAACGCGTTTCATATAATTCAATACGATCATACTAGAAGAAAAGCTCAGATAACAAAAAAAAACAGAAGAGTTTTAGTAAGCCAATATATATCGGTAAAGAACGGTGATATAGAGGCGAACCAATATTAATGATAACAATAAAAGAAAAACAAGTTAACGGACACAAAATAAGATAAATTTTTATCCACTCGGCAATGACTCTTCTTCGCTAGGTTTTTTTTCATAGCTCTGATTATTCTTTGTTCAATACATGAAAAAAAAACGATTAATAGCACCACAAAAACATACACACGGTTTGATTTTTTTCTCTCGTTTTGATCGATGATAAATAAATGCAAGACCATACAAACATAGAAATAGAACAAGAACAAGAAGAAGAAAGCATTGCACAAATTGAGCAATCGAGAAAGAAAATGAATGATGATCAACATTATTTGTTGGTTTCAATTATCAGTAACAGATAAACTACAATCGATCTTCACTGTGTACGCAGAATAGTAAAGAATGGGAAGCACAAATATATACATCAGATGAAAATGAAGATAGCAAACAAAAAACAAAGAAAAGAAGAACAGACAAACGGATAACTTTCTTGAAGTTTTCCTTATAAAACAATCGATTTAGTTACTGTTCAATGATCAGGAGAACACCGACAATATGGCATCAGTGGATTAATAGGGTGCATATCGAACATTGTTACGCATACCCTAATAGTAGAAAAATCATTTCTAGTTCTTATCTTACGAAATCAACTTACGGTGATAGGACCGATGGTTCCAGTTGGTGTTGCAGTGATATAGGTAGTTTCCGGATAGGCATGTCTGAAACAGAGTTAAATCTTCAGAATAAATGGCACAAGAAAAAGGATGCGTTCAAAGCTGAACAGCTAATAGAAGATATATAGATCAAGCATGCATATATGTAAGTTATATATATGTATATGATAACTTTGTAGTTACAATCGAATTGAACAAACTCATGCATCATGCTCAACTAATTTCGAAACAAGAGATCATGTTTTCTTTGTCTCATGAAATCAAAGTCCGATTCGTGTATCAAAGGAGCATACCAGCTGAGCAGGAGTAGAAGAAAACATGGTTCGATAAACTGGTAATGATGATCCAACTGCTGCTGAGGGAGTTAATGGACTAAGAATGAAGGATAAGATCATACGAACAACCCACATGAGCACACACACACACACACACACACACACTGAACACAACGAAAACATCCGCATAGAAATTTAGCTTACCCAAGTTGAGCAGCAGCTGAAGCCATATTTGTTGTCGGTGGTCCATTGAATATGTATCCAGTTGGGCCACCTACACCATTGCTCATTGGCAATACACTAGAAAAACAACGAAATATTAGTATTTGTTTTTCAAGAACTATCTTTTTGATATCTTCAATGGGTATTTTCTTACGATAAATAAGACTAAAATTTTATATCATGTTACAAAGAATAGGAAAAGACAGTTGAAAAATCATCCATGATAGTAATTGTATCTCATTCAGAAACCAAACCTTATGTCTCAGCACGCTATGATAACAAAATGAATTAGTTTATCGGAGATGAAAGCTTGAGACCTTGAGTACTTAACAAAATAATATTATAAATAGCTAAATATTTTCTACACTAATGCTTTGAAATAGGAAGCGCAAATAAACTCTACAATAAATTATTCAATTAGATTTAGTCTGTAAGTGTAAACATAAAAAAGTCTGCCATAACGGTACTTAATTCTATTGTAAGTTAAAATTGAAATTATCTTAAAAAGTTCTTTTGTATTTCATTTTAATCTTACCCAATTGTATAGGTACCAGTTGGTTGTCCTGTCGCAGATAGACCATGTGGCGAATTTGTTGTTATGTATCGAACACTATGTTGTGGTTGGGCACTGATGGGATAGGCTGTTAAACCACTTAAAGCTGCCAATTGATCAGGGTAAATCCTTTAAAAAGGAAATCTTCGTAAAAACAAATTCTTCATTAAAAAAATCGAAATCACATACGTGTATCCACCGGGTAAAGTAAGTCCGGTTGTAAATGCTGCAGCTGCACGTGTAGCTTGAATTAATGTCGGGCGTTGTCGTGTATTCATCATTATACCTAGATCGTAAAAAAATTTCATGCACACTAAATCCCCTCTAAACTTAATACTGAACTAACCGAAAGGATTCGCTACAATGGGTTTTGGCTTTGGCTGTGATCGTGCCGTTGCCATATTCACCTAATAGAACAAAATTCTATAGTTAACACGATAGAGAATATTAAATGAATTAAAGAAAATGAAAAGTAAAAGAGCCAGACATCCACCGACAAAAAGCAAAGAGAAAACAACGAAATCTCTCGAGATCGAACGTTCGAGCCATTCAAATATATGTGTAATGTGTAAAAATAATGTGCATTTTCTACTACGACAAATAAATAAATTAAAAATATTGTTAATTAGAATTATTTTTCGATTCGATTCAAATATGAGCTTACAGAAATTATGTATCGAATTGTGTGCATGGTGATAAATGAGACATACATGCGAGCGAATATCTCATCTCTTGTTTAAGATTTCGTTCGCATTTATTTGTTGTTTTCTTTATTTCAATTGATTCCCATTTATTTTTATTTGCTACATAACGAACAACCATGCATACGTTAAATTTTCATGCGCTGAGAAATGTCTGTTTTTTTTTGTGTGAATTTTATGTACGATTCTAATATTCGGTTTCTGTTAATTTGAATGGAGGTAAAAATGAGTACGGGCACAGAGCAGCGAAAAATGCCAAAACTGATAGGCAACAGACAACAACATATAGGACACAAATTTAGCTAAGTATATAATCTAAATATATTTCTAAGGTTAAACTTGCACTTGAACGTGTATATAAATGTATAATATGTGATTGAATTTCATCATGCCCCCGAAATTATTGTTTCATTTATCCGACTAATTAATAATGATAAAAAAAAATATAAGAAAAAAAAACAATGGATCAATGTTGTAAGAGACGAACAAGCAGCCACGAACAGGCATGCAACGAAAACAGTTGTTTGGAGTAAGAAATAGATAGAAATATATTTGGTTGCCTTTTATCGTTATGTCTACCTCCTATCGCTGTAGCGATTTCTGCTGTTAACATTGTTTCGCAAGTAATGCGAAAGAAAACTAGAAGAAGAGTTCTTTGTTTTTTAAATTATTTACAATAGATTTAGAGATCAACTACGTTCATATACATACTTCAATTTTACGTCCTTCAACAACAGCTCCATGTAATTTGTCGCGAGCTACATCAGCATCATCACTCGATGCAAATGTTACGAAACCGAAACCCTAAAATTAAACAAATAGAAGAAATGAAATCAGAGCTTTCACAGACATTCCTATAGAAATAAAACTACTGCTAGACCAAACCAACTAAACTACTTGCTATTTAAAATAGAATGAAATTTTTTTCACAGACAAACGCTTTTCCACAAAACAAAGGGAAAAACAAAAACTTGTAAAAAAATCGCTGATAAGCCTAACATTTACAGAATAAATCTCTCACTTGTTCATGTAGGTTAACATTTATGCCGCTATGTGAGTAATTTTATACAACTGGAAGAGTGTAACCTTCTATTCTGATTGTTTTTAATCTCTTGAGAAAAATTTTATAAAACTCTGGAAATTGTAACTCAAAATATTGTAACAGAGAATAATCATATATCGTAATTTAAAATATATCTTAAGTCAATTATTAATCTTTCAAATCTTTTTTCTTGCGTATCCTTGTTTAACTAATTCAAATTACAGTTTTTCTTATTTTTAAACAGCATCATCTGATTCAGGGTAGAAACGATCTATGAACTTAAAATATAAATAAATATTTTCACGCTTGTTCAAAAATTAGAAGTGTCATGAAAATGAAATCAATGAAAATTAGTGAAATTTAAATAACGAATAACATCTTAGGAGTAGGCTCTTTCCTTTTAGATACTATCTATTTTGATGTTAGAAATAACATTAATACAACAGTAGTTCTATTTACGTAACGAATGCAGCAAAAAATGTTGCTTTTACAATAACCGCTAGACTTTGATTTTAATCGATGAGAAAAATACAATTTAAGATATGCAAGAACATTTCTCGTAAGATAACTTTGGATTACATACTTTTGATCCACGTTCATTGAAAATAATTTCTGTATCAATAATTTCGCCAAATTGCTAAAATTAAATATTATTCATTAGTATGAATAGAGATTTTTATTTCTTTAACTAACTGCAAACATCGCTTTAAGATCCTCATCTCGAAATCGAAATGGAATATTTGATACATGTAAACGTTTTTGTACACTTCCTGACGATGTTGTACTACCCGTTGTTGATGATGTTCCATTTTGTACAATTGTATTTGTTAATTGCGGTGACTGAGACAATGAACTATTTGATTGAATCTTAAATTTTGAAAACATAAAGAAACATTTCTCTTGAAAAACAAATTGATTTAACATACATTTTCATTGGTGATTGATTCATTAGATGATATTGGTTGTGTATTACTATTTGTTGTCGTTGATTCAATAATTGACGAAGACGATTGTACATTAATAACTTCAGGTAAATGTGAAATTGAATCGACAACGAGATTTGCTGGTGGATTCGGTAGTTTATTTCCCGTTGTTGCCACCATATTCAGGTATGCATATGGATGATGTTGACTAGACGAGGAGTCTGCTGAAGATGCAGTCGTCATATATGACGATGGATGAACTAGATGAGGATGATTAACAGTGCTTGATACTGTTCCATTACCGTTGCTGGTCGTTGTTGTTATTGTTGAACTTGAAGATGACGACGATGGTGTCGATGATGCACCTGCAGCAGCTAATAATGTTGGTACCAAAGGCTAAATCAAAATGAAGAGACACAAAATCATAAATATTTTCTATCAAATCAATTAGTATCCATATTTAATCTTTAATTTAGTATGCTTCCGGAAGCTTGATCTTTCGTTTTCCTTCAAATCGTTAATTTGGAGGAAATTTTTGTGCATTAACTTTTAAGAAAAAAACTTACATTTAATGCCAAATAATTATCTGATGGCAAAAATGAGTAAAGCATCGTTGTATAATTGTAAATAGCACCAAGAAAAATTTCTCGTATAAAGATCAACACAAGAATATTCTTCTATTTCTCATTGCTAACAGACGAGTATAAAACGAGAGATATAGAAAGAGAAAAACGAAGAAAGACGATCTATATTAGGAAAATAGAATGAGAGAAAAAGAGATAGTAGTACCATCAAGAGCCGAACAGCATCAGAAAAGAAAAAATTCGGTCAACATCCTCGTTCATTAATAGCAAAAGAACGAATATAAACAACTGTTAGGAGAAAAACAAGAGAACGAGCTGTGTTATTCTTCGATCTAATCTATCTTCCAACCCAATAGCAAGAGATGAGCCATGTATAACTAAGCGTCTGGAAGAAACACGGATGGGGAAGAAAGAGAGATATAGAGAGAGAGATAGAAAAAATCGCAATAATGGTGGCAGTTGTACTGTTTTTCTTCTCTATCTTTCTTTCTTTATCCATCATCGGTCTCAACATACATTAGCTGAATACCCGACATTGCCACTGCATTTCTTGTCTTTTTCGCTCTCCTAATATATAGATATCGCACTCTTGCTTTGTAAGCCAACCAAATAACACGTACGGTCGTTATCATCTGTCAGTCGTTTATAAATACATGCCAACAAATTTTCGAGAAATAAATTTCTGTTTTGTGTATAGTATATATTTACAATATCCAAGGATTCAGTTGCTTTTTTGTCTCTCTCCAGTTTGATCATTATTCATTCATAATAAACATTGGATGTTCCGATGTTTTGTTTTTAGAATAACATCAAAAGATATTTCTATTGCTACTACTGACTGTTTGACTTGTTTCATTAACGAGTTTGATCTCGAACAAGAAAGAAAGACAATGATATTGTCTGTTGTTATTCGATCACTTCCGTTTTGTTACTTTTTTTTTCGGTCGATCCCAACACAAATAGAACGAACAGACTGTTCAGACGAGTAAGTGACCGACTAATTACAGTTTCTTCTCGTTAGAGAATATTGATACAATTAAACAGATGCTTTCTTTACACTCAGCTGTTCTCTTCAATCAATCAATTTTATAAGCACGCCTGTTGTTCGTTGACCGAACTTATTTCTGTACATGCATATGCACATATACAGTGTCTTTCTCGTCTTCCTTATCTATATTTCCCCACCAAAGGCATACTCATCCAAGTGGGGTGTTGAAAGAAATAAAACGAAGTCATCACTGGTGGATGGCATGCGAACTCGCTAAAAAGAATGATTCAGAGTAATAGTGTCCATATGTAAACATGCGGTCAGAAACGATATCTTGCTATATAAATATCTATATGATACTCATACCGAATTGCTTGATGTCGTATCAAGATGTTGTTGAAAATGATGAAAAGCAAGTAGATTATTTTTTGTAAGAAGACTCATCGTAGGATCATTGATCGTCGTTGTTGTATTATTATTATTTCGACTGTTCACACTGAGTGATGAACCCGTGGCTAACATCGTTGGACTCTTAATGAACGAGAATAAACCAAGTTTGTTTAAATTTTTTTATGGAATTATTAGATATGAATTTAAAATTTTCTCGATTGTAAAATGAAATCCTTCTTCTTCTTCTTCTTCATTTGCTTTATTTGCATGACTCTAACATATGTGTACTTACAATTAAGAGCATATTGGTTGCGTGCGTTTAAACAATGTGAGCATGTATATACACATAGTATTGAAAGTACGATTATTTAAATGTAAAGACTTCGTGATTGCAATAACCTAACGAAGAGATGCTGCTGTATACACGTAATCGTGAAAGAAGAAAAGATTAGTTGAACGATGCAAGTGAGAAGAGTCTCATGTTGTTGTTGAGTGATGCACATAAACCCTTCGATTTTTTTCTTCCTTTCTTCCTTTCTCTCTATATGATGTTTTACTATGTTCGGTCCGACTCACTGATCACTAGTAATGGCTCTTTTCTTTCGTTTAATAACAACGATGATACACTTTTTTCTTCTCTATTGCTTTGCGAGTCTCGATTGGATTCGTGTGATCAGTGTGTGATGAGAACGACTATGGACGACAATGAGTAGTAAGACGAGGATGACGACGACGAAACAATCACATATATATGAAATATGATTTTTTTTTCTCTTTCTTTTTTTCTTCTTCCCATTTTCTATCTATTGTTTTATCGATTTGCGAATAGTGAAGAAGCATCATCCCCTACAACATATCGAGGCAATAAGTCACTTTCTATAGTTCTTCTCTCTCCTATTCCGTTCTTTTTGTTTGGTTAACAAAGCCAATTGTATTTGTATATATGTTGTGTGTACATGATCAGGTTTTACTGCATACGCCTGTTCCTTTTTTTTTCGTTTTTGATCCGTACATATAAAAATCGAAGAATAATAAATATGTATTTGAACATTCATATATATATATATATGAATACGGGATTATGCTCGTTTTATTAGGCATATGGTGTTCGAAAATAAATCTACGAATAAAACTCATAAGAAATGGACAAACAGAACAAGTATATTTCTTTTTCCTAAATGTTGAAATATTTATTCAAGAGAGAAATGAAATAAACTAAAATGTCGCTTGTGACACAAACAAGGATTACTACTATCAGATACATCAATTGACACGTATGTTATAAATAAAAATTGTTCCATAAGTGTATATAGACGTGCATATATATAAACGGCTAAGAGGTTCGTAATTGCTCTCTCACTCTAATGAATCTACTTATGCGTTGTTGAATTCAATTACGAAGTATCATTTTGAAAAGCAAAACATTTATTCATAGACGATTCAACACGTTTAACTAGAACATAAGACACAAGTATTTTTACATGCATATCAAGATGGGAATCAAGGAAATATTCGGAAAAAAATAGTTACAATATGCCCATTAAATCACAATGAAGACTAATATTTCATCTTGAATAAACCAGTAGTTAGACATAAGACGACGATAACAAGCAAATATATAAATAAATGACACTAATTACGTGCTGCTGAATATATCAATCTCCTGTAGAAACAAATGACTTGACAAGAAGAGATTATACTTATCATTAAAATACGGACAAAAGATATAAGTCACATGATGTTTTTTGTTATATTTCATATGGCGCATGAAATACTGGATTTTTTTTTAGAAAAAAGTCAATATTTTCCACAGCATCATTGTAGAATAGCGTGATCAATTTTTATCTTGTTGATCAGATATACTCGAATACAAGCTTTACAATAAGAATATCCGGCGATTATTCTTTGAAATGAATGTATAAGATATATTACGTTAGTTCTCTTTAAAATTAAATAAACAGATACAAGGATGACTACCTGAGATGGATATATATATATATATATTTATTTTATTTTAATTGCTATTTGGAATAAAATCTAAATTAATATTTTGGTTCTCAATGTATAGACAATGAGAATAGCTATGTTGCGTAATCCAGATCTCAGTCATTAGTTATTATTATGCCGACTCTACAAAAATCCAACTGTAACATAAATCAAGAATTGTTTATTACTCCTACGAGTGTTCAAAGAGTGGCGATATTTCATTTGTAATGATACTGCTATTCTTTTGTTAATCTAACAACCGGAAACAATTTATGCTGATGACAATAGTTATATAGGCTTTTGAAATATTCTCTTAGATAAAAAGCAACTTCTTTTTGTTGAACAAGCTCTTGTAGGGGTTGATGCATCTATCATCTTTTGATCGATCGACTTTGTTACTATTATTAACATTATTTTGAGATATCATCGAATCAAATAGAAGAAGAGTGAGTGTTTTATAATCGATTCAACAATCGTCACTCCTTAAGACTACAAATACAATAGTCGTCGCCATATAGTTTTTACTTTGTTTCTTTGATTTCTGTTCCAGAATTTGGTTCACTTGGTTTTGCTTCTGCCAAAATATCGTGAAAAGAAATGCCCTTGATGACATCAAACAGAATTATGCAATCTGCGGGTAATTCAGAATTTTACTCGCTGGATGTTGAAAATTATTGATGTATTGATTACTAACTAGTACGGAAGAATAATGTTTTATGACTATAAGAGTAAAAAAAAAATGTCTGAGAAAAGTGCGTAGGAGATCAAGCAGTGCAAATCAGACTTTTCAAGACAGATGATATAGGCAATTGATGGATCTTATCTGGACGGTCAGACATTTATCACTTTTATTTTAAAGATATTTTCAGTATTTTTTCTCTTGGAGTGATGAGGACAAGTCACTATACGATTATATCTCATATAAATTAGTAGCGTATCTTGTCATTAATGTTCCAATTATATATTTTTATTTCGCATCGATGATGATTGCTTATTTCTGTGTGAACATTATTGCTGTTCACTGATAAGTAGAACATGGTCTTTTATTGTTACAATAGGTCGATGATTTATTTCGCATCGAATTTCCTCTTCTATTGTTCATATTATACAATTCACGCTGTTCCTTTCGCTACTTCAACAGTTAATCCATTACTATCGGAGTGGCGATCTGTAATGTTATATGAGATTCTTGTGGTTTTTTCTTCATGAGAAACACTTAATAAAAACCCGAACTATCGCAAGTGGCTCAATGTCGTGAGAGTATTTCTCAACGGAATTCGAAAGGACAATTCGTTATTTTACTATTGGATAGAGTTTTACCCTTCTGAATTTTCTTCAGCAAGAAACTATTTATGAATACGTCAATTACAAGAAATATTCAAATGCTTTTTTTTAATGAGATCTGACTACCAGAAGATTTATTCTGTTTCAATGTTATGCTTCCTTTGAGAAATACAAAAAATTCATATTATACTGATTGACACAAAGCAACCAGAGTTGGCAACATATTCTGAAAAAATATGATGCCGAAGCCAATAAAGAGATTTATTTTGGTTTTGATCACGCCTTTCTACATGAAAAATCAGAAGTGAAGATAACAAACTGTAACAGCTATTCATTCGTTGGAATAATTTCTATAAATAACAAGAATATATAATTTCGTGCGTAAATAGTATAAAATAATATTTTTGCGATCGACATCAAAACCAAATAAACATGGCCTCAAACATTCTGAATCAATAGACAAGAACTGTCACAATATTTAAATAGTTATAATATGTCGGTGGTTTTTTTCTATTATCTTCATCAGTAACGACTCGCGAAATCCAAAAAGAAAATATCAAAATAAAAGTTAAAATCTTCTGATGAGAAAAATAACGTATTAGCATTGACCTTTAAATTTTTCTCAATCAATCGAATCATTTAGTTTTAACGTAAACTTCGACTATTCTCATTCAATAGAGCAGAAATAACCATTCTAAAACACGAAATATTCTCTCAGCATTAATTCCAGGGCCATAGATTCAATATTTTCTTATAGAGTAACATTTAATTTCGATCCACAATGTGACGCATTATTTTCCTTGCATTATTCATGTATATTCCTATTCTGTTTTTATTTTACAACCAGCACATATCGAATTGCAAATAAGCAAAAAAAAATCACATAAGTGCTCTTTATTCTGCATGATTGTTGAAGGTTGCAGACTTTTTTCGTCTTCGTTCGTTTCTTTCTTCTTTAGCCAACAGCAAATGATGTGTATAAAAAAAAAAAAGAAACAAAAATATTTCTTACGTTATTGACTATTAACATAAGTTGGCGTGTGGATATGTCTCGCGAGAGTAACGCTACGAGTTTACAATGTGTAATAACTGCGTGCAAACGTGAAGCAAATGTTTTGTGTTATTGTTGTAAAGAAAATCTCTGTCGAAATCATTATAATGAACATGATTTTATTAATTCAAAACTCAATCTTCTAATTAATGAAATCGATACTTTCGATAGGCAATTGTTGGGAATTGATTTGAGAAAGTATATTCAAAGTTCTACTGAAAAACTTCATCAATGGCGTCTTGATAGTTATAAACAGATTGATCAATATTGTGAACAAAAATATCGAGAAATTGAACAACATTTACTGAAAGTGATCAATGTAAAACGTGAAAATCTTGAAGAACTTCGTAAAAATATGCTTGGACTCGTTCAAAAACGTAAATTGACACTTGAACTTATTGATGCATTATCGTCAGATCTTCGTTCAATGGAAACGGAACTTACTGGAATTGATCTAAAATATCTTTCGATTCAAACATCGCCAATAACATTGGAGCGAGATTTAATTCATATTAATGAATTATCAATTGAAGATTTTGATGTTGGTTCATTATCATCAGTATTTAAAACTATTGACTATACAAGAAAAGGTGTATATCCTGTAGCAAGTAATACTCAATGTTTATTAATACATCATGAACCAGATTTATGTTTGATGGATCGAAATTTTAAGATCACCAAGCAAACATTATGGAACCATGGACAAATTGTTGATGCTTGTTGGTCGTCGGCATTAGGAAGATTTTTTCTCCTTACACTTAACCAAATTTATATTTTTGATGTTGATACAATGTCTATTGAACGTGTAGATGCCACACAAAAATTGCAATGGCTTTCTTGTGCATGTTCAGATGCATCTTTGTTCTTATCGACAAATGAAAAGGGTTCGTCAATATGCGAATTCAATCTATTGAATTCATTGCAAGCAGCTAAACGATGGGAACCACCGGATACATGTTCTTCAGATGAACGTATTCTTGATATGGCTTATAATAAAGGAACGCTTCTTTTATTGATTGGAAATTCACTAGCCGAAAAAACTCGTGTAGAATTACGATCATCAGCGAGATTAGATCGTATATGGTCACTTCAATTAGATATTGTTTATCAAGCAAAAATACTTCGTTGTTGTTTACTCCATTCTGATCAATGGTTGATTATTGATGGTAATACATCGCGTCTTTTTCAAATAACCATGGATGGTAAACTTAAATCTACATGTTATTATAATCCAACACCTTGTTCGGCTTGTCTTTTTGGTTTCGATTTATTAGCTATTTCAACGGTTCATGGTGTCAATCTGCATAAACTTTAAATATGAACATGCCAATTAGTAGTAGAAATGAATACGATATTTGCTACACATTAATTATGTTTTTCACATAAATTAACATGAATATATTTTATTTTGTTTTTCAAAAAAATTCAGCTAAATGTGAAATATATACAAGTGCTTGGAAACGTGTTGATTGTTATTTTATATTGTATCAGGACTTAGTTTTTAAAAGAAACATGGTGATATGCGAATGATTTCGATTGTATTTATCAAAATAGAAATGAACCCATTCGATGTTGAATTTATACAAAAGACTTTTTAATTAATTATAAAATTTGCCAAAAAAGCGAGCAACTCCATGAATGTATTCTCTATGGTATACATACATTTGGAGATGTTCAATGATGAAAAATACTTTGATTTTTGAATTTTTATTGTAAAAAAACAACTAAAAATAGCTGCTTTTATTTGTGTTTTAAGAAAATAATGATGCTTTGAAGAGTTCTATTCTCGTACAAGTTTTTGATGCAGAAAATTTAAGATGTATTGTTAAATTGCATCGGATTGCTGCTCAGGATTGATCATTCTTGCGTAGAGTACAAGAAAATCTTGGGAAACAAAAATAGCTTACTGAATTAAAAGAATCTATTCTTTAAATTTTATTTGTTTACATCTTTCGTTGATGAAAAACACAGATCTCATGTGAAAATTTCAGCGAAAAAGCTAGCTTAAATGTTCACTTGGTTACCGCCTTTAAGCGCATATTTTCAGCAAATTAAACATGTTTAAAATCGAGAGTTTAAGCGCTTTAAAGTGCTCGATGTTTTCACTCTGAAACAGAATATCACACACTTTCTGTCACTGACACCATCATATTCTTAGTTGTTTACACCTAGTTTCTATGAGTATTTTTTTTCCATTTAGTCGGATAGTGAGCTATTTTATTGGATTATTTGAGTTATTCGACTACTCGAGATTAGATTCGAATACTGGTGGTTTTTATATTGTTTGGAATTCTAGATCAGGCATGAAAACCGCTCGATTTTACTTTTGTATGAACTGTGCGAACGAAACCGTCTTGCAACTTGATCAAGCCAGAGATCGTGCAATGACAATGAGTATTTTTTGTGAATTCAGCAATACTGATTTTCTGTTATTATTTTTATCTACTAACTCATTCTCAAATGAAATTTGCTTTACAAAAATAAAATTTTATTCATAAATTTAAGCACATCTTTTTGGGGTTGAAGAAGTAAATGCCGAGTCTTTTTTTGAATTGTGTGTTTAATTTCTTGGCCACTTTTTTTGAAAAATAATTCTTTTTTTGAGAAATTTATATTTTACCTTAGAAAAACTCGAAAATAAAAATTGTTGGAACAAATTATATCATTTGTAGGAAGCGTTTGTATAGAGATCTATCCCAAAGAGTCGCAAAGTCAATGCTTATAGGAAAATTTTCTCCGGAGTAATGGAATTTAAGTATAGACACACAGGTGAATTACCAAAAAACGTGCTTTAAAAATGCGTAAATCAAAGCACATCTTCAGTACTTTTGAGCATTCGAGATATAAAACGCTTTCTAACACTCAAAGTAGAAAATCCGTCAGCGTTTCTAAGTAATTTGCAGAACAAACGCTTCACAGTACTTGAATAAAGGAGAATTTTCATCACTTTTAAGAGATTAAAGAGCAGACGCAGTGATAAGTGCTGTTAAAATCTATTTGTAAACAAAACTAAGCACTTTACTCAAGAAAGCAACTTAGAACAGCTTAGTATTTGCAAGCCTGAGCGACATTAAGTTGCTTATATCATAGTAACTTAATATAAGTCACTTAAAAATATCTTACAACGAAAAACAATTTCCCATGGAATATTAGTATCTTTTTTTGTTAGATGATTTTTCTATCTACTGTATCAATGAGAGAAATTCCTTTAAAAAAAACTTCTAATTCAAATATTCCTCGAAAGCCTCATCCTCATGCCCGAAAGTTTGGCTAAGTCGAAGCGTATCTCACGATATGTTCTAAAATAAACATACCCTTAAAACCTATCACTGTGAGCACTGATAGTGCATATATATTCATATGTCAACCACGACTTTGTACTCATGGAAGCTCAACCGTAGCTTTGCTTGAGGGTTGTACGCGCAATTAGCTAATCAAGCTCATTGTCATTATTAGTTATATTTTCTGATTGTTTTTAGAGATGAAGAATGCTCTTAATAGCGGTAATATTTTGCTAAAGCCATTAGCGACCAAGAAAAAAATGGAAGAACGTGATTTTAACTGTTGCATCAACAGTGAAATTCTCTCAGATGAGAGTTGTACTTTGCATTAAAATTTTTGCGATTAGTGAATCTTCATCATAAAAAGAACCGAAATCCTACTTGCAAGTGGAAAGTGCAAAATCTGCATGATAATTATTCTCGTGCAATTTTATATGTAGTAGGATTAGATGAAATTAATTACTCAGCTAGCGTACCTGCTGCATTTTCAAGCATAACTATTTAAAAATCTTCAAAAATCATTAGTTTGGCATGTCACGGCAAGGACTGTTAATTTGTCTAGACAACTATGCGTCTAACCTTATTTGCACTGTGCATGGTTATTGTAAATTTTTTCTCGCTTCAACAAAGAAAGTTGGATAAAACGCCAAAATTCCTTTTTTTTTCATTCGGCTCTGTACTGGGAAAAGTTTTTAAATAGTCGTACCCAATGCAAACAAGACTTTATTGATGGCTGCACAAAAAATTGGCGTATTTGCTTGTGTCAAATATAAATGTTCGCATTTTTGAAAACTGAAGAAACACCTTTTCCATTTATGAGAAATGTTAACAAAACTAAAATGAAATCGTTGCAGCATTGTTAGAATGATGGTTATGGATAAAACAGTGACTAGGAGTACTTTTCTTTTCTACTACACGCAAGAAGTTTTCAAAGCTGATAGATCCGTGGCATTAACGAACGTCATTTATCAACAGTATGTCAAAATTAGAACGCAAACAAGCTGTTCTGACTTCTATCGACAAGTTATTGAAACTTAGCCGACGGATAGATTCGTTATCTTTACACAGACTCTTGAATCAATCCTGAAATTGCCTGCAACAATGTATGTATATAATCACATGTGAGAGACGAAAAAGTAAATTTCGAAATGATCGACATTGACATCAGAACCCATCCGAATATCGGATTATAGAACTCTGATGAGTTGTTTATATTTTATATCAATAATACAAACGTAAAGCGACAGAATGAATATTGAATATTTATTTCTTCAAAAAATAAGAACTATAATCGCTCTTATCCCATAAATTCTCTTGGGTCACCTTTGACAATAGCTTGAGCTCTTCGTGCAGTAGCGATGGCTCGTTCACGTCGATTATTTTCTTCGTTTGCAAAGAAATTGAGCAAATTTGTATCAATGCTTGGTAATCTACGAAGATTATAATCGGAACGAAACATTTGTCTGTCCTGTGTATTAAGATTATAATCATCGTTGTCTAATTGATCATTGAAACCGTAGTGAAGATTACGTGCACTGAAAAATAATATTCAAATTTGAAAGAATCATTACAAATAAAAACATACTGGATTAAAACTGTAATACAGGCTAGTAATAAGCCGACAATGTAGGAATATATTTTCATGTTGTTGATGGTCCTTGATGATGTAGTAATAAAGTATGAATCTGTGTTAGTAATTTTTGAGAAAGTGAATTTCTCTTAGATAGTAGGATGCTCTTTTTTTTTAAATAGGAAAATGCCTATATGCTTGGTTGGTTTCAAGTTTGAGTGTTTTATTATGTTACAAAAAAAAAAGAGGGGAACATCATGTTTTATATCTGCTAAATGTTAAACGCAGACGGTACCACCTACATTCTCAATTGTTCTTCTCTCTTCATTCCGTTTACATTTTTTTTCTTTGATGAACGCAAATCTAGCACATTGAAAACAAGAGTTTGGCATGCAAATCTAATGAGATTACTATTGCAATATAGTTTGATGGACGTTAACAATGAGTTAATGTACATTAATGGAGATAGAGAAATATTCATTTTTACTTTGCATTAAAAGAAATGTTCATTGAAATAAATAATTCTATTCAAGTATTTAAAAGGATTTATAAATGCTTATAATTTTTATTTCTTTACACGAGTAATGAAGCGACTAGTTTTATTTTTGAAGAAATAACAGAAAAGAAAAAGTTTAGCCTATAGCGACTGAAGAAGTGTCTGTCGTTGATCTATAATATATGTATAGATAGCGTATCGTCGTTGTTCATTGGTCCATTGTGTGATATTACCAACATGTTGAATAATTTTTTCGACGAATTGCTCATCAGTTATTTGAATATCGTCATCGTCTAACTTTCGTTTATTGGTATTTGTTGGCCAACGTCGTTCAGTTTTTGTTGTTGTTTGAATATATTTTAACAGTTGTCCAAGTAATTTCCGATCGTATATATAACGAAGCAATGCTGGTGATAATGTATGAAGTAGATTTTTTGGATAAATAGATGTTACTGACGATGATGATGATGATAAACGTTCTTGTTCGATTTGTAGAAGTATCAATGTCGGTGAAAGTTTTTGAACGATAATATCTAATGTATAATCAAAGATTGTATCATATGAATGAGGAATAAAGCAATAGTCAGATGATATTGACAAGAGAGGTTTTTGTTGATTATTAGATGCATAATTTTCATAGATATATATTAATGTATCAATACAAAATGATATTGTTGAATGACGTTGATCAGAGTGATGTGCTATGGCAAAAAGTGAACATATTTGAAGGCGTGATTCAAGAGAATTATCACTCAATTGTTGTATTAAATTTTCAGTATCAGGTGAAATTAAAGGACTATTATTAACTGTAGAATTCGATTCAACATTGGACTCGTCTTGCATTGTTGGACTTTGAGGTGTGTCACTAAAATAGATACATAGTTAGAAGTCATAGTATTCAATTTATGAAAATAGTCGACACTTGTATTCATCAGTGCATATCGTTCCAGTGGTTCAGTGCAAGAAAGAAATGATGAATATTAATGAATGTAGTACGCTCCGGTACATGAATCTTGACTTTTTCTCAATGTTGATTGACACCATTAATAGTCAATGATACAGTTAAACGCAATAAACATATTAAGAAGTCAAAAAATGATTTTAAATAGAGCATATCTGCCTATGAAAGTTGTATTTATAAAATTAATTTTGTGGAACTCACATATTTTCGAAGAAGATAAAATGGTGAGTGCAAGTTTAAAAGCGAGATTTTTGCGGCTTCCCACCCCCTCCCCATTACAGACATTAATGAGTTTAAAATTGTGCTAATTAGGAGCTTGACTAATTAGGCTGCTATTTCTTCCTTTTTAATTACAAACTATATTAAAAAAAAAGCAATGTTTGCCCATTACAGACCATAGTAACTAGTTTATGGTACCATTACAGATCATAGTAACTAGCTTAGGGTACCATTACAGACCATAGAAGCGAGTATCTGCCATTGTTAAATATACGAGCTAACAGTTTAATACTCGATTACAGACATGAGCAAAATAGGCAATGACCTAATTATAGGTTTTCGAAATTAGGGTAGATTTTTCACATGAACTATTCTGAATTATTTTAGTAAGCCGAAGGGACATATGTGAGTTCCACATTTTAGCCCCAAAGGGGCTGCGCTAACAAACTTTTTAACTATAGACACAGTTTTTCTTGTGGGTGAGAATCCTTTTTCGAGAAGGGTGTAAAATTTTTGCCATATTTACTCGATAATAATTGGTTCATTTTGATTTGTTTGTTCAATTGATTTGATAGTTTTGTCGGTTTTTGATTTTTGAATTAGATAATAAAAATAAAAAATTCTTAATAAACGTCGATAATTGTCAATATTTGAATTTAGATGAATTTTATCGATTGTTTCTTGATAGAGTTTTAAACATGAAACTGTTTGAGATTGTTGTAATAAACTAAGACATTCGACAAATAAAAAAAAATTCTCAATAAATTCAAGATTAATTATTTCATTTTTCCTATTCATGAAAGCTTTTATCGACGATGTTGAACATATAAATATATAATCTTTATATACGTCGCCATTGAGTATTGCTGAAAGATTAAGAACTGATTGAATAAAAACAGGAAACGATGTACAAAAAATGAAACATTCTAATGGACATCGAATAGTAGAATTATGAGTACGATCAATAAGAACACGCAATTCTAATAACTTTTGACGACGAGTTGATGATCCACTATAATTTTTGAAAAAAATCAAATAGAACAATTAAAATATCTACTCTAACATCAATTTTAGATTAGCTACATTCAAATGATATGAAATTTTCGAAAGATATTGCAAATTCTTCATACAAATGATTTTCTATATTATCATTTTTTGGAAAATTTTAACACCTGAAAAAACAATAGTAGCACTTCTACGATCGAAGTACTCTTCAACATGATGGAAATAGAGCTCTATTCCAAGAAAATGCTCGTCCGCGTTTTTCGCCTTGATATTCTCTTTTAGACAGAACAAAGCAATTAGCTACAATGAAGTTCTTGCGAGAACTTTAGGTTTTCCGATCTTAAAAAGGATATGATTTATAAAAGATTAAATTTCATACTGTTTTCTTTTGAAATGAAGTCTTAAATTATATGGAAACAGAACACGTTCACTTTAAACGGTGAAGATTTTTTTAACTTATCCTCTTCTCTCGTTAGCGATTGAAATGTTGTAAAAGCCTAGATGAATTATTTCTAAAAATACATACATTGGAATAGCATGATTAATAATAAATTGTTGCCAATTAAAATTTTCTTGCATAGTCATAGCCAAGTTGATTAACTTTTCAATTTGTTCAATGGGATTATCACATTGATATGTTCTTTCAGAATTTCCTTCTAGTTTAACATGAATATTTATAATTTGATTAGTTTTAAAACAAATTATAAAATATTCCAAATAAAATTCAATAGCATAAATTAACCATTTATGACATAAATGTGATTGAATATTTAGTCGTTGGCGATTTTCTAATACGATTGGTAAAAGATCTTGTACGAATAAACAACGTAGAATATTCAACGATGTCTGTTGTATATTGAAACCAATTTTCTCTTCAGTATTTATTATTAGTTGAAGTATTGATGATATTGATGATGATGACGATAATGATAAACAAGCAAGAGCTTTTTCACGACATTGATTTAATGATTCGGTGGATTTTGATGATAATAATAGACTTTTTTCAAGTTCATCATACCATTTACGTATCAATAAGGATGATATTATATCGCGTGTTGACGATGATAAAAGTGAACAAAGATGATGATAAGAAAATTGATTTTTTTCAATGAAACTAAAAAGTTCGATTTCAGTTTTGATGTGTGATAAAACATGCTCTTACCTGTTAGAAGAAGCTGTGAATATTGATTGAAATTCTTCGAGCAAATAAGCACTTTTATCTATTTCATTCATATGATGCTGTAAAATATGTTCAATTATAAAGGATAATAATATGTAGGAACTTTGCTCACGAAATAAACGATACAGATCAATTAAAACATCGAATTGATCACCATAGATTGATAATGTTGTTAGCAGCCATGCATGCGCACGAGGAGTTTCTTTCATTGTTTCATGTCCATCCAATATTAAAAGATTCGAACGAATTTGGTCTATTAGATAGACTAAGTTGCTATTTGAAGGTGAATCCATTTCAATAGTCATTTTTGGTTAATTGGCTTTTTTCTTCTTTTCTAAATTTGTTTTTTCGTCTTCTTTCAACAATCTATAGACATGCTTGACGAATAGAAGTTATTCGATAGATGACTCTCATGGTCGCACATTGATTTCTGCTACTACATAATAATACCTAAAATGGACTGTTGATAATAGATCAAGAGACTACTAATCATCAAAAACTTGTAAAATGAAATCGCTCGACACAGACTAATCCAGTCCAAGGGGGAACAGCAGATTTGCAGTACAAAAGTACGTCAAAGTACACTACTTGAAGCAGCTTGAAGTAGCTCAAAGTAACTTCAAGTCCAAAAGTCCGCCGTTGCCCTCTTGATCCAGTCTGCAATGAAGGGAACTGAAAACTCGCTGGATTCACAATATCACAGAGAGAAGTACTATGATTTATATACTCGATGCCAATTGAGATGAAATAAATGACCTACATGTATTCATTACGAAATTATTAATTTAAGAAAAATGAAAAGCTTATTTCTAGGTTTCTGTTTAACCCATGATTCATCATGATGTTGGACAACGGATAGCTCAAAATGTCTTATCAAAAGATTCCTCTATAAAAATCTCTGATTCATTTTCTTCGAAATAGCATCATTATTAGTGTGATAAAACAACAGTCATGTGCATGTTATTTCCTACGCTCTCTAACAGATAGTCTGGGTGTGGGTTACGAAATCAGATGGGGTCAATTAATCGAGTCACTATTAAACTAATTAGTTAGGATAAAATTCTATATCTAGAATGAATCAAATTTGATTCGATATTTCTCGGTTAAGATTTTTATTAGGCGAAGTTAGAATCGGTGAAGCTAATCGTCGGCGAAAACAAATTCGGCGGAACTGTATACTAAATCCTACTTCTGACAAGCAAACATTAGTGCATTGTTATGACACCGAAATTTATTCGTATAGAGTTTAATTAATTACGTAAGTTAATATGTGAATGTGAGTAGTGGAACATCCAATAGATTGCAGATTTGATAAGCATATGCGTTCAGGTCTTCTGTTCAATGTACCTAAATCTACATTTAAAAAACAGCTGTGGCTATATAAAAAAAGAAGCTTCTTGGTTTAGTCTGTGTTTCTCTTTAACTTTTCTTTCTATTTTATTTAAATAATTCTAAATGGCAGAGTCCCGATAAGTTTTTTAATTATCAAATAATTAACACAAAAAGGATTCGCGAAATAAAACTCTGTATTTCTTTTTATCAATTGTTTTTTTAGCACAAAAATTTCAATTGAATTTTACCTTTAACTCGATTGCTGAAAAGCAATCGGCGAGACTAGTAGATTGATTTGTGTTTTCGTTAGAAGATAGGTCAATCTGTTTTTCGTTTGATTTATGTATACCCTCATCCATACTCTCTCTCTCTCTATTGAGTCAGAATCAGTAAATTATTGGGAAGCTACGCTATCCTGTCTGTGAGTAAATTAAAATAGACCTAAAATACAGTGACAACTTATTTTTTGCTAAGAATCCAAATAAAGCGTATCAACATGCAAACAGCAGTCTAAAGAGCCAGATTCTTTTCTTTTTTTATTCAACTTTAGTGTCTTCGTGGATGTCCTTTTGTCTGTATCATATACACAACTGATTCATGTGTTACCGTTGAAGTATGCGGTATTATTATCAATTTTTATTGTTTTTTATGTTGATGTCTTTGGTGATATAACATACGATAGTATATCCAAAACGTTTGAGGTAGATGTACCTTCATTAGAAGGCGTACTTGGAGCTTTAGAGCGTCTTTGATTGGAAATATGACGCTGGTCAATATCTTCATTCGAAACAGTAGAAACGCTTGGTTGGTTTCCTGAACGATCTTGTTGGTAAATGAGAGCACATTGGTCACGAATCATCGCTGCACTTCCTGATATCACCGAAATATTGTCCCTTCCGACGAGCCAGTCAAAATTTAAGTAATTAATATTTGTCAACGATATGCCACACGCCAAAAAGCGGCAATTGACTCCTAGTTTTTCATGTAGTGATTTAGCAAGTTTGCGAAGACTTTCGTTATCTTCTGGTTTATCACTGGTATCGTTACCGTCGGAGAATATGTACAATTGAATAGTGTAATAAGCTCGACGATCCAATATATCATAAACTGCACTCAATGCTTCGAAGAAATGAGTATTAACAAAGACCCCACTTAGGTTGATCGAATCAATTTGATTTTGGTTTTCTATTGTGTTTGAATTTTGAGCATCGCATGGAGGAATCAATGTTCGCTTTGCTAACTCTTTATCAAATGTATTTACTTCAACTTTATCCAAGGGGCCTGCATGTAGAGCTATTTCCCGCAATAATTCTTTTATTGCTAGTTTCGTTTGATCGAAGCGCGTCTTTTTGCTTTCTCCTTTGAGCTGTTTTGAAGATTTCAGTTCCAACACAGAAGCCGACATCGATGAAGTTTTATCGATCAGCATATATGTGTAGCGTCCGCGTACAAATCTGCGCTTATAAAGATCCATTTCCTGGTCATCATATTCATAACCTGTGCAGGGGTCTGAGCAGCGTGGACACTGAAATTTCAAATTCAGTAATGGCCTTTTATTCTCGTCAGCTTCTCGATAATTCTTTTGATCATCGTCGGTCACAATGCGATCTAACATTCGTTGAGTGAGTGAACATTTGCATGGACATGCAAGATAGAATTTGGCGTCTAAAAAAAATGAGAATGGAATGCATGTGCAATATTGAGAAAATATAATGTCGAACATGCAGTATCTGAACACAAAGCTACTAACGCACGATTCGTAATTGTTGGTTGGAAGTTTTGAGCTTTTCGTACAACACTGTTCTCAATCTCATGACAGCAATTTGACAGATTATTTCGGGTCATATTTTGGATTTTAAATCACGATCTAGTTGAATGATTACTTTTCTATTTGCTGTGATCTTATAGCGATTACTAAGACATCTCTTGCATATCTTAGTCTCTTCATTTTTTTTTCTCAGAAAAATATCACTGCCATCTAGTCTTAAGCGTGCTGTTTTCAAGAACTGAAAAACATCTTAAAATGATGTTTTTTTAACATATTTCAATATACGGAGGTTTACATATTTTTTTGATTGTCTTCTTATGCAAATGTGCTATGCGTTCCCCTTTCCCAGGTACACGGGATACAAATCATTTTCAAATAAAAGGATAAGCAAATATAGATAGCAGGCCTCAATATATTGAAAGAATGCTATTGTAACGGTATTTACCGTTACGGCTCACTTCATGTACTTTATCCTCTTCGCTGTGTCCTTATGTTCGTGCATTGACCTGATGAACTCTCATTGTTCTATTGCGTGACCGTCCCCTCTTTATCTATATCCGCCCAAGCGTGATCATTCTCGCGTATAAAAAGGAATGTAACTAAATGAAATGCACGACTAGAGATGTACAGATGACACAATACACCATCACGCCGACGGGCATAAGCGACACTCTTTGTGTCCGTCACAACTATAAATTTCGCAAAAAAGCACATCTTTTTTTTGCTATTTTACAAGCTTCTACATGATATATTTATAGATCACCCGAATTGATGTCAGTAACATATTCAGAAAAACAGTATGGCAGGAGTGGCCTCGCTTTTGCGTTTCATTCTCAGAAATGAGAATGCATCTATAAATTACGTTAAAACCTCATATTTTGAAATGAAATTCTTCAATCACACACTAATTTGCAGCAGGTTTCCCTCAAAACAGAAGAAATTTTCGCAAGTGTGGAAGTTCGCAGAGATCTTTGCAGCTTCTTTTTTCTAGAAATCTGCCATGCTTTCATAAGATGCAAATTTGTTTCTAATTAATAGAATCTAGATATTGAATCCAGATGATCATGAGATGCATGTAAAGAAAAAGTACAATTGAAATGAGAAGAAACAATAGACCCATCTCTTCAAATAAGCAGTTTGTTCAACGAAAAATGAAGCAGATGTCTTTAACGATATTGTCTACTTATTTTCTAGGCTGAAAACCAAATACAGCTGGAGAATCGCAATGAATTCAAGGTTGCTAACAAGAAGAATAGTGTCTATTTAAATATTTTTCTCACACCGTTGGGTACGACATCTATATTAAAAGGACTATACTGTTTTCAGTAAAAAGAATAGATTATTATAATATTTATTCGTCCCATGGCACGATGGGATGGGATGACTCTCAAAAAATTTCCGTCCCATCCCTTCCCATAAAATTAAAATTAAAAAATTGCATCCCATGGGACGGATGGGATGGGATGGGAATGGATTATCCCATCCCACGCGAAGCTCTGATCGGTATCATATCACATGTTATAACAAAACTTCATTTAATTGCCTTTTTGCAATCAACCGTACCTATCTTTAAAAGTTCTTACTCTTCTTTGTCATAAATAAAATGTAATAGACTAGCTATCATAAAATGGGAAAAAACACAAACATACCGATTTCGAAAGTTAAAAAATGATCACGAAGAGTCTTATATAAGAAGATTGTTTTTCAAAACAAAGAGATTGTATTAATACGCAGTCGAAGGTAAGTAAACTATTTCATAGAAGTCAGGTGAAGCCTATCGAAATATTTACAGTAAGTAAAAAATTAGGTCAGATGATTGAGATAGTAAACTTTCGCGATTAATGGAAACGTGACTGAGAGATGAAGTGTCTAGCCGTTAGAGAAACGTGAGTGATTGACCATCACTGATGGTCAATCAATTGAAAAACAGAGCGAAAGTTGGACAGTATCTCCGAAACTCGAGAACTTGTTCCATTTACGACACAAATGGTTCACCCTACACAAAGCTCAACAGAAACACTTTTTAAAGGAGAAGTGAATAAGATAAAAGGAGATATCAACCGACTTTTTCACTTTAGGAGAAAAGCTAAGTAGAAATAAGTTTTATACTACAGAAATAGAAGATTTTCAGAGAGAAATAATCCACATGAAGAAAAGTGAATGACAGATATTTATTTATATTCTTTTCTTTCATTGCTGCACGGGTATGCGTGTGTGTGTAGTCTCTTTACTATCGAATAATCACACCCACATTTCAAATATAATATTGTTTTTTAAACTTTTATTTTACAATACATATCGAAACATAATAATTGTGGAATTTTGTTTTCATTATGAGTCAGAATTAAAATTAAGTTTAGGATAACTGGGCGAAAGAGAAGTAGCTCACTTCATAACATGCTATTCAAAATAACAAAACTAAACGTTGCCATAATATGCAAAATTGAATCAACTCTAACGATGAGCTTTATTTTTGTCTGTTTTGAATAATCAGTTTTTATAGTTAGATTGCTCATTCCATTTTGATTAATTTTTTTATTTATATTCGTAGATATCAAAAGTTCTGTCTGCACAATTTAAACGGAATAAAAGAATGTCAATTCGTGTTATTTCAATTATATGCTTTCTGCTCATAGTAATAGAAATGTCACTATGTGCAGCTGTTATTAAACGTATTGAAAATCAAGTCATTGATGATAAGGAGGTGGTATTGGAATCAACAGAAATGAAAGAACTAACACACAATAATGAAACAATACTTCTTAGACAAAAACGAGGTCAATGTTGTAACATTTTTAATACAAAATGCTGCTGTTTCGTTGGCCACGTTAAGTGCATTAACTATGGCTCGCCCTTCCATAGTCCACAATGTGAAGAGTGTCCGATGGGGTGGGGATTTTGCCTGCCAGCCTTTGACGGAGAGAAAGACTGTGAAGGATGTGATTTGGGTTTCAAGTGTTAAAGACTATTCTGGTAGAATGAGATAAAGGACGAATCATTTTTTAGTGTTATGTTTTACCAGCTGGGCTGAATGAAGAATGCTTTGAAATAAAATATCTTTATGACTACGGGTAAACATGATGATTTATATTTCATCGTACTCCATGGTACTTTAAAGTGCAAAATTATAATGTTTCCCATTTTCACTATAAACTCTGATAATCTTATATTTATGAAGTCAAATTCACAAAAATATTAGAAGAATAAACAAGATTTATTTTCTTTTAAAATTATCATAATTGTCGAATGATTAAAGAAAACAAAGGATTATTTTCTTGGTGCTGTCACGTACTGGCGCTTTCTTTCACAACTACTTATTTTCTTTCTGTTATCTCTATTGCTCATGAGACTGAGTCATTGGCAAGGGGGAAAAAGCGATTTATGAGTTTCATGATTTTTCTGAGTTTAGCTGATTTAAAATGAGTTTGAGAAAACGAAAAATTTGCTAAACTAACTAAAAACTATTCCAAATCATAAATTATTACTGAAAATCATTCAAAGGCGCCGAAACTCACGCAAACTCATTCCAATACAGTTAATTTATATTGATTGTAAGTTGAGTTTTACTGTGATTTAAATCAGCTTTTCCCCCCTTGGTCATTGGTTTAAGATATGATATAGACGAGTAGTTTGCAAGATAGTCGTGATTCTCGATATTTTTCAGAAGTGAGAGCGGCTGAAATTTGGTAGAAAGTCAAGAACTTTTGACAAAAAACTTCGTTCATACGATTGCTCGGTGACTGTCGTAAAGAAGACAGAAAGAGAAAGAAAGAAAGAAAACACCCTTAGCCTTCTGTTGGAAGTTTCAGTCAAATAAAACTATGAGTGCAAGTCCACTGAATCCTTTTTTGAAATTTTTTTACATCAATTTCACTGTGAGCAAAAAACTGTTTAGAAGAATTCATTTTCAGAATGTCGTTTGTTTATTGAGCGCGCCCATTATTCAGATTATCAACTATGTTTTATATCCTGTTTCACTTATTTTGCTTTGAAAGTTAAATGAGATACGTAAGCGTCAAAGGCACTACGCTGAGAACCATTTGATCAATTATAATAGTTTATTCTCATTATATTCATTTACCTGGAATCGGCAGATACATCTCATTGGATTCCAGATTTTCCAATTGTGTTATTTGCATCTAAATAACGATAAACACATCAATCTTGGCTCAACACAATTTGTGTTATTACTTACCAATGGAAGAAGGGGCACGACACGGTCGGGTAGCCATGGTGAACTTGTATCTATGCATGATAGTGCTGTTTTACTAGCCCACAGAATGTGGATTGGTGTTTCATAGGCGTTGACTTTCTGTAAAGACAAAGGTGTATAAGTTCGATGTAGCCGATGATGAATCGCATCTGCGTGTCCAAACATTTGAGGGCAAAGAGATTTGATTATGACATTGAGAACATTGCTGAGACTGTAGAGGCGTAGACTAGTTGTAGCAGAATTTGGTAGGTCCTTCTGACACTAAATACTTTATGTTTCAACTTACAAATGAAAATAAATTGCTAAGAATCTTACCCAGATTTCATCTCGTGCGTTATCAACGATCCATCTCAGCCATGTAGGTTTCATGTTTTGAAGTTCGTTCAAATCTGAATTCTTTTTAATGTAGGTATCGGCATTTAGTACCATATCAATGATATTGCGTACGCGTAATTCAATGAAGTTATCTACAGTATTGATAGAACATAGAAAAGCGATACTTTTCAGCAGATTATTATTTTGGTCGCTAGTTTCAAGTTCGATAGGGAAATAATTTTCATACAATTTAATATCAATCTTTGGCAAACGGTTACGTAAATAGGGAATTGCGATTTTATCTTTATCTTGATCATCGAGCTTTAATTGTTTTAATATAGTAATATATATTGAGTAACTGTCTATGACCAATTGGAGTTGTCGACATCTTTGATACGTTTCATCAAAGTCAGCCTGCTTAACTGCGAGATTTCGTATAATTTCGAGCATCTTAACAAACGTCTGTGCTTGATTGCATCGCCAACATTCTTCGCATCGACCATCTAATCGAAAATTTGAGTCAAGTTGTTTGTCGCACAGTGCACACTTTGATGTCATGATTTACTGAAAAATTACTTTTATTGTATTTTTCTAAAACAAAAAGTTGATAATGCTGAACGAATCTCATGGAAAGTGTTGCACACAAAAACTAGAAGCACCAATAAAGATTCAATGTCTCTCCAAAATGTCGGTGTGAACATGATGGTGTATGTAAAACGATAAATATAGTCACAGTCAAAAATTTGACTGAATAAAAAGTCGTCAACTGTCAAAAATATGCCTATGTGTAAATTTTGGGTGTGGGTCAGTTCAGTTTATTAGTGATATTTTGGTTATGATGACGAATTGAAAAACAATAGAAGAAGAGAACATGCAAAGACGAAATTGTTAAAGAACAAGATAACGAATCTAATATCTGACATACGAAATGCGAACGACCATGAATACATTTATATATGATCAAGTTGAAAAGATTTCATATGCGACATTAGATAACATCGTCGGAAAAATCCTGGATACGAAATGTGAATATTTCCAAAGCTAGTGAACGTTTCCAGTTTTCCTCTAGCTGAACATTGTATAAGACAAGTCGGTTTCATCCGTTCTTCGAAACTTAAATGATACGCTTCCACATTCAATCATCGTTGGTGTGTATTGAAATTGTTTTGCAATCATTTACTGTTATTATTGTGCTGTGTTATAAAATGACATTGTGTAGCATTTTTCCTTCATTTTCGCTTCTTATCTACTGCTATCAAAACTTCGCAGAATATGTTTATCTTGGTCACAAGAGAACTGATGTAGTCTGAGTAACATGCACAGTCACAAGATTGTCATATCAGGGTGTAGGTTTCGGTATGTATGGTGGTGCGGACTAGCACTTTTCTTCGTATACTTCCCCATACCCGCATGCTGCAAATAGTTCTAACTTAAAATAAAATTATCATGCCAAGTATCGATTATCCATCAGAGATGATAATTATTATTATTTTAATTAATGCTGAAAATTCAAATATGAACGTAAATGCAAAACTGAATCGTGTCAGCTATAAAGACGGAAGAGCAAATCTTCCTCACACAATTATTCATCTGTAATTGATTTCAACATCGGATATTTTTGGAGGACAATTGTTTTCTAACAATGCCGCTATTGGTACAATTATAATAAGAAATAATTGTGACTTTTTCTACAATATTTTTAACAAGAAAACTCTGCCAGATACGACCAAACACGAAGAAAATGTTTTTTACTGTGACAGTGGCAATGTGCGATATCTGTAGATAACTTTTCTGGAGTTTAACCTCATGAACTTTTAGTGATGTTTAGTGTGAGTGTCAGAGCTCATAAGAATTAATGAAAGAAGAAAAACCGTAAAAAAATACAATCGAAGAAATGATTCGTCAACCTGACTATGATTCATCAGTGGGACACTAGTAAGTAAAAGCAGACAGATAAGTCGTTAGTAATGCAACAAAAATGAGTAAATCATTCGTTGTTTCATCGTCGAATATTCGAGGAGAGAACGAAACTATAAGCGTTGAATTTATGCAAGTTAACATATGTGAATCAACAAAGCAAACAATCATCACCGATGCATATTCACTGGTTACAATGGAGAGGAATAAGTGAATTGAAAAATCTTTTTAATCAAATTCATGAAAATTTGTTGCATGGTAGTGGTATATGCGTGGTGAAAAATGTTCCCATAGATGATGACAATGTATCCTATCTCTCGATTGCTAAAAGTTTCAGTGGTGAACTTCTACGTGATTCACGCATGCCATCTCGTTCTTTGGAAGCAGATACAGTGATCTACCGTGTTGAAGAAGACCCTTTGAATACCGATGCGTATGCTCATTCAGCAACAAATGCCCATTTTCCTCTTCATACTGATTGTGCACACTTTCTCTATCCAGCTGAAGTGGTGATGCTACTCTGTGTTCAGCCGTCGACGAATGATGGTGATGGTAAAACTATATTGACTGATGTAGATGATATTTTAACGATGTTAACTGAACAACAAATATCCGAACTTGCCATTAGTCGGTTTACCTGGTGGCAAGGAACAAATAAACAAGTGCGAGTACCAATTTTGACCAAGAGTGATGATGGTCGTTGGCGAATTCGTTTCAATCAAGCTACATTGATGCGAGAAATGAATGCAAGTGATTTTGCAAAATCATCTGTTCTTCAATCCCTTATCGAAGTACTAGAAAAAATTGAACTCAATCCAAGTAATTCAATTAGTTTGACTGCTAATGACTTGCTAATTGTACACAATCAGCGCGTACTTCACGGACGTACAGCATTTACATCAAACACTTCGCGACTTCTCAAAAGAATTCGAGTAAAGGTCAATGACTTGTGAGACGATTACTTTTTGAACATTTTTTCAAGAAACAGGACTTGACATAATCTATCAGCTTTTTCCTATTTTTTACGTGCCAAATCATTTTTTTCCAATATTAACAAAGTTTTATGACGTACTAATTTTTATTGTTTACTGGATAAAAGAGGATTTTTTTTCATTGGAAAGCACAATAATCTGGAATAGAATTTAAAAAAAAACCGTATGGGAGTACTCGAGCAATAGAAGATTGACGGCATCTTCCAATGTCCATAACAAGAATATTTGTGTTGAGCATAAAGTACTGATAGTGCATTTTATAATACATAAAGTTACCAATCAGGCAAACATGCGTTAATAAAATTAGTGCAAGATCTAAAAATATTGAAATGGCGTTGTTTTTATTAAAATTAAAACGGTAAAGAAACAAGAAACTTGCAATTTCAGAAGATTTTAAGACACGAACATGAAGAAGATGATTACATTGCAATGTTGAACGTCTGATTCAATCAGTTTTCAGAATTTGAATGATGAACACTGTGTCATCATATTTAAACATCAGTCTTCTATTATTGAGATGAGAAGCAGAAATCTGGTGAAACAGTAGTTTGCAAAAAAACAGATCTTTATTTGTATAGGAGGGTAAAAATATTCGCATGTTTTTATCTTAATCATATTTATTAGAAGAAAAAAAACGAAATTGTATTCGAAACTGCAAGGAATATGATTTTTCAAAATTAATTATAATGCTTATTCAGATAGAACATTCTGAAGTTTTGAACGTTGTCTTGACTGTAAATAAATGGTCATCAAAACCGCGCAGATCTACAATAACATCATTGCAGTATTCACTTCGCTCGCAGAACGAACAGGTAGATTTGTTTCATTTTCTTTCGAAATTAATCTCAATCACGGCTACTAACAATTGAAATATCAGATCTTTCATATTAGAGTCGTAAGAGCTCGAGCTTCTTAAAATTTGTCTAAAACAAAATTTTAATGAAGGACAAAAAACATGTTTTAATTATGAGTACAGGAGTAAATATTAATTACCTGGTATACATTGAGTGGCAATCTGAATTAATATTCTGCTTCAGAATTTATTGAGATTTGTTAATTATGAACATACTTCCAAGGGGGAAAAACTGATTTCAAGCACAGAAATCAAACAGAAATCAAGGAAAACACTTGAAATCAAGAAATCACGAAATCAGTTTGTTCCCCCTTGCATACTTCAGTAAAAGTACCCCCGCAGCTTTTCTATTCTTTTATAATATTATCTTCATTATGGCCCTACGCTTGATTTTTATTCAATATTTGGAGTCTCTGTTGATTTCTACTTTCTTTTATGATTTAACACTACGCTAAGGTGCAAAGGAAACAGGTGCAGAGGACACAGAATCTTCTAATAATAAATGCGTATACGAAAAAAGCTATGCAAAGCAATTGGCCACTTATCTGAATAAGTTATTATTATTCAATAAAATGCGTAGATTACATAAATATTATTGTTTTCTTTAAGCTCTGATGAAATAGAAAAAAAAATGACAAAAATAACAGACATTTTTCTCGTTTGATTTTTTAGAACTATTTTCAATCTTTTAAATACTGATGAATGATGCAAATAAGAAGAAAAAAATAAAATAATCTTCTTATTTTTAATCAACTCGAACAATCATAGTGGAAATTCAATTGAGAAGATAATGCCTAAAATTCAAAGAATCAGAATTGTTCCTGTTGAACATTCAACTCCAGTGACGACAGCATCATACAGAGCACCGTACAGTTTTATGATACCGAACAAACAAATTTTAGCTCCACCTTTGTTCACGTGCATTGATGAGATTTACTCCCATGACCCTATACCGAATCAATCATTAAATCAAGCAAACCATGCATCTACTCTCTCAAACGCAAGCCTAATATCGATTCCGTCAAAAAAAAATTCTAAAGACAAGGCAGTACAGTGGCAAAAAAGGTCAATAAGTATTATTGTAATTATAATTATTGTATGCATCATAGTTATAGCTGTTTTATTAGCTGTTTTTCTTATTTATTATGTGAACAAATAATATACAATAATAAGTTGATGTTTAAATAAAATATATCGAAGTTAAAGACGTACAAGTGATGGATGCAGCATCGAACAGAACTATGTTTGATAATTAAATACAGAATCGATTCTCGGAAGGTACGCTAAATAAAATCAAGCATTTTGAATTTTATCACATACTATTTTTATTTCTTTAATTGTCTCTCTTGTTTTCTTTTGCAGTTAGTAGCTGAATATATTTTGCTATTCTTGACCTATTGAGAGAAGAACCGCTTACTCTACATCGTTTTGAAGATAAGTCTAAATTGAGACATCATTTACAAAACTTATATCTTAATCTGATGTTTCAGGCTTAAGTATTTTCTAACCAACATTCAACTGTGATGCTGAAATAATAGGAAAAGAACCCTTTCTTCAGAAAGATGGTGATGATAGAAACGACTGTTGTCAACTTACTTTGCTAACAAAGTTGATAGTTGATTTCCAGAACACTCTAGGCTGTTTTTTATGCCAACACACTTAATTCTTGCGATATTTTTCTAGAACATAACGAGTGATCTAATCTGACGGTATTATTTTGCAAAATCGTGACTTTTATTAGAATCCTCTAAAATTATGCAAGCAGAAAGGATAATTATTAATTATGACTCTATAACCGTTTTCTTATTTTCAGTTTAAGCTATATTCAAAATTTCCATAGACGCCGTATATTAAGAAATGCTCAAACATTGCGTTAATTTTCACCAGTTTTGTCTAAAAATAAATCCGTTATAAATAAATTCTCTCTGAAATTCTGTGTGTTTAATAAATTTTATTTGTCTCATAGCCCTCATGTTTAGTTTAATCGACAGTAGCTCGATTTTCTCTCATTCAATGTTCATTGATTTCATTGTTGCCGAGACAAGAATAATTAATCATCTTATAATTGTTAAACGATAATTGGTATACGACTAAAATAGAGATATTGAAGCCGAAATCATTTAAAAACAAATTCAACTGAAAACAAGCTTGCTAATGCAACTCTTCTGAAGGTATTATGACAAAATTATAATATATCATTTTTCTTCACTAAAATTTCTGCAAAATAGATAAGGAGAAATATTTTCCTTAAGGATCCATACAATCAAAACAACTGAATCGAATTCAGTTCTTGCTTCATCATGAAAAGATTTCTTTTTCAATTATTTCAAATAGGAGTTTAATAGACAATAAAAAATATGCGCTGGTTTTCAATTGCTAAAACCCCAAAAAGCAGTTGGTAAATCGTGTGCATCTCTTGCTCTCTTAATAACTGACGTAAATGATGAAACACAATTTCCAATAAAATAATCTGCATGAGCCAACATTGCAACATCAATAACAGGTAGCCAAGGGTCAAGATGTGCCACATATACTCGTTGCGCAGCTAGATGCTCTTCGATTTCTTTAATCATTGGCCGTTTATCTGTTGCAACATAAATATTGCGTATACGTGTACGAAGAACAATATTTTTTAATAAACGAAGTATTTCTTCATCGGATGGGTAACATATTTTTTGAGTAACATATGAATTTGTAGATGCTAACAGATCGAGACATTGAGGCGAAGCCATATATGAACGAGTTTTGTAAGATTCAACATTGGTACACGATCGTTCCCAATCAATATCATTTCTTAAATGAATTCCTATGAAAAAAAATAGCAGTCATCGATTTCATTCGGAAGAGTTCATTTGATAACATACCAATATATGGTTCGTTATTGAATAATTTTTTTTGATGTTGTCGAACTTCATCCATAATTTGCTCGGACCAAGTCATATACTTTTGTAATTGACGATGTTCAGCTAACATTGGATATGAAGCTGGTGCTCCTTTCAACGCTAAAACAGGATAACGATCAGCGGGAAATAATTTTTGCCATTGATTGACTGAATATTCATCATAATGAAGCTGATATGTAGTTGTATCAACAAAACTAACATTTAACTCATTCCAAAAGGATTCAAATGGATTTCCGTCTTTCATTTGACACTCTGATTTAGGTCTATCAGCTGGTAACCAGCAAAAACCAATACGAGATTCTTTCGGCCATACACGAGGAGCAAGATTTTGCATAAAATCTTCAGCATCAATTACACGATGATAAGAACGAAGAGATTCGATTTGAAACCATTCAGAATATGGAATATTCTTATAAGTACGCCACTAAAAACAAAAACTATTTTTCTTCGTTATATGAAAATTTTGAAAACAAATGTTTTCGGTCGAGTTTGAAATTCATTCGCTATGATAACACAAAAAGATCGCGCGTAATCAAAATCTATTCTGCATATTATTAGTAACTAGATGGTATTCGAGTTTCACTCGACTACGAAATGCGGTGCGAAGCACACGAGTCGAATTTTCGAAAGTAGCGAGAATAAGATTTAAAAAATAAATGATTCACTTTAAGATTCATTACAAACGTTTATTTTTTTTTAATTTCCGTATACGAATTTTGAATAAAAATTTCGCATTCACTATTCTTAAATCGACCATTTTGAAATTCATCACTAGGAAATCTCTCTGAAAATGTAACAACCAGTTGTCTAACAATTTTTTTCATTGAACGATTAATTATTTTAATGATTCACTATCTTAGATCAAATGCGAAGAAATAGACTATTGGCTACTATTACTTGATGACGTCATTTTAATTAGCGCGAAACTATAAAACAATAAAACGTTTCAAAATCATCATTGTCGAATGATATTTTTAGGCGAACGAAGCCTAGTATTGAAAATTGGAAAAAGGATGTAACAAGTTCCACCTCCATAGTTTTATATTTAGTTTGAATGGATTTTCTATCACTTACAGTTCTCTAGATCATCGCGCTACTTTATTAGAGCTTTTATGCTTACTCAAGTTAGAAAGAAACAAAAAAAAACTCGCGACGGACTACATAAATGCTGTGCTTCGCACCGCATTAAAAACTAAAACATTTAAAATAATATATACTTACAGGTGGTACAATTAATGTTCGATTAATTAACTTTGAAAATGCTAACCCACCCAGAAAATGTTCAGCTTGATTACCAAAGCGACCCATACACAAACAAAAAAGAATATATCCATTTGGATCAATATCATGCTCAGTCGTCTTTACTTCAAGTACAAAAATTAGCGAAATCAAAATACCAACTACACAGCGATTCATCTCGATGACAATGTGCAAGACAGACGAGAATGTGTGTATGAAAAAAAAATAATGAAAGATAAAAGTCAATCTTTTTTTTTTCTTCTTTCTCTCTCAGGAAATTAAAGCGATATCAAGTAAACAAGTAAGGCCATCCCATTTCGCACATATTCGTCAATATACGTTCTAAGCTTTTGTATCGTTCGATTATTTGCCAAGATAGTGACACGAAAAGAAAAAGAACGATTAATTCTCAATTGACACGTATTTAATCTAAGTATACAATACACAGATGACAGTTTAATCGAAGCATGTAAATTACTCAACTAATATAGACTGACATCTTTTTTGAATATCCATAATTCAATAAAGCAAATTTTCAAATTCATAGAGGCTGTTGCTAGCAACAATGATCAAATCATGTTTCAATGGTTGACAGCATCGTACACAATCAATAAGAAGCGAATAATTATTTGCCAATATATATATATACACTGTATCGTATTGAGGAAATGTAATCAAATAGTTGCCATGCTTTGATCGCGGTTGCTTCGATTATTTTGAATAAATAAACACTGATAAATCAAATCTGATTTGGATTTGAATTTCGTTTGTTCTTACATCAAGTATTTATAATGATGACTTTTGTTTTGTAGATTTACATATTATGTCGGACGGTCATCAGACACCTGATAATGCTGGGCCTGATCAAGGTCCACCAGACTCTGCTATGCCTTCTACTGAAGCCGAGAGTGCAAAGAAGCCAATTCGAACTGCTTTTGATGATGGAGCACTCAAAGTGATGGAAGATGAATTTCAAGTAAATATTTAAAAATGATTCTCAAAATCTAGGATTTTGTCTCGTTTTATTTTCTTCTAGACTGTACTTAATGAATTAGTTGGCGGCGATCGAAGTTTAGATAAATTTCGTAGTGAATATGAAAAACTACACAAGGCCTTACTCAAATCACATGATAGTGAAAAACGTTTAATGCAAAAATGTCGAGAATTAAATGCTGAATTAGTTACAAATTCAGCAAAAGTTCAATCTGCTATGAAATTAAGTGACGAAGATAAGAGTGCTATTGCTTCACTACGAAAAGAAATTGAAAAAGCATGGAAAATGGTCGATGCTGCACATGAAAAAGAACAACGAGCAAAAGAAACCATTCAAAGTCTAAGAATTGAAATTAACAATTTAAGTAAATTAGTTGAACAAGGAGCAGGTATGAACGAATTACTATTATTTAGATTTAAAAATATGTTACTAACGTCGTACGTTGGCTAATATGCAATAAGGGCCAATAGACTCTTATGATGTTAACATTTCTTACAGTTATGTTCTACTAAGTAACGGTAGAACAACCAAAAAGAAAAAAAAACGCAGAGTGTATCTTATCAGTAGCCTCTGCCAAATGACAGATAAATATCTTATTTGAGTACGAACTACGAAAAAAAAAGAATCGCTTTCTTGTTGGAATGAAAATGATATCGTAATAACAAAAGAAAAACATTTCTTTTAAGGAGTTACCATGGGTCAAGAACACGATGTGAACGATCTAATGAAGATGCGCGATGAATTAGCTCAAGAACGAGATCGATTATTAAATGATGTAACACAATTACGTCGTGATCTCGACGACAATTCATTTAAACAAGCTGATTTAGAAAAAAAAATTCATGAATCTAATGAACAAATTCTTACTTTACAAGAAAAAATTACTCAATCAAAAACGGAAAATATGAAAGAAGCAAAAAGACGAGTTTGTTCTGTTTTTTTTTATTTGGTGCAGTTAATGGTTTTACTCTTTCTTTGAACTTTCTTAGGAACAAATTGAACTTGAACTTAAAACAAGTAAACAGAGTTTAGAAGTAAGAAATGCAGAATTTAAAGCGCAAACGACGCAATTCGAATCTCAACAGCAAGAACTGAGAAAAGCTCAACAGCATCTAAAACAAATGAAAGAAGATAATATTCGCTTATCGAAAGATAATCAAATTCTTCAAGTACGTCTCGATAATTCACGTACACAATTCACTGAACTTGTTACAACAAATGAAAAACTCGCTAATGATTGTGCACGTCGTGTAACAGAACTCAAAGAAAAAGAAGACGAACTTGTACAATTACGTAAAGAACGCGACAATGAACAAAAGAAAAAAGATCATGCTGAAAAACGTTTTAGACAAGTCGAAGATCAAGTTGGTGAAGTCGAACAACAACGTGAACGTTTACGTTCGAAAATATCAACATTAGAACACGAAATCGACCAATTTAAAAAGACTCAGGACGAAAATCGAAGACAAATCGATACATTAACACGTGAACGTGAACAATTAAATAAAAATTGTCAAAAATTAATTGCCGATAATCAAAAACAAACGGATCAAGTTAAAAGCTTTGACCAATCAAAGAAAACCTTAGAACAAGATATTACTAATTATAAGGAAGAAGCTAGTAAACAGCGAAAAATTATTCTGAAAATGGAAAAAGAACGAGATCGGTACATAGCAGTTTTCTTTCCTTCGTTTTTTTTCAAGAAAGCTGCGACTATTTCAATGGATTGATCATAGACAGTCATGAAGAATCGTATGATAAATAATAGGATCAAAATATTCCTCGTTTGATTCAACTTACAATTGTTTTTTTTTTGAATTGAGCTCGATGACATTCTGTTTTGTGTTTGCATGTAGCCAAGGACAATGGCCAGTGAGTTGATAGAAGTACTTTCAAAAAAATGAATAGTGATGGTTAGAAAAATAGAATCGTTATTTCCCTCCATACACGTAGCTTTTACAAATCTCAAAGAGGAATGCATATTTTGTCTCGCAGAGTTCAGATAAAAAGGTAGCATTCATCGGGCAAGCTATTGTGAGACTCCAGCGGTTGAATTCTCTCTATACTTTCGGTCGATTATTATTCAATATCTTATGAATTTTATTTTTCTCAATTAGTTATATCACTGAAGCTGGTCAATTAACAAATAGTGTTCTTGGACTAATGGAGGAAGTAAAAAAGAAGGAACTCGAATTATTTGATCAAAAGAAAAAAATAGCTGAATTAGAAACTCGACTGAAACAACAACAAAATTTATATGAAGCTGTTCGATCCGATCGTAATCTTTATTCGAAAAATCTAATTGAATCTCAAGATGAAATCGGTGAAATGAAACGTAAATTGAAAATAATGAACCATCAAATCGATCAATTAAAAGAAGAAATTCAGGGTAAAGAACAAGAATTAGTTCGCACACAAGGCGAACATGAAAAAGTTAAAAAAGACAAAGAACAGTTGATGTTAAATGTTGAACAACTAAAGAAAGAAGCGATCAAGAAAGAGGAAGCTTATGCTAACCAACTATCGGAATTTGAACGCTTAAATAAACAATTAATGGAAGCAAATGATGAACGTAAAAAACAAATGAAACAATTACAACAAGTAACAAACCACACAAGCAAATGTTTTTCTAATTTTATTAATCTTTCCTTTGCGTCTTAGGTTATAGCAGAACGTGATGTTCTCGGCACACAGCTTGTTCGTCGTAATGATGAACTTGCGCTTCTCTATGAAAAACTTAAAATTCAACAATCAACATTAAACAAAGGCGAACTTCAATATAAAAGTCGTCTCGAAGATTTGCGTATATTAAAATTAGAATTGAAAAAATTACGCCATGACAAAGGTACTTTACAAGATAAAGTATCGAACACAGAAGATCTCAAACGTGAAGTATTTCATGTTCAACGAGAATTATTACGTGAACGTACACGTTGTCGAGCATTAGAAGAAGAATTAGAAAATCCGATGAATATACATCGTTGGCGTAAATTAGAAGGTAGCGATCCATCAACATTCGAATTGATACAAAAGATTCAATTACTTCAAAAACGTTTAATACAAAAAACAGAAGAAGTAGTACAAAAGGAATTATTAATACAAGAAAAAGAAAAATTATATGCTGAACTCAAACGTATTTTGGGTAATGTTATAGAATTTATTTCAGCTTTAATTATCGATGTTGTTTTTCATCTGTTATATCGAAAAAGAGTATCTCTAAAAGAATTCATTTTTCTTTATAAATTGAGTTGATACTAATAGCTCATATTGTTCGTATGAAGTCTTCGCATAACGTAAACTGAAATTTAGAGAAACATATTCAAACATGATAATGACGATACGAACCTTTCAATGTTTATTTTCGTTAGGAGTAAATTCAAGTCTTCGAACTACACTTTTCAAGGATAAAGTTCATACTTTGTTTATTATTAGTATTTAGAGACATCTATTGCAGTGGCGGAGAAAATTTTATTAAAATATTTCTTTAATCTATTTGATTCTTGTAGCTCGACAACCTGGCCCAGAAGTTGCTGAACAATTATCGATTTATCAAGAAACACTTAAAGCTAAAACTAAACAATTGAAATCTTTGGCGAGTGAAGTGAATATGTACGAAAGTCAAATAGACGATTATAAATACGAAATTGATAAACTCAATCGACAATTAACCGAAGTACAACAGAAATATTTTCTGCAAAAGAAAAAAGAAACGATGGCCAAAGAAAAAGAACGTTTCATGCAAGCACAACAGCTTACCACAACGATCAATGGAATTACATTACAGCAACCACCACCTGATCTCATTCAACCGAATCGATCAAAGTAAATTGTTTTAGTTAACCTTTTAATTTTCAATTAACATGAAATTTAATATTATTTTAGTGATCAAGCTCGTTTCACTGGCGGAGGCTTCAACCTTAAATCAACGCCTAAGCCTGCTGCTGTTAATGCTTAATTTTTGTATGCATCTTTTGAGTTTAAATAAAAAAGCACGTCCTATTTTCACTGAGCGCTTCTATATTTACGAACACACATAATGGTTCGCAAAATTCATTAAAATGTTCTATCGAAGAAATATTAAAATTCTAAGAAGCATGAAAATATTTTTTTTTTCAACGTTTAATTTTCATAATAAATTCTTAAATAGTTTCTTATTTTCTGTAAGTAAATAATCTTTCCTATTTTCAAAGTGTCCATTTGTTGTAGCTTCAATTTTCAAATAAACTCGACAGAATTATTCCAAATTACAATCTAATCAATTACAATCAAACTTAACTTCTACTCTAAGTTAGTCATGAATGTGGCCCAAGATAAGACTTAAATCAAGAGTTCAAATTGTAGTTTGACGACACTAGTACATTTAGTGAGCTTAGGATTTATTTATTATGCTTTAAAATAAATAAATAAATCATTTGCATACAAGAAAAAAAAGTAAATTCACATGTTCACATTGATATATTTGTACAGCATCATCACATTGTTTAATTTGCATAATTTGCAGATCTTTTGAAATTCCTAGGGATCATATAAATATTAATTTTATGATGAATCTGGTAGATTTTCAACTATTATCTGTGCATTATTACTGAATTTTGCTTGTAACTAAGATAGCATTTTTATTTAGATTTACTTTATAATTAAACAGTATGAATGGATTTAACTCACTTACAGATTAAAACTATCGACAGTTAATCATACTGTTATAACATTTGGTTTTTAATCACGTATTACATCTGAAATAGGTAGTTCACTTCGTCCGAGATTGATTATTTCTTGTGAATGAATTAGAAGCACTCAAATTTTGCACACATATTGTATATTGAATCGAATAGTGATTAGAATAATATAGATAATATATATATATATATATATATACACGCTACTATGACTTATTTACTTGTTTTTTCTTTCTTTTTATGATAGGAAGACAAATTAGGATCATGATGAAAGTAGTTCTGGGGAATGATTTTAATGGAGCCATTAAATGAAAACAAAAAAATTCTATTTGTACAATATTAAATGCATCAGAGACATCTATTTTTGCATACAATGAATTATTAAAAATTGTGAATGGCTCGAAACGAAGTTTGTTTCCACTTGAATTTTGAATTGAATCTTCCCCTCTCCATAATAGCAACTGATATTCTCCGGTTGCTTTCATTATAGACTTATTCAAAAACAAATCAACAACAACAAAGTACCTATTGAGTATCAATTCTAGAATAGAGAGAAGTCGATGCTTATGTTTACCAGACGATAATAGAATTCTTCGGTTATGGTGTCTGTTTTTACTACGTCTAATTGAATATATAAGACAATATTGTAAAAAGAAAGCAAGGCTCTATATAAAAATGTAATGATCAAGTTTATTGTTTTATTACGAACGGAAAATTGTATTATTATATAGTGAATGTTTTTTCAAACAATGGTCTTAAGCTTCCAAAGCGAAGTTTCCTTTTTTCTCGGCTTCTTGTTTAAGTTTTTCCACAGCATTTTTAGACAAACTACAATTATTGAGCCAAACTACATGATTCGATTGGTTATGTTGAATCATTTTGATCAGATCATTAACGCATGCATCAGTTATTAATTTATTAGAAGTAAGATTTAAACATTGAAGAGTGTTATTATGGGAGGTGATTGCACTGATCAATTGTCGAACACCACGGTCACCTATTGCGTTTGAACCTAAATTCAGTATTTGTATTGTTGTATTGGTTTTGAGCATGTCTGCTAAATAATCAGCACCATCATCTGTAATATTATTCGAATCGAGTTCAAGCCATTCCATTGTTTCGTTATTAATCGAAAGTGCTCGTGCTAGGGCACGTGCGCCAGTATCAGAAATTTGATTACTAGATAGATTTAATTCCACTAAACTTGTATTAGTATATAATATATCAGCTAAAGTTGTAGCACCATTGCCAGAAATTTCATTGTGTTCGAGTCGAAGTTTTCCACATCTACTATCTACAATCACCTTTTTACATAAAAATTCCATATCTTGATCGCCTATTTTTTTGCGACTTAAATCAACGTCTGAATAAAAATCAATCGATTCCATCAATGCTTCTATTCTGCCGTCTTGATGTATGAGCGTATCTAAATGAAAGAAAAAATAAAGATTATCCATATAGCAGATATTTGAAAAACCGTTAATTCTGCTAGTGAAATGACGAACGAGTCAATAATATCACATTTACACACAAATGTACTTAGCGGGCTGTGTCTACTTGTAGTGAAGAGGAATGCTTCTCCATCGAACTACCTCAAAGTGACGAACACTACTCAACAGATTGCATATGATAAAATGTTTCGTATTCGATCTAGTATCAATAGCAGTCAGTAACATAAGTATAAGAATTATATCTCTTAGTCTGCGCATGGCTTCTTAAGAATACCGATGAACATAAAACGTCGTTCGGATGATCTCTTGTACGCTAGTGTAGTCTTATTTGTAAACCTATAAATTCAATTACTTGGCGTATCAGATTTTTCCTTAGCCATCAACAATATTTGTGTGTCATGTTGCTTAACATTTTGTTTTAAAGTCGTGATTTCATCTTTTTGAGACCGGCCTTCTTCTTGTAGCTTTCTAATTTCCAATTGATATTCATTCAACGGAGTCATGCGCTGATTAAACTCTACTTTTAGTTTTTGAATTTCATTTTGAGACTGATCCGCTCGTTGTTGACATTTAACATCTAATTGATGAAGTTGATTTGTTACATCATCTACTGATTTCAGTTGGATTTTAACATCTAGCTGTTGAAATTTACTTGATACATCATCTATTGCTTGTTGAAGTTGATTTAATCGATGAGATTCATTTGGAATCTCATCGGAAGGAATAGATGCTTGATTAGTTTGCTCTTTGATTAATTGAAGTTCTTGTTTTAATTCGATTTGTTGATTATCATATTTATTGAATTCTTCTCGAATTTGTTGCAAATCTTTTTCAAATTCTGAACAACGACGAACTTGTTGAGATAGTGAGCCTAGAATTATGGTATGTGCTTTTTGTAATTTTTCCATATGATTTTCATAGGATTTCATTTTTTCTCTTAATTGTTCTATTTCTTGTTGTTGTTGATCATAAGATTGTTTATATTGTTCGAATTGTTTTTGAAATTGTAAACTCTCCATTAGGATAGGTCTTAATAAATGAAAAGTGCATTTTTGTATGTGACTATCGAATTCATCATAGGGTCCCATCCATGGGCATTTCAGATCAGAAGCGATACATAAAACAATTCTTTTAGGGCATTCATGCTGAAGATGTTGTTGTAAGTGAACTACACGAGTGTTTATCTTTTGGCATTGTGTACATTTTACAGTAAGACTATCGAGCATATCAAGAAGAAGTTTTTCTGTCATTGGAACTAAATTTTCAATAAATGATGATTGTCGAATGCAGCCGGTAGGACGATTGGCAGATTCTTTTTGAGTAATACATTTCCGACAAAATCGATCACCATCTCTTGTTATGATTGGATCAAAAAAAGGTTTTGAACATAGTCGACATTTAAGTAAAGCGTCAATTGATGCTTCATTCATATACTCAAAATTAAAATCAGACATGATTTACTTTTCTTGAAAAAAAAGATTTCGAAAATGTGTTCGTTTTCGTGAAGTAAACACTTTATATATAGAGTTGCAATAGAATTTTTTCCTTATGTTGTCAGCCGGTTTTCTCCTTCTGCATATGAATGAATAATAGAAGACAACACGATAAGATAAGATAAGATAAGATAAGATAAGATGATCTTACTCTTCAGAAAGCAAAGAACGCATTTGTCAGGTATGGTCACATGAATTAATAATAATTGACAAACTAGGAAAAAACCTCTTGTTTATAAGCACAACTTTAAATTTATTCATATATTTTAATATTATTATTTAATTTTACTCAAACAAACACAAAACCTTGAATTAATTAATTAATTAGGATACAGTAATGTTTTGTAAGAGTAAATTCATTTCTCCGTCTGTGTTATCCGTTAATTGCTTAACTTGCTCGCTTAAATTCTTAATTCGAAGTTTTACTTGATCATGTTCATGAAATATTTCTTCTAATATAGGTCTCAACGGCTCAAGTTTACATTCTTGTAAATGTATTTCAAGATTTTCACGAGTACCCATCCATGGACATTTTAGATCAGCAGCTTGACATAAAGTAGATGCTTTTAAGCAATGTTTAAGTTTATGTTCATTGAATTTACCACGAGCAATATTGATTTCTTCGCATGCAGTACATCGCACGAGAAGTGCATCAAGCATACTTAATACAATTGGTTCAGTAACAGGAGTTAACTTTTGGGTGTTAGATAATGGCGAATTGCCCCCTGTATTTAGTTTATCACTTCCATTGGAAGCTTCTCGACGTATGATACGAGAAATGCATTTTCGACAAAACTGATCTCCAGTTGGTGTTTTAACAGGATCAATAAGTGGTTTAATGCAAAACTTGCATTTTAATGACGGATGACTGCTTGATTCATCCATATATACATAAGTATCATTCGACTCCATCGATAATGGAAATAGTAGCCCAGAAAATAATTATAAAAAGTGTGCTTCACTTTTAACAAACTTCACTTTATATAAATGTTAGACTTGTCTTAGAGAGACTTTTTGCGTTCCTTATCTTTAAAAGCGTATCTTGAATAACTTTTAGAAATAGAAAATTTTCCGTTGGCGATAATATCGTCGTACTTTCGGGAGTTCGATGTAACGCTACATGATGCTTTCGTTTTTCGTGAAATAAAAACTATGAATATTTATTGAATAGTTTAAAAAGAAAATAATACATAGTTTATGTCAATTAGTACGATATCATATTCATACGCGACGGAACGTTTCTAATTTAGGGGAGGCTCAATTTTTGTATTTGAAAACAACGACGGAAACTCGGCATTAGAGGGAGAAAGCAAAGTTTCAAATTTCTTGGTTATAACTTTTATTCAAAATATTTTCTTCACTGACCCATTTGCACACCTTCAGAGCAATCGAGAATTCTACTACGCTATCAAAATTTATATTTCATTATCAACATAAGCATACAAAATCTTAAATCTTGTCTTAAAGCAAATAAAAAAGTTGCAAGCACACAAACTATTAATCATGTCCTAGAAAAGCCGTTCGAGTCTAACTGATCTAATTTTTCTTGATGAATATGAGGAATAAGGACATGATTAGAGCGTTGTTGTGTCATTGTTGATCGTAGTCCCCTTCATCTGCATAAATAAGGCGCTAGCATTAAGAAATGAAAATATTTCAAAAAGATGCAACATATACATCCTCAGGCTGAACATAGCTTCGGAGAAAAAATAGCATCACTTTTCGAACCGCTTGCACTTATCAAATATGGAATTACGATGAAATCGGGATTTTTTTCAAATAGCTGAGCCTCACCAAGACTCTCCCTTTGTTTTTAGGGGAGGCTTGAGCCTACCCTAGCCTAAGGGCTCCGCCGCCTCTGATCATATTTGAAGTTTATAGACTTGAAAGTTTTCATGTGTAATACCTTTTTAAAATTAAATGGACTCATTAAGAGTGCAGGAAGATGTTTCATAGCATTTATTTAAGTACAAAAATTGAATAAAATTCTTCGTTTCAATTAGAAATATTCTTCTACTATCAAATGAATTAGATAATAGCTGAATTCTAACTAACGATGATTTACGTATATGTGTCAAGTTAAACATAATTTTCTATTTTTCCAACATTATTCGTTACTTATTCAAAGCGATATTCATAAAAAAAAACATCATAATATCTATAGCTTTATCACATTGAAAATATTTCTGAATGAGTAATACAGTGTATTCATAGTATGTAATGATAACATATTGCTGATAGATCATTATTAGGTGCAAATAAGAAATACGCATACGTCTCTCTAGCCACAACTGAAAGTTTTCTTCCTGATTGTGGTGCGATTGAGAAGTTTTTTCAAAGGCATACATATCTCTCTTCCTATATAATTACCATGGGAAACGATATATACATCGACTTTGAAAAATAGGGAAAGAAATTTTAACTGTGATGGACTTTTTGTTCATGAAAATTTGTTGATTATTAATATATATACAAAGATCGAAGGATTTTTTAATGAAAACTTACTCAAAAATAAAATACTTTGTAAACATATAGTATGAACTCGAAAATGTTTTAAAAACAGCCTTTCTATCATTATTCTGGTACATAGTCGTAGAATAGTCAAATACAGTCCAGAAAATGCCTGATGAAAATAATTTCCTTAAAAAAAACGAGTTTCAAGAATATTTACATGTCTTTCAACAATTGTTTTTTCATTCTGCTAGAGCGACATTGGCAAATAGCCTCATAGTCAAAAAAACGTTATTCAATCGAAAGTTATTGAAATATATTATCGTTGTTTGTTTAAAATGTTTCTTGCATTGCATTTTTATTTAGACATTCTCAGAATTGATATTTGTAAAAATACAAGATCTTCAATAGCATAAACTATAGCTCAAGATTTCTACAGGATTGATTAATTATGATTATAATTTAGCACAAGTGTGTCTGAAGGCTGCTTAAAATGAGTTGCCAAATTTTCAAGCTAACATGTATCTAAAAAAATTCTAAATTTTGTCTTTCTTCTTCATACAAATAATAGCTTTTTTTACTTCACTTGAAAAATAATTCAGTATGAAACTAAACAAAAGCATCTAACAAACATACTTGGAGGAGGCAGAAGAAAAGAAAGAGAATGAAAAAGAAAAGCGTCATTCATTTGTGATGCTCGATGAAAAGTTACACGAAAATTCTGTTGAAACCAACTAATCAATAAAATCAAGTACACATATTGTGTTCATGAAAACTATGCGTGCATCATGTATTGCCTTGATTCAACGATCACTGACGAGAAATTGAACAGCAGCTTTATTTCAGTCTGTCTTCAAAATGTAAGTTACAATGAAAAATATTGAATCAAACAGAATTTATAATAAATTTTTCAAGGTGAATATTATAAATAATGTTTTGTCTTGTTTTTTGCGTACTCAAAAAGTGAGTACACTCTAGAACCGGCCAGTGTGTCCGGCCGGCCGGACGTAGGCACGATAACGTTTGAAAGCTTCATCCAATTACTATGAAATTTTGTACACAGAATGATCTCATCAATATCTCGGTCGAGTTCGAAGATGAGAAGGATCCGTCAAGTAATGACTGAGTTATCGAAAAAATTGTCATTTTTGATCAGACCATCCCTGAGGGGGGAGGATACAGGGATTTTTCAAAAAAAACATTTTCCCAGAATTATTCAGAACATATATAAATCGACTCAATTTTTAACGCTGATTCCGAATCTGATATTAGTCTTGAACTAAACCGTAGCTTTCTGATGAAACATCGTCTGAAAAACGTCTCAAACTGCGCCCAGAAATCAAATTGCTTAGTTTTTCATGATAATTTTGGTGTTCAGACATTCTAGAATGACTCATATGTCCCATGCACTTTTGCAGTACACATAACTCTCGGATGAAATCCGAAGTTTCCACATTTATTTAATAGTAGTATTGTGTGTAGACTTCAGCTGACACAAAAACTACCTGTAAACTGTAGGAGAGAAAAAACGAAAACTTTTGAGCTCATTTCGTTAGTTCGCTTTTACATTCAGCTACGTAGTGCTCATCACAAGAGTATGTCCCAAGAATTTGTTTGAAATAAATAGAAAGTGCTTATTCAATCGATATATAAAACACTCAGGGAAGTGCAAATCCAATCGAATGTTTGCCTTCTTATTATTGTTCTCTATTTTGATAACTTGCAGCAGTCTCACACATCGTAACAATGATCGAATTAGCTGAAGCCTTACGATTACGTGTAAAACGAATCGTTTTGTGACCTTATCTCTTATTAAAACTAAACTTTAGCGTACTGATGATTGTGCTAATTGATTTATTTTTTCATTACAACTAGTTTCACCATAAACAAAGATGTTCGAGTGAAAAGCAATTTTTTTCTTAATATGTAGCTATCATACTAAAGAGAAAGGTAGCTGTTTCTGCACTCGTACAATACTGAACAAATTATTTATTTTTTTAAAGACAAAACAAGCACAAGCGTGAAGTATTTTCATCATGAGAAAACATTTATTTGGTTAGATTCCTATTTCAATACTTCAATGATGGAGACATCAGAAATCGGATATTCGCCAAATGAAGATCAAGGAGTCCAAGCCTTCATTAGAACATTAAACTCGCTAAGAAATGATTTTCTTCAAAAAATAAAACAGTAAGTTATTCTTATAGTAATGAAATCTTCTAATGTAGAAATATTCTGTTTATAGATATACAGAATGCTTGCGTGAAAAAATATTTTTAATATCCATTTCATCTATATCGTTACTGATTGTATTATTTTTCTACACATTTGCAATCTATCTACAACCGATCATATTTGTTGACTTCAACAAACATGTCATGAGCAAAACAATGCTAAAACCAAGTATAGTGTCGAGTATTCAAGAACCATATATATACTCGAAAAACCAGTATTTTAATCGGACACGAAAAGTAAATTGGTCCTGACATTATTTCTTCTATTTGTTTTCTTTTTGACTACTATAGCCTAGTGAAAATGTTATTGCCTTCTTAGTGGCAAGTTTTGCCGGTGATATACGTCGAGCTTATAATCCTTATCCGAAACTAGGAGAAAAACTTTTCCAGCTTGATGAACGTCTCGGTGACAATAAGATAACAGATATAATTATATTTCACACTGGTTATCCTTTTCGAGCTGATATAACATCAATAGTGCACACGACTGCGCGAAACGTGCTGTTCGTGAATGTTGATCATATATTTTATAAGTTTTCTCCTGGTTTCGATCCGCATATAAGAGATCCAACTTGGACACAGAAAGGTAAATGGCATTATCATCATATGCGTTACTTTTGGTTTAAACAAGTATTTGAATTAAAAATTATTCAACGATATCGATACATGATGCGACTTGATGACGATTCGGGAATTGAAGGTAATTGCGAAGTTTTATAATTGGAGTGATTTCAATATCACATGTTAAAAGTTTATCTTGATGGTGAAAATGATATTATATGTAAAAGAAGTGTTTGACAGGTATTAACATGCATTGGTAGCGGAAAAAGAACAAAGAAAATTAGAGTAATCTCACGAGCTGAGTTAGATGTTTTCAAGCATAGTTATCTAAACAGTTTTCAGAACTATGTTAGTTATAACAAATACAATTCTTTTTTATTCAGGTAAATGGCCTAATGTATTCGAAATAATCGCCAAACGTCAAGCTGTTTACATGGCAAATAGACGAGAAGTGGATTTCAATTATGTTGTTCCGGGTGTGACACTCGTGAGAAATCTCACCGTCGCTTTCATGAAAAAATATAAAATAAAACCTCGAAATCCTGATATGATGGCTGATGTCTTTAATCATACCATCGAAATACCTAATTATTGGAATAATGTTGAAGTAATAGATTTATCATTGATTCGTCAAATAGAAGTTATTGATTTTATGCGTTGGGTTGATGAATCAAGAGGCATATTTCTCTATCGTTGGGGTGATGCTCCTCTTCGTTATATAACATTAGCACTTTTTGTAAATGCAACGCAAATATTGCATTTAAATAAACTAGGACTTGGATATTGTCATCCTTGTTAAATATTTGTTAATATATCAAATAAAATTTTGATTCACAGATCGCAGTATATACAAAAGTTATGCTAAAGATTCAAAATAAGTTGCAGATGGTATATTGATTGTCGTGCAAATTTGTCAAAAAACTATTTAATTATCGCTAAGAATGCAATATTAATATTGTACTGTGCAAGTTTCTAAGGGACGAAGCACTTGATAAAGATACAACGGAATTTTTCTTTGATACAACCAACGATCATACTTAGCTTTGTGATGATTTCCCGAAAGGCGCTTCTCTAACGCTTGTTCCAGCGTTATTTGATAAATTGAGTTAACTATAAATTAAGTATGTGGTCCTACTTTCTGTTTGCCTCGTATATCCTGAATAAAATTCGAATATTGAATAGTATCCAATGGATATTTTTTGATTTTTCTTATATTTTATAGCAGAAATTAGTGTCAATTCTGTCAAAAAATATTGTCGATGGACAGTTAATAAAACATTTTCTACTATTTATCAGATTTTCATAATGAAGTAATGAAAGTACAATTCTTTTAAACAAAATTTCGCTCTTTTTCTTTCTTCTCTAGAGAAATAAAAAGCATTATGAAAACGTCGAGATCAAACTGATACCTCGGGTTTTTGCTCCATCATCACTGAGACATTTTCTTTTTAAAAATGTTCAAATCGAACAAAAAATATCTTCTAGGATTTATTATTCTTAGAGCTACGAGATAATCAATATAAGGATCACAGCAAAACTAGAAAGCTAATATCCCTGTTATTGCTAAAATAGCTATTTGTATCGTGGGTTTTAGATAATCGATCATATAGATAATAGAATGGTACATCGATATTCTTCTTCGGAAATATATTGACACGCTTTGAAGGCTATGGTAGCGACAAATTCAGCTGTAGTTTAACATATTTTCTCTTATAATTTTGTTAAAGTAATAGATAGAATTGTAGCAGTTTCAATTTAAAAGCGAAAACTTCGTTTTAATCAAAATAAAGGATCTGCAGAATAAACAGAAATCACAATCCTTGGTAGATATGATTATTCGTCTTTCACATGCAATTGTTTTTTATGCAAATAGAGATTCTATCTTTTGCCTAGTTTATTTCGAATTTTCTGAAGCGTACAAACATCTGGAGTTAATTGAATTTGCTGGCTACACATCAGCTTTCTCTACTCACAACTCACATGCAACTTAAACACAAGAAAGTCAGCTCTAAGAAGCTGCTAGTTTACCAGTCTAAATTTTCGTAATGCTACGGATATTAAACGAAGAAACTACTGATAAACGTGCTTTTCGATCATGTGAATACGATAAAATGATCACCATAGATGAATGAATAGAAAATGACCTTGGTAACGAAACAAAATTTTTTCGCTGCTAGTACATTTCGTCACGATTAGCTCGCCGTATATAAAGGAGAGAGTACATTGATTGAATTAATTGATTTAGTTTAATATTTTATTGAATTCATCAGCTTAATAAATGTATTCCTTTACAATATTAAGACTCTTTCTTAATAATACAATTTTGTTTTTAACAAATGATAGAGTTTTCAATTTACAGCTTATTTATTTTAGCTTTTAAATCACCCAAAAATTTGAAACTAAATTTGAAGTAACTTTAGTTATTTCTAATATTCGCAGTATTGAAAACCTAAAAGTTCATTTCGAAAATTTCTAAAATCGCGTCACCCCATAATCGAATAACTTTGAAAATCACAGAAAATCATCCTAGAAATTAGTGAATGAATTATGTAGCTCAATATTTCCTCAGCAGTCGCCTTCTTAAAGGACTTGAGTTGAGTTTCATTTAGTGGCAGACAATTTCTCATCTAACAAAAGAATTTTTCGAGTAATTTTTTCTTCAAAACACATCTATTATCCATGATAACGATCCAATTATTATTCTGTAATAGAGTGTACATTTACGCGATGAATTGAGTAACTTACTACAAAAGAATTGCTTAATTCAATTAATGTATCCTCTCCTTTATATACGCCTAGCCCATCGAAACGAATTCTCTTCACGATGAATTGTTTTGCGGCAAAGTGCCATGCGACGGAATTAGCGCTCACTATTTTTTTTATAACAATGAAAAGTATCGTATGAAGTACGTTCTTACATGTTTACTTTTTGCTGTTTCAACTGAAAAGGCATCTTCTGATGCAAGCAAACAAGCGAAAACATATGAACAAATGAAAAAGAAATGTGAGATAGAACTCATATTTTAGTATAATAGTGTTTCAATGCGAATCATGATCACGTAACCATTTCTTTAAAAACAGACCTTATTTGCAGTTGTCCATTTCACCTTTGTCAGATTGTTATCATATCGTGTATTCTTCAAACCACAAGAATATTCATGCAAATAAAAAAAATGATTGAGTCGATTGCTAACTAAGAAAAATAAGAACTAAGCAAGGAACAACCGAGTTAAATTGCTTTGTTTTTGTTTAAAACTTATTGCGAATTGCTCAGAATTAATAAAATTATTGTTGTAGATCAGAGATAGGTTCATTTAAAATATCTGGAAAGCATTTATTTCAATATCAAGAATAAATGCCCTTGAAAATGATCATTCATCTCTCAAATCTTGTAGTTTTGTATTTATTCTTTTCATCCTGATGAAATCAAAATAAAATTAGAATCTGAAGTTCAGATTCTGAAGTAAAAAAAATGCTGAGATGCAACAGAAATTCATCGTCAAAAAGTTGGAAAAAAAAGACTTATAAGCATTCGTGCATGTGCATGACAACAGAAACGTTAACTTAGCAGTAAAAAAATTCGTATAATGCAGAAAAAAGTGATGTAAATAACATGCTTTAAAACCGAAAAAAAGAATGCAGAGAATGAAAAAAATGCTCTATTGATACGTGAAAAAGAATTGTGAAGGTCTTTTGTTTCTACAATCTGGTGAATAAAATTCAAGCAGAAAATATTGTTTATAGGGTTCAGCTGGTATTCATTTTTTTGTTGAAAAATCTAGTAAACAATCTACAGCGTGTAAACTAAACTCTATTGAAGAATTCAAAACTTAGATATCTTACACAACAGCTAAAAATAGGTACGCATTCTCTAGATATGTATTAAGTTTTACAAACGAATAAAAGTGCCATGATTTTTATTGTTTTTTAGCGATAATCTTAATATTTGAAAATTCTCAATCGGTGTCAATACATTTCCTCCAGGTATAAGTAAGCCACATTTCAGTTTATTCTCAGAAAAATATTTTCTGAGTATTTATTTTGAATCAATGTGAATTAGACTTTATGCACATTGAAACAAATCCTTTTTTATATGCATTGATATTGCTTCAATAAAAACATTTTATCAAATGACGATTGCATAAAAATGAGATATTCTGAAATTTTTTGGAATAATGCTTGTACATATTAGCATTTCAATTTCTTTTAATAAATCCAAACTGCCTTGAATGATCGTCGTGGTCTGAAGTTTCTAATTTTATGTAAAAACATGCTATATATTTGTCTTGTTGTCTAGGAGATTATTCCCGATTCTTAGATTTTCTAACTACTATTTTCTCAAAAAATAAATTGAAGTCCGGACATAAAAAATGCTCAAGGGTATCACGTCTCATTTTTTTTTAGATTTGTATTTTAATATTTCCATGATGCAGACATCAGACCTCAACCATATGATCGATGAAGATCAAAGTGCTCAGGGTTTTACCGAAATAGTAAATCGAATAAGAACTGATCTTCTCCGGAAAATAAAACAGTAGGTTTTTTTAAACAAATTCAATATTCTAATTTAGTAATCTTATTTTTGAATAGAAGAATGGAAAGTCTTCGTCATCAACTGTTTTTCTTATTGATTGTATCTATTTTACTATTAATATTTTTACTTTTCTATTCATTTGGTACCTCTTTACAAACATCAATATCAATTGATTTCAATCAACAAGTCACAACGAATGCAACTTTAACGTCAAAATCAATTCCTTATGTCCAAGAACCACACATATACTCTAAAAACCAATATTTAAATAAAACTCGACTAGTAAACTTCTCTCCGCATTGTTTCTTGAATATTTCTTTTTGACTATTCTAGCCTAGTGAAAATGTTATTGCCTTCTTAGTGGCAAGTTTTGCCGGTGATATACGTCGAGCTTATAATCCTTATCCGAAACTACGAGAAAAAATTATCCAGCTTGATGAACGTCTCGGTGACAATAAGATAACAGATATAATTATATTTCACACTGGTTATCCTTTTCGAGAAGATCTAGTACCAATAATGGATTCGACTGCACGAAACGTGCTGTTCGTGAATGTTGATCATATATTTTATAAGTTTTCTCCTGGTTTCGATCCGCATATAAGAGATCCAACTTGGACACAGAAAGGTAAATGGCATTATCATCATATGTGTTACTTTTGGTTTAAACAAGTATTTGAATTAAAAATTATTCAACGATATCGATACATGATGCGACTTGATGACGATTCGGGAATTGAAGGTAACATGAGAGTGTCAAAACTAGGATAATTTATATATCACATGCTGAAAACAAAATTCAATTGTGCTTGAAATTAGTATAGAAGCGCGAGTGTAAACATTAGAAAAATAATTGAAAGAACAAGATAAGAGAACCACATGCATTGTTAGAAGGACGCATAGTGTAGCATAAGTTCTGTTATTCGCTTAAATTACAAGAACATTGAATTGAGCATACTCATTGTTACAAACTTCTTCAATACGACAATTTTTCCTATTAAAAAAGTCGTAATTTCTATAAAAAAAACACTCCAAAACTCAATTGCGAATAGCAAACAATAATTTTCGTGATGGAATTCTAAAAAATAAAATCTTATTTTGTTTTTCATTCAGGTAAATGGCCTAATGTATTCGAAATAATCGCCAAACATCGCGCTGTTTACCTAGCCAATATGAGAATAGTGGACTTCGAATATGTACTCCCGGGCACGAAACTCGTGCGAAATCTCACTATCGCTTTTATAAAAACATATAAGATAACTCCACAAAATCCTGATATGTTGGCTGAAGTGTTTAATCATACAATCGAAACGCCCGGTTATTGGAATAATCTTGAAGTGATGGATTTATTGTTTCTTCGACAACCGAGAATCGCTGAGTTTACTCGTCTTGTTGATGAATCAATGGGTGTATATCTCTATCGATGGGGTGATGCACCTCTTCGTTTTATAATTTTAGCTCTTTTTGCAAATGCAACTCAAATATTGCACCGAGAAAAACTAGGACTGGCGTATTGTCACCCGTGTTAATTGTTTAGAAATATTTTTACATATAGAATAAAATAGAGAATTCTAATAACTAGATAATATTCATATTGTGATAAATAAATCAACATTGTATGAGGTAAGGCCTAGGGCCCTGTGGCAGTCTGATTTTGATTCGCGCTTCCTGTTTCCGAAAGTTTTCCACAGCTTCTATTATTATTTCATTTTTCGTATTGAAATTTTTTTATTGACTGATTCCAGCTTATCGCAAGATCTTGTGTTGCGTACATATAGACATCACACATCTCAACAGACGTATAGATGAGAGAAATTTCGCACAGACTATTTCTCTAACAATTGATACTATTCACGTTTACTATTAAAAGCGTTCATGTTCGGCGATGATTAGACAATTACGAGAGAGAACAAATAGCTCACATGCAAAATAGGCATGAAAAAAAACAACCTCGAAACGAGAAGATCATGGCATTACAGTTGTACAATATAGTCTTGATGATCGTACTTTCGATGATGACTATTATGATAAAGAAAATAATGGATGTAATGATGAATGATGTGGTGAGCAACAAATTACTTTATGTAATTTTATAATAAATATTTGTTATTTTTGTTTTTGTTTTTGTTTTTGTTAATTATATGAAATAAAAAAACTGTTACATCGATACATTTTAGTAAAACCAATAGGACGAACAGATTTTCTGATACGGCAAATTATTTATAAAATTCCCGTTCCCGCAGGACCCTAGTACGGAGTCGTTGAATAGATCAATAGTAGTCTAAAGTGATTCAATAAGAAAAGGTCATAATCATGTCTTACAAAGGGACAGTATCAATTCATAAAAAATAACATTTGATATAGGAATCCATTCGTGCAAAGAGAAAATTTTCCAGGTGGAATTCGAAACATTTACTTGAAGAAGAAAGTGACTCAAAAGTCAATGCTAACGCTAAAGTGGAAGTAGCGTCTCGATTGTCTCTAGGCTTTTCTAGCAAATATGTAAACTTGCCGATTAAGAACAAAGTATGTACTCCCATATCATCCGCTATATGATTTCTTCGGGAAATGCTAGTAAAAAACGCAAAACTTTCCTTAGGGAAATCAAAAGTACAGGTAAATGTTAAATAAAATCATAAAATAGTCAATAGAATTTTTTTCACTACTTTTTCTTTACGTTTATTTCTGTACATCTTTACCGGTACATCCTATTGTGTACGTTCCATTTAATACGTCCCTTTTACATCTTTTTTTTCATATGTCCATTTACTTTCATATTTGCGTCGCGGCGTGGGGGCGGTATGCGCCCGCCGAAGAGTCGTGATCCATTTTCGTCTCAGTGTACACAGTCAAGTCTATCTTAATTACATTCTCTGATAGCTGTAAAGAGGAAGTTCAGAATAGGTATCATGTGCCCAGCTTCCAAGAACTGAAGTGGATTCACCAAGAACCAGGAGCTATCCTGGGAATACTAGCACTCTCCGTTAAGAAGGGAGTCCCATCCTGAGCTTTGCTTTTAGCATCCTCAGGTGTGCTTCTAGCTCTGGGTGAGACAACTTCAGCAGTTGGGGGCGCAGCTTTCGGCCAGCTGCTGTGGAAGAGAGAGCGGAAGTTGGCAGTTTCCTAGTTCAAAATAAGACCTATAGAAAAGGATGTAAAGAAATGAACGTATAAGAGGACGTATAGAAGGGAACTCTGAGCTCGAGATTCGGAGAAGAATGCATTGAAAGGACGTAAACGTAGATGGATCAGAAAACTGTCGGCATTTTTTTGAATCGTTTCCGATCGAAACAATAAACCGGATGTACTCCCAAGAATGAAGATCTCAGTGATTTATGGTCAATAGTCAATTTAAGACCAATTATGCGAGCAACCATGACAAAAAATCGATTCAAAAGCTTGCTTGAATTTTGTCGATTTCACAACAAAACTACTAGAGAAAATAGGATGAAAGAAGATAAATTAGCTGCAATCAGAGATCTTTGGATGGTGTTCTTAGATCAGATACGAACATGTTATACATCTGGCGAATCGCTTACTATTAGCGAACAACTTATTCCAACTCATGGCCCCTGTTGCTTTCGACAATAGATTCCAACTAAACCCGGAAAGTATGGATTGTAGATATTTTGGTGCTGCGACTCAAGCACAGCATATCCACTGAACAGTGAAATTCATCTAGGGCGGCAATTGGTAACAACGGCTGCAACTAATAACATGACTCGTATTAGTAATTTGGTGAAGCGATTGGTGCATTGTTGGATCAGCACCGACCGAACTATCACCACTGATAATTACTTCACTAGTGTGGAACTAGCCGAAGATCTATTAGGTGCTTAAACTATGGTTGCCGGGACTATGCGACGAAATAAGAAAAAATTACGCCAGAGCTTCAATCAAATCGTCAAAATCGGAAGGAATCATCAATATTCTGTTTTAGTCGACAATTAACTTTGCTCCGCTATGTACCGAAAGAGGGAACAGCTGTGATCTTATTGTCGACAATGCACCATGGCAAGGCTGTCAATGACGAGCAAAAGAAGAAGCCTAGTATTATTTTGTACTACCCCCCCACAATACAAGGCCCCGGGTCTTCTATTATGTTCCAGCGTAAAAATTTTCAAGGAGGGGGTCTTGTATTAAGAATCGTATTTTTTCCTAATATTTAATTTAAAAGATTTTCCAGAAAACTAACTTGATTTTTAGGATTTCCATCAGGATTTTAAGGGTGTCACTATAATTGTGAACACATTCTCTTAATATTTCCAGCTTAAAATGCTAAGAGTCAGACATATTTTGATGGAAAAACGCTAACTAAAGTTTGTAATTAGCAAAAAATTAATTAATTAAAGGGGAGTCATCTATTATGGGGGGTTACAACAACGGAAAAGGTAGTGTCCATCGAATGAACCACACGGTGAAAACTTATTCATGTAGAAGACAAATAAAAAGATGGCGGATAACATTCTTTTACAACATGATCGATGTTGGTGCAGTTGGTGCTTTTATTATATGGATTAGCAAAAAACCAAAATGGAATAAAGGAAAACTGCGCGGTTGACATCTACTTTTATTGCAACTGGGTTTTGAACTCGTTGAAGCTCACTTGCATCGACGTCAACAACAGCCACAATCAATTCAGAAGAGTGTTCGGTGGGGTGTACAAGCGATTGGATTGCCAGTCACTATTCCAATGTCTGATAGTATGTCAGAAAGCGATGTAAGACGACGTTGTCAACTTTCACCAAGACAATGAGATCGCAAAGTCCTCACGCACTACAACGATTGCACTGTTCCCTGTTATCTAAATCATCATAAAGGCATCTGTGAGATGTGCTGTGAAACATTTTTAAAGTAAAAGCTTGTGAAAGATGTGAAATATAAACTTTGAAAAAATAAAAGATAAAACAAAAACTACTCTCAATTTTTTACTAGCTAATCATGCAGTGGCTTCTTAGGTACATACTGAAGAGAACTGATGTAATGCAATACTTACTATATGCAGTATATCCGTTATATCAGTCTGGTGTGCGTACGGATCCCAGATGGGCAATAAGTGGTAGTCCTATAGGTGGGTGTATCAGGGTTAAAGCACATTCTCTATGATCTACGAAGAAGCGAGTATCCGTATCACAATGAGTACACTGTAAAAGAAAAACGTAGAATACTAAATCCTTTCAAATGCCCTTCTAACGGGTTTCGGGAAACTTACTTTTAGTCAAGAATCATGTTCAGTTTGATGAACCATTGAAGCAAATCTATTTGAGAAAAATTAAAAACATTATTTTTTTAAATAATAATTACCTATGATTTTGAATCTGTTTTTTCACGGAAAAAATTAAAATAAGCATTGTTTAATAAAAAATTATACTTACTTGTGATTGCGATTTCGAATTTTGAAGTAAAAGAATAAAAATAAGAATTATTTAAGGAAAAATTATACTTATGTTAGATTTTGAATTAAAAATTGACTAAAAGGAAAAAAAATTCAAATACGAAAATTATGCTTAACTAGAATTTTCAATGTGCAATGGAACTAAAACATTAAGAACAATAATTTCAATAAAGAAAATTATATTTACCTATGATTTTCAATTTTCTTTTCTATCCAACTAAAAGACTGAAAAAAACAATAAGTATATGTAAAAAGTAACGCCTACATTTGATCGGGTCGCTTCGAAAAAGTTAAATCAAAAGCCGATGATTCAAAAAAAAAATAATAGTTGCATACAATTTTTTAAGTTATTGATGAAATTCTTCAAGATTTATGAATAAATACGTACTTTTTTTTATAGAAGCTTCGTCTACATAGAACAAAGTTTCATTTTGTTTTTCAGGCTGTTCTAATTTATGGAGAATGATATATTTTAATGTGAAATTACAAGCTATTGCAACATAGATTGAGCAAAAGTTGTTCAGTCTGTTTTTCATTAATCTTTGTTTCTATTGTACGACTTCCTATCTAATCACAAAAATACTAGATGAATAAGTGTCATCAACCAGAAAAGTCAACATCATTTTGATATATGTATGACTTGTCTGATTTCAATCTTTTTGGGGCAAAAACTATTTCATGATAGGGTACAATAATAAACCCATCATCATAGAATAAAAAACCCTTTGAATACAAGGATCGAACAATAAACCCTTTACCGTAGAATAATAAACCCTTCATCGTAGACTCACAAACCCTTCTTCTTAAATTCTGGAGGAATAAACCCTTTTTATTTTCAAATACCCTTATTTTCATAAACGCTTCAGACAATAAACGGTTTTAGAGTTTTGGACAAAAACATAAACCCTTTAAGGGTTTATGAAACTTTTTTTTAGTGCTAGGGTTTAGTATTCTACGATTTTTTTACAGTGTACTCATTATGTAACCATCTACTGACTCTCATCGTGTTGAGTTTATCTTTTCTCTTGATATAATCATATAGCACTATTTACTCTAATGCGTGCTTCTACTTTGATCAATGTTCAACGTTTACTCTTTCTCTTTGTCTCGCTATGATATCTATTCTTTTCCTAT